TCCCTCCTCTCTCTCTCTCTCTCTCTCTCTCTCTCTCTCTAGACCTTTGCAATGGCCTCTTCATATTCTGGATAATCCACGTATCCCTCAGGACCTGGTGCATAGAACGTGGCTCTATCGTAGCTGTTCAGCGGCAAACCCTTTTCCAAACGCGTCACCAAGTCGGGGTTCGAGATGAATAGCCGCCCATACCCAATCAGTGTGTTGTCGTTAGCCTGCAAGTCCCGCAACGCAGCATGAGGGTCCAGCGCGTAATTACCAGCCCGGATAATGGGTCCTTTCCAGATACTGAACGCAAAGTCGTTGGTGCCGCCTTTGTACCAGCCCTGGCCCTCTTGTAACACAGGGGAGGTTACACGAGGCTCTACCAGGTGAATGAAAGCGAGTTTTCGGCCCTCATTGGCGCGTCTCTGAAGCTCTCCGATGATGTAAGCGTACTGGGCCACGATTTCCGGCTCGGCTCCGCCGGACATCGTGCCGAACGTGCCGTACGGAGAGAACCGGATCCCGACTTTAGAAGCGCCAATGGCGGCTACTAGAGCGTCCACCACTTCCAGAGAGAACCGTGCCCGGTTCTCGATGGACCCCCCGTACTCGTCTGTGCGTTTATTGGACTTGGGGTCCAAAAACTGGTTCAGCAAGTACCCGTTGGCAGAATGGATCTCAACTCCGTCGGCGCCGGCGGCGATCGAGTTCTGAGCACCCTTGACATAGTCGCGTATGTACTGCTGGATTTCGGCCTTAGTCAAGCCGTGCTGCGGGTTGCCGCACTCCTCGGCCTTTTTCTGAGACTCTTCGTCCATGTAAACGCCGTCGGACGCGGAGTCGTAACGTAACCCATCGCGTTTCAGCGTGTCCGGGTAAGCCTGGCGGCCCAACACCCAGAGCTGCACCCAGACATACGACTTGTTGGCGTGGATGCGATGGAAGATCTTTTCCCATATCTGTATTTGTTCCTGGGACCAAATACCAGGTGCGGTATCGTATCCGCCGCATTGCGGCGACGGAAACGTACCTTCCGTGATGATCATCGTGCCGGGTGCTTTGGACCGCTGGTCGTAGTAGTCTGGTGCGTATTTGGCATTGGGTACGTTTTTAGGCGTGTGAGCACGCATACGTGTTAAAGGACACATAACAGCGCGGTTTTGAACCACGGTGTCACCGATGGCAATGGGTTTGAAAAGATTGGAGTCTTTAAGCGCAAGTGGCTTGAAATCAGGTACAAATGGCATGTTGGTGGGTGTGTGTGTGGGTTTAAATTGGGTTCGTGGAAAATGATGTTTGAAATTTCCTAAGAGAAATGGGGTCTTCGTTTCGTTGGCAAGCACAGAAATTGGTCGCGGTTATATAGGAGATGCGGCGAAGCAAGAGTTGGGATTCAAGAGGTTGATTTGTCAGAGACAGGATTAGTAACGACAAGGCATAAGCACGAAAAACGACACTAGCTATGAAAGAAATGGCGTAGATGGGCGCAGATAGCGTAGATGGGCGTAGATGGCGTAGATGGCGCATATTGAATGCTAGAAGAAGAGGCAGATAGAGGGTCCACCACACACACACACACACACACAAATTGTCTGTTGGGTTTTTTTCTTGGCACGTGTGGCGGATTGATGGAATACAAAGTTGTTTTTGGGAACCACGTCATCAGAATCTGGTAGGGTGTAAACGGGTCGCACATATGGGAGGGAATTGTGCTATTTGAGATGGGAATCCTTTGAGATCCGGGGTCACGTGATTCTAGACATTTAAAAAAAAAACTGCAGACTGCGCTAGGAAGTTTGTAGTTGAGACCGCATTTTCCCGCGTCCAAGCAGCGCCAGAGAAGTCGAGCCATTAACCTTCGTCATTTAATGATTCCTCGTCCCATCCGCATCAAGCAGAGAAACTTTAGAAAAGATGCGTTTGACCCGTCGTACATGACGTTCGGGACGTGGCCAGTTGTTTGAATACTGTAAACCATTAAGCGCATCAAAGATACACCTGCTCGTTCTCATGCTACAGAACTTTGTGTGTGGAGGCCTATTATTTCCTCGCGGATTGTCCTACATTTCGTATCAAGTCATCACCGTAGGTTTTTGTCCATTACGGAAAAACCGTGCCGAAGGTCTCTCAATTTTCTCCCCGTCACGTCCGCTCCTTGAACCCGTTAGATTCGTCTGATCATTTGATTCACCAGGTACAGTCAAATCTATTCTTTCAAGAATCTGGCGTCGAAATGACCAGCTGCACGTGACACCAACGTCAGCGTCAGAATAAAAAATACAAATTTCAGTGAAAAAGGATCTGAACCGACAATCGGTGCCGTCAAAACCCACAACTGAAGAACTTTTAGGTTTCCGGATAGAATGATCACTGATTAGTAAAGCAGCACCTGTACAAAACGTGGCTGCACATAAAGCATTGCCATGGAGGACTGATAATAGTGTCCTCAAACTAAAAATAAAGTCATCCAGAAACCTGGATGAACGCTTGCAAAGAAAAGAATAGCTTTCGATCTTGCTCAAATCAACAACAAGTTCAGTTCAGACTTCACTGCTGGTTCGCATACCACCATATCAAAATTTCTATCGGTTAACGGGTCACATGTCGCATACTCCTAAGTCAATCACATCATCAGTGGTTCAATTCATTTGCAACCAAATCCAGTTCCAATTGCAGTCAAATTACGCCTCCTCCGCTTGGAAATCTACCCAACAGTTTTCGCAGCTCTACACCAGGAACCGGACTTGCGTAATAAAAGGTTCGAGACAAAGGGCTTAGTGGAAATGAAATTACTCTTCCAAAAACACTCTCAACCACTGTGTCTCCCCTTTACTGGACGGGGCAGGAACAAGCGCTTTTCAGTTTTCCACTGTGATATAGCAAACGACACAGTACATCAAAAGGGACAAGAAAAAAAGAGAAATTGTCCTTTAAATTGGACTATCACCACCAGATATGTCTTGCTCGTCAACGAGGGTATAAAATTGATTCCCAATACGATCAAGGCCAACTGACGAATAGGCATTCTTCAAAAGTTCCATTTCTCTCTCTCTCGAAAATGCATTTCGTACACGATGACACGAATCTTTACAATGAAGATGCAATCATCAACAACTCATGTAATGCTCAGGTTGAGTGAAGCTTAATCAAAAAGTCTTGCGGCTTTCATGAACCTCTCTTCTTTTATACTTCTTCTCTTATTCTTCCTCTTTTGAAATACTACCACGTGACCAACTTTTTCCATCACTACAAATTTCATATATGTATATATCAATCATTATACCTAGAAAAATTTGATGATTGAAAAGTATCTTTCTTCAAATCAAAAACCCCAGTAAGTTCACCACTCTGAGTCTTCGCTTCAAGTTCAATCTCGACATCTACCGGAACCTCCAAGGATCGTTTCATTAGTCATTTCAAGCTTGGGACCCTTCTTTTTCATCATTTTGTCCTTTACTGTATATTATTTTGACGACTAACGATAAACTGTTGAGAACGAGAAGAAGAACCAAAAAACTTGAAAATAACTTGAAAACCACTAGCGATTTGCACCTGTACATTAGAACAATTTCGAATACATTTCACAGTTTTTAGTGGTCTCAGCGGTTCTCCCGGTACGTTTTCTCTGTCTCTGTTTCCCGGAGAATATTTTGTCGATTTCCACTCTTTAGGTTTGTCCCAGCTGGATTGGTGCTAGGCTTATCCATTGTGTTTCACGAGTATTGCACAAGTTTGCTCGAAGCGTAACCTTTGAGTTAACTCAGCTCAATTTCTGGGTCGTATTGCATTGCACAATACGTTGTTAGCCCCGAATTTGAACAGAGCCACATTTTAGTCTTTTATTCTACTTTTTTGTCTCTCGTTTTCCGAAATGGCCAATAGTAGAACGGAGCAACAACAGGTCGACGATGTCCAGGTATCCGAAACAATCAATTCCGCTTTGGATCAACTTCATTTGGACGATTTGTCCGACCAAACTCAAGCTAACGTAGCTAGAAATTCCACTTCTGGTGCTGCTAATGCGTTTCCACATCCACCACCGCCTTTAATGGGTATGGGGTTCATGCATTATCCTCACATGATGCATATGTCGCATTCCCCAGGGTTTTTCCAAGCACCTGGTTCTTCCGACCCATTCCATACTGGCCCACCAGCAGAATTGACATCTTCAGTAGATTCTGAGAACACGATTTTTGCTGCTCATGGCCAGCCACCTGCAAACTCCACAACAGCCGGAGCGGCTGCTGGTGGCTCCAACCCTGGTGACCCGCGCAGTAATGTTCTTGATATGGGGTTTTCCAGTGGCATAGATCCCTTTTGGTCATCTGCTAAACAGGATTTTGGGCCTGAATACCCATTGATACCTGGAAAACTTGCTGACGCTCCCAACGCAGCCAGAAGGCAAACGTTTCCGGCTCTTTCCGGAAACGACTTGCTGAGCGATGACGCTACCGCCATAAGAACTCAAAGCATATCTTTGGAAAAACCAGAAGCAGATTTACAAAACTCCAGGAAGCACACGGGAAGTACAGAACCTGACCTGCCGAAATCAGACGTTATTTCCTCTGCTCCTTACTCTGCTGCAGCGTATCCTTATGGTGGCCCTCTTGTTCAGCCAAGTCCAGTGATTTCGGGCCACACTCCTCCAGGCAGCAGTTCAGCTTATGGAGGACCCTCGCCTTTTCATGCGTATGGATTCTCTTCGCCTTTCCAATCCTTCTCGCCTATCCCTGGTACTCCTTTGAGCGAACACTCTGCCAATATGTCTTCTCAAATCTCTGGAGACCAAAACAAAGATGCTGGTTTTCCTGAGAACAATGCTCCCTCCAGAGGAACCCCGTCGCACCCAATGCCCCCATGGATGTACGGAAATCACCATGCTTTTGGTCCAATGGTTCCAATTCATCATCAAATGATGGGACCTCCTGGAAATACCAACGGCAACCATATGCATCCTTCTCATTCCCATGGAGGTCGTCATGCTATGCATTCTCGTCGTCACAAGGGAAGTCACAATTCGAAACCCTACCATCGTAGAGGCGAAGATCCAGCAAAATACGCAAATGCGAAATTGGAGAACTTTATTGGCAACATTCTCTCTCTTTGCAAGGATCAGCATGGGTGTAGATTTCTGCAAAAGCAGTTAGACATTGAGGGACCTGAAGCTGCAAACATAATTTACGAAGAGACGAAAGACCATGTGGTGGAACTGATGACTGATTCCTTTGGAAACTATCTTATTCAAAAGTTACTAGAAAGAATGAGCAGTGAGCAAAGATTAGAGCTGGTAAAGTCATCTGCCAACAATTTTGTTTACATCGCACTAGACCCTCACGGCACAAGGGCTTTACAAAAACTTGTGGAGTGTATCTCAACTGAGGAAGAAGCGCACCTGGTAGTCGATTCACTGCATGATTCAGTGGTGGAATTGAGCAGAGATCTTAACGGTAACCATGTTGTACAAAAGTGCCTACAGAAGTTGAAGCCATCAGATTCGCAGTTCATTTTCGATGCAGCAACTGAGGCCTGTGTCAAAATCGCCACGCATAGGCACGGGTGCTGTGTTCTTCAGCGCTGTTTAGACCACGGAAGTCGTAAACAGTTTGATCAGCTCTGCGAGCGGATCATTGAACATGTCGATGAACTTACGACTGACCCTTTTGGTAATTACGTGGTCCAGTATATTTTCACTAAGCAGTCAGAACGCTCAGAGTCCAAGTACACCACACAAATAATGTCCTTGATAAGACTTAGAGTGATTGAGTTATCGTTGCACAAATTTGGCTCGAATGTTATCGAGAAAGCCCTACGCACCCCCGTGGCTTCTGAAATTGTGATCGATCAGTTGCTCTCCCATGGCGCTGACGCCAAAATTGAACAGCTGTTACACGACGGGTACGGTAACTATGTCTTGCAAACTGCGTTGGATACTGCTCGTGAGAACGATAAAGATCTGTACTACAGGTTAAGCGAAACTTTAAAACCGCATTTAGTAGGGGCAATAAGAAGTACCCCTCACGGAAGGCGGATAATGGGGATTTTGGAAACAGAAGGAGCTTAGCTAGACTATGTAAACTACAATAACCGTGTAAATTAGAAATATTTGAATTTGAAAATGATGGAATCGTCACAGGTCTTGATTTGAGGTAAGATCGGGTATGCCAATGTTGATGTCGCTCCACAATTTGTTATAAAGGTCGTCTTCACCGTAATTCAAAAAGTCATCAAGCGAACCTAGATTAAAATTTATGAGAGGTGACATCGGAGGTACAGCTTCTTTCGCTTTCGCTGCTTCCGCTGGATTGGTGGCATTCGGCAGACCTAGATGCGACCATGAGTCCATTAGCGGATGAGGGGAATCGCTATCAGGTAACTGCTCTTGACCCACTAAAGCTTGAGCCTGCTCCAAAGAGCGTTCCACGTTCAAACGCCATGTAGTTTTTTTGTTAGTGAACGAACAGGCCTTGAAAGTTTCTTGTGGCAGCATCAGAAGTTGACTCGCTGTAGAAACAAGTTCGGCGTCTTCGGCAGCCAAAAGATCCAAGAACTCAGTGATGCTTATATGAGAAGCCCGCATGAAAAGCTGTAGTCCAGTTCGAGTCAAAATTTGGAATAACGTCTTCGCCTTTGTGAATGTTCTCAGCATTCTACAGGTGTCGGCTAGTTCCCCTGTGACTTGGTCCAGAAACGCAAGTCTCGCCAGACTTTTAGCTGAGCGAAGAATGAGTCTTACATCCTGCATTGTATCGGGAGTATCCTGGGCAAACAGATCTGTCAGCACGGCGAGAGAGAGCATACAACCACACGACAATGCCAGCCATACACTCTCGACTTTTTCATTATCAATCGAAGCGATGACAGAACGCCATGAGGTGTGAATTGTAAGCCTATAGCTTTTCAGCGGCTCTTGGATTGTACGAGGAAACCCGTTTTCTTTAAACCTCGCGAAAAGATGCTCCGCAGATCCTAGGCAGATCGATTTTGAAAATTCTAGAAACACCACGATCCGGGGTGCCACTACCTTCTCAAGAAAAAGATCTTCTTGTGAGGATTCGCCTTGCACGTGCTGATCCGCTAAGTCGCATATCATTTTCGCTAGTTTCTCAATTCTCCCAACCCGTTGTGTGAACCGATCCACGTCCTCAATTAAGTCCGACAAGATCTTCTCCCTAAGTCGACTTGGCTTGGCATTGTTTCTGAAACACGTGTTTTTCTTGCTGTATAACACATTCTGGAAGAAGTCTGCAACAACAATTGCCAATGCCGTAGAACAAAAACCCAATTTGTCTTTTGCACTTCCGCTTGGAAGTGTTTCTACGAAAGCAATTTTCTGAAGCAGCTCCTCGAACTCCAAGATTCCCAAATTTCTGCAATATTCAGGCAATAAACAACTAACGTTTGCATGTGTTATCAAACCCTGTTTCCCATTCAGTACCGAACAGATTACGTCCTTACTGTAACATTCCCACCATAGCCTTCGGCGGCGCTCTGCTGTCACCTCTTCCATGCCGACGTAATATTCCCAGCGGTGAAGCCCCATGTTCTGAGCGTAGCTTGCAAGCCTCAAAGAAAGCTGTGGTATGACATGGTACTCTCCCATCCAATACTGATACTTGATGAACAGGAGAAGGGTATCGAGGTAGTCTAGATTACCGGATGGCATGTAAGCCGTGGCATTAAAATACTCGAAGCCGAGAACACATAATGATTCTTGAGCAGATAGAAATTCTTCACCTTCTTCATCGAGAACGAGGCACTCTTCAACTTCATGATCATCACAAAGAGACCCCTGGCAACATACAAACATCACCCGCGTAATCCAATGCAACATGCCAAGGTTGTCTTTAACATCTGTAGGGCATGGGAATTGAGGATACAGCGCCTTTGTCTTTTCAACGATATAACTCGGTATAGTCGCCACGAACTTTCGAATAGCAAATTCTCGAGAGTCGTAAGTGACGTGCGCTAGAGCTGCATGTGTATCGATGGGCGAGCTCCACGATTGAAAACTCAAATCAAGGTAATCAGCGCATGTGTCAAAAAACTTGAGCATGAGAAAAAGTGTGGTTTTATATTCTCTTGCCATTTTGACGCCGGGGTCAAAAAAATGCTTGAACAAAAATCCGATGCCCCGAATGGACATTATAAGCCCTGGGCTATACAATCCGTATAGGTCATCCACTACAGGATACTGGTTGATGACACTAGAACGTGACAGGAAGGGCGATGGCTGGATCGTTGAGTACTTTGTCAAGGACACTTTGTCAGAGTACTTATTGATCATCAGTTGCGTTTCTAAAGAGGTCGCAGTAGCCGGTACATCGCGGATTGCCTCTGGCTCCAACGTAGGTTTCCAGCTAGTTTCTATCTCGCGCAGCTGTTCTGAAACGCTTCGAATGGCTTCCATTATAAGAGGACTTGGTTGGGCTTCTCTTAACGATCGCAGGGTGCTGCTGAGAAGATACATTTGCCGAGTCACGTGTGTGTCATCGCCATAAAGTCCGTTCTGGGGATCGCCTTTGGAGAAAGATATGGAATTCGCGTGCGATGAGACGGAAGATTTGGATGATAGAGATGCAAAATCGCTACTGCTTTCTGAAAAAGAGGTAGCCGTTCTCGCTGAGGGCTTTGGACGCTTTGGAGCTCCTGTTGACGCCGGCGTAACGGGAACTCCACGAGTAAAGTTGCATTCGCAGTTGTATGTCTGACAATTTAGACACGGCTGATCTCCTGTACATTTGATCTTCCGCTTTCTACAATTGTCACAGGCCGTGCTTACTTTCGCGCGTCTTTTTTTTACCACTCCTGCATTGTTGAAACTTGGACTGTTCATTGCCAACGGTGTTTACACCAATAGTCACGCACCCAGGCAATTCGGAAAGCGTAGTTATTATGCCGGAAGTGCTGTTACGAAGAAAAACGGCACTTTACTTGCTGGTGCACAGGAAAGCCAAAATGATGATGATCTTCTTCCGACGACAATAAGAACAAACAATCCCTTCCCGCCTTACTTCCGTGGAGCACTCTAGCTCAAAAGTGTCTACTTATGAAGGAATAGGTCCAGGGTAGGGCGTTTCTTGACACGGTTTAGTAATCCGCGGACTTGATCGGGTCTTGTACGTTCCGTGGAATGATTCCCAAAAAAGAAAAGAGTAAAAAAAGGGAAAAAAAACTCACAAAAAATGAAGCCGACATCGATCACATGACTGATGCGTTCACGTGCCGCACAAAAATCATCCTCCCCTAATTTGTTTGTTTTCCATTTTGGGTTTTTGTGGCAAAAGTGGAGAATCAAACCCACTTTTTTAGCCGCCCAAGATAAGTTTCTTGCTGATGAAGCGATATCAAACCTAAACGCCAGCTCTTTCTTGGACTTTACAACACTGGTTGTTTGAAACAGGCCAACCGAGTCATTTGCACTGGAAGTTCCCTTCGGTTAGACCCCAAGAGTTACAAAACAATGCTTTGAAACGCGACCTCTTGCTGGTTTCTTTCTCCCTCGGAACGATTCCGACGAGCCAGAAGGCTTTACAACCTCATTTGCTTAAGCGCTTGAAGCTAGCTTTTAAAGACATCAGTAGTAGTTAAAGCTGTTCCACTTCTCTCTCAGATCCTATACGTTTGCAACAGAGTAGTGTGCTGATGCTATTTGTTCTGAAATAGACGTCTTTATATAGCTGAATTTGTTTTTTGATATTTGAAAAGACGTTTCGTACAAAGATACATCTGTCGTTCAGAATTAGCAAAAACAATGCCGGAAAAGCTTCAAAGGTCAAACTTAACAGACAAGTTTGATTCAGCAATCTTTGTAAGGCCCTTTGAAACCCAATTGTCCTCTGGTCATACGCCAATCATGCATTCGGAAGAAGAGAAGCCCACGGGTGCAACCGCCTCCAAAAATTTCTTGCCGCAGGGCAAGTATCTAAAGCCTGAAGAAATGGAATACGAGTTTGGTGGGCCAATTGGTGCCATGGGAATGATGCTTGGTTTCCCAGCGCTGATGTACTACATGTGGATCAGTGCCGAATTCTACAACGGGAAGCCAGCATGGCCTGCGTCGAACGAATCGTGGTCTGATTTCCTAACCACGTTGTGGAACTTGTGTGTTGAACATGCGACGCCGTCAAAATATGCATGGACGGTATTTATGGCTTTTTGGGCCGCACAAATCGTGTTCTACTACACTTTGCCAGGTGTTTGGACCAAGGGTCAGCCCCTAACGCACTTGAAGAACAAACAATTGCCATATTTCTGCAACGCCATGTGGACATTTTATACGTCCGTGTCGATTGCCTTGTTTCTTCACGTCACTGGCATTTTCAAACTATACACCATCCTAGATATGTTTGGTGAGATCATGACCTGTGCCATCGTTTCGGGCTTTACCTTCTCTATTGTGCTATACTTGTACACTCTGTTTGTCTCGGGCGATTACCACCGTATGACAGGCAACCACATCTACGACATGTTTATGGGAGCCCCGTTGAACCCCAGATGGGGGATTCTGGATCTCAAAATGTTCTTTGAAGTGAGATTGCCTTGGTTCACCCTCTTTTTCCTCACTCTCGGAGGCGCTTTGAAGCAGTATGAAATTTATGGCACTGTGACTCCGCAAATGGGAGTCTTGCTGCTAGCTCACTGGCTTTATGCAAATGCTTGTGCGAAGGGCGAAGAGCTCATCGTGCCGACTTGGGACATGGCTTACGAGAAGTTCGGCTTCATGTTGATTTTCTGGAACATTGCTGGTGTGCCATACACTTACTGCCATTGCACGTTGTACCTCTACTATCACGACCGCAGTGAGTACAACTGGCCATGGTACTACAACCTGTCACTGTACTTGGTGCTTTTGACAGCCTACTATTTCTTTGATACCGCTAACGCTCAGAAAAATTCTTTCCGTAAGCAAATGGCAGGCGACACAAGAGTGCGCAAGACGTTTCCATTTCTCCCCAAACAAGTGCTTCAAAACCCCAAGTACATGGTGACCAAAAGCGGTTCCTATTTACTCATCGATGGATGGTACAGATGGGCCAGAAAAATCCATTACACTGCGGACTGGACACAATCTTTAGTGTGGGCACTTGCTTGCGGCTTTAACTCTCCATTCCCATGGTTTTTCCCAGTCTTTTTCTTCATCGTCTTGGTGCACCGCGCCATACGTGATCAGGCTAAGTGTGAGAAGAAGTATGGTGCGGACTGGGACAAGTATCGTGAAGAGTGTCCATATCTCTTCATCCCATACATCTTGTAGAGAAAATGTGCCTTACATTGACCGGAATTGGAAAACAAAAAGTTCCAGAAGTACGCGGCTATATGCTCAGCATCGGAAGAGAGAAGAGGCAAATTGGTCTGATGCTGCTTATACCAATTGGAAGCATAGGCTCACCACGACGTTACCATGTCACATATACAACTGATCAACACAACGTATAAAATGATATACGTGGTTTCTATACTTCAAGTACCGAAATATAGCTCCCAGCATCTTATCCACATTTTACGCAAGCAGACAAGACGAAGCATTATGACACAGCATAGCTTGGGCTACTACGATATAATATCAGGGCTTTCCGCCCTTGAGTGCTCTCACAGGACTTGTTTGTCGCCAGAACAATTACAAGCATTCTGTAGAATTGATCAACAGGCGAAAAAAACCAGAGACCAAACTATTGATGAACAAGATGAAAGTCATCGTAGAGAAAGAAGACGAATTCCTGTGCATGGATATTTAAGCAAGGCAGACGCTGGTCTCAAGCTGGAGAATGGCAATGATCTGCAGCATACGCTGCTGGGTGGCCATGTACCGCGTTCACAGTTAGAGGCCCTTTCAAGTACCGATTTTGCAAGGTATTTTCAGAAACTGATAGATTTTGAAAAGACAACGGAGGCCTTTAATGTTTTTGTTAATTCGACAGCAACAAGGGCAGCAAATGTTGCAGCAACACCTACCCCACCATCTAGCGCTCTGCCCTCTGGACAGGCCGGTGCTTTGGCAGGAAATGATGACGCCGGGCTTGCAGCAAAGCCCAAGCTTACAACGAGCGGTAATGACAGCGTGAAGAAGGTTATTCTTTGTAAAAAATGCAAGGCTAGATTCAGTGGGCCTCGAAGATTCACGAATATGAATAAGCACATGTGCATGAGAAGCTAGAACGTTATACACTTCGAAGTTGACTTTGACGAGGCAGTTCTGCTTCCAAAAACCACATTTAAATAAAGGGACGGTTAAAATAATTTTGTAATAGTTGGTGCATGTACTTCAAAAATACGTAAAGCGTAAATGCGGGAGGCTCGTTTGTTTGATTCAGGGAGATCAGAATATTCGGAAGTTTCAATCTTGTTCTGCAATGGCAACGAGCCTTTCTTCGATCTGATCAGGCGTCAGACAAATGAAGGTGTCTTTAAGAGCAACACCTATTTCGAGGTCGTTTTTCCCGAAGTCCGTGCCTAAAGCGTCGATCATCTGTGTGATTCCTAGTTCTACGACTTTTTCATAAGAGTCTTCCTCGACGTAGTCAACCTTGCGTTTTTTGAAAAATTTCTCGAGAGCGCTGGTCAACTCTTGCTGCTTGGGTCCCGTAGCTGTGGCCTTGTACGCAACATAATAACCAGCTGGGTCGCACTTGTAGATTGAAGGCCCTAGCTCTTCGTCCACAGATACAAATGTCAATATGACTCCCAGAGGTCTCATGTATGCCCTTTGAGTGTAAATTTGTGACAGGTTTGCCATCCGCTTTGCCAGTACGTCTGTTGGCATGTCGTAGCCGTATTTGTAGCGAAATTCTGCTGCTTCTGCCTTAGCTCTTAGCGCCGCGTTTCTGGCGTCAGGAATGGGGCCATTGGCCACCATTCCGATATGGTTCGAGATTGGGAACATATATGACATCGATGAGGACTCTAGCAACTTATCAGGCACCTTCTTTTGATTTATCACTACGCAACAGTCCTTGCCTCTGATGGCCATCGAATTAAGGTTGGTTTGGTTTGTAGCTTTGAATGCATATTCGACCTGGTAAAGACGGCCCTCGGGCGAAAAGATTGTGATATGTCTATCGTATCCAGCAGCAGACATGGTGAGCAAGATACTTGACGCTAGACGCTGTTTCCAAGCTTTGTCAGGGTATTCTACGTTAAACACATCTGTAAGTGGCAAATAGGAAGCTTGAGTGAAGTTTAAATGATGGGATCTACTCGTACCAAGTGATAGAGACACACTACTCACGATTTCATGTTTATGTTATAGAAAGTTAGTAGGTATTTCTCTTGAATGCAACTCGAATAGATTTTGGCTCTGTTCTGTCATATATATATTTATTTATTCACCGCATTTTAGCCTTTTACCTTTCTAGTTCTGCTCTTTTTCCCTCTTCTTATTTTCCATATATACATATATAAATATATATATATATATGTCAATTTGAAATAAAGGTTTAAATGACAGTTTTAACCTCACTATGCTCCCAGATTGGAAGTGAAAGGGTCGGAAACAGGTCGCGGAGCACTTCAAGAGCTCACGTCACGAACCTCCAAAATTTCAGAGCTTTAAATAATCTATTTTTGTGTGTATCTGTTCGTAGCACTTTCTTTAGACGATGAAGGAGACATTTGACTTGACCACTCAGCTCGCGTTTTATAAGCGCTATCATAGCAACGACACTAATGTACAAATCCACGCTGTGTTTGTGCCACTGATTTTGTATTCATCCATGGTGATTTTGCATAAGGTGGAACTAGGAGCGGGCTGGACGTTGACGCATGTATTGGCGGTTGTTTTCGCAAGCTACTATGTGGCGCTAGACTTGAGAGCTGGTACTCTGGCTGCTAGCATTTTGGCAATCACGGTAAGGAAGATAGACTCCGGAGCATTAAACATCCCGGTGAATTGGGCATTATTGATTTTTACAACTGGATGGGTTGCACAGTTTATGGGCCACGGCGTATTTGAGCGTCAGCGGCCCGCGTTATTGGACAATTTGGTTCAAGGTTTGGTGACGGCTCCTTTTTTAATCCTTTTCGAGCTTTTGTTTGCGTTGGGACTCTACAAGTCTCTGCAACTGGAGATTTTGCAGCAAGTTGCACGCAAAAATAGGGAAGCAGGTCGTTGCTGAACTTGCCAATAAAAATCAAAAAGGGACGGTGACTTTAAGAGGGTTTCTGGCACAATCTTGACACGAAGTGGTGGAATACCATCTTCGCGACATGACTGCTTTCTGACATGGATTTATTTGCTCGGTTGGTCTCTTCTGACCGACCACTTGTGAATACTACAAGAAAAAATAAAAGACAAAATTACTGAGAAGCATAAGTCTAAGAATCAATGAATAGAAGTGACCCAGTCCCAAGAGGTATATTATGTCAGTTCACTAAAATAACGGTTTTCAGATGGGGCTATCGCGGTGCTTAATGTGAACCGAAAAAAACCAAAAAACGACCCATGAAAAAGGAATACGAAGCCCAGGGATTCAAAAAGAGTTGTGATTAATTAATGATATTGAATTCCATAAGACGAATTCTACCGAACGTCATGATCCATCCGATCTGATTCTATATTCTCACACTGCGAGTTTATTACGCTTCCCATACTATCACGTAATAACGTGATCAAATGAGGAATGTGAACTTTTCCATAGTGAAAAGGGGCAATTTAGAGATTTGATATCCAGTGTTATGTTCAGAAACAACTTCAAAGAGATACTTTCTGGATTCAGTCAAACGAAGAAAGCCTCGACAGACGCTCAGACCTAAGTCAATTGCAACTGCCGCAAAATGTCGATTTTTCTGGGTATCTACAAGGCGGTTTTCCAGTACGAGCCTCAATCGGAAGAGGAGTTGGCAATCGATGAAGACGACTTGTTGTATCTTCTCCAAAAGTCCGATGTTGATGATTGGTGGACCGTGAAAAAAAGAGTCATTGGATCAGATGCTGAAGAACCGGTGGGGCTAGTGCCCAATAATTACATTGAGGAGGCAACTGTCAAAACCACGGCCAAAGCACTGTATGATTATCCAGAAGTGCAGAATCCTGAAGAGGAGATCGAGTTCAATGAAAATGATGTCTTCGACGTTTACGACGATAGAGATCCGGACTGGGTTCTATGTAAATCTCAAAGAACAGGCGAATACGGATTCATACCTGGAAACTACGTGGAATTTGGGACCTCCGCCACAGCAGCAACAGCAGCTCCTGCAGCTCCTGCAGCTCCGCAAGTGTCGGAAGTTAATGCTTCGAGCTTTCCTCCTCCTCCACAACATATTGGTAGAACGGCAGAGCCTCGTCAGGTCGCAGCAGAACCCATACCACCATCTACACGACCAACAGAGTACCCATCAGATGAGGAAGAAGTCCCACCACCAAGGCCGACCAGGCCAACCGAGATCGCACAACCGGATATAGAAGACCGCAGTGGCGGTACCGAGAGTGAATCTTCATTTTTTCATACCTGGGATGTCTCTGAAGTCGACGGCAGAAAGAAACATAAAGCAAAACTGGCAATCGGAAGAAACTCAATTTTCTTTACGCCATCAAAAGGAACCCCACAACAGTGGCCCATTAATGACCTCAAGTCCTATGATAATGAGAAAAAGCACATTTTCTTGGAATTTTCGAATCCTTACGTTAATCTCGAACTACATACAGGGTCCTCCACTGTGGCCGATGAGATCATGACTATTCTAGGCGAGTTAAAAGGCGTGTACCATGCCAGCGGGTTACGTGAAGTAGAGGCGGCAACAAAAGCGCCTGCAAAAAAGTCTCATAGAAAGCAAGGTAAAGTGGTCTACGATTTTATTGGTGAATCCAACGACGAGTTGACTGTCAAGGAGGGCCAGGTCGTTTACATTTTAGACGATAAGAAATCACCAGACTGGTGGATGTGCGAATCTACCGAAAATGGGCGTAAGGGTGTCATACCAGCGCAGTTTGTGGAACCTATAAATCAGCTTTCATACATGGCAAGTTCTTTGAAATCCTTGGGCAGATCCAGCAATAAAGGTACTTCCGAGCCTTCGCCATCTAAAAACTGGAAAGACGACGCAGAACAGCACACATCCAAAAAGAATGCAAGGAAAAGAGCTTCTTCCATTCTGTCCCGCGGCAAGAAGCATGACGATGATTCGCGGTCTTCCAACAAAAAGCAAAAGGACTATCCTGATTCCAGTAAAACAAGAATATGGGTAGACAGGAGTGGTACTTTCAAAGTTGAGGCGGAGTTCATCGCTTGTGTCGAGGGAAAAGTTCATCTACACAAAGCAAACGGTGTGAAGATCGCCGTAGCAGCCGACAAACTTTGTTTAGAGGATCTAGAACGTGTTGAGCGGATGACTGGTACATCTCTAGACAAGTACAAGCCTAAAAATCCAAACAGCGGCTCTTCCGCGAGGGAGAAGGAACGTGAGAGAAGAAAAAGAATAAAAGAACATGAGGAACGCGAAAGGGAACGTGAAGAAAGAGAAAGAGATCGCAGGCTAAGAGAAAAAGAACTGGAGGAATTGCGCGAAGCCCGTGATTTGCTCGACAAAGAAAGGGATCTTCTACGTGCGAGACAAGAGAGGGATCTTCCTCCCATCAAACCCCCGCGTCCAACCAACGACGCGCACCCGTCTGCTTCTCCGGCAACAACGAAAAGCTTTAACAAACCGGTCGAGTACGACTGGTTCGAGTTTTTCTTAAATTGCGGTGTTGATGTGAATAACTGCCAGCGGTACACTATCAATTTCGAACGTGAACAGATTTCGGAGGAAACTTTACCCGACGTTCAGCCTTCTGTCTTACGGACTTTGGGTCTGCGCGAAGGTGACATTATAAGAGTGATGAAATACTTAGATCAGAAGTTCGGTAGAGAGAACACTCAACACCAGACTTCCACTGGTGGATTGTTTTCTGAGCCAGATGGATCCCTTAAAGTCTCTAATGATGGGAGAGCATCTGGATCGCTACCAGAGAAATTGCTCCCTCAAGCCTCGTCCGCAGATCAAAGGATAAGCACTCAAGATGATGATGCTTGGACTGTGAGGCCAGCGGCAACTTCAGAAGCTGCATTGCCACCTCAAAAGTCAGAGTTTACTGGATCCATGCAAGATCTTCTCGATCTGCAACCTTTAGAGCCTAAAAAGGCACCACAACCGATTCTAAAAGATTTGGAGCCTGTTAAAACAGGGTCTTCGAGAGCTGAGCCAGGTTTGGTACCAGAAAAAACCGGACAGTCGTTGGCTCCTTTAGATCCATTCAAAACGGGCGGTCATAACCTCATTCCGATGGTGACTGGAGGATTCGTTATGGTCCCGGTCAGCACAGGGGGCTTATTGCCTCTTAACAGAACTGGTGGAATGATTCCACAAACAACTTTTGGAATGCAAGCGCCCGGAACTATCTTACCAGTGCAAAAGACAGGAAGCGGGCTAATCCCTGCTTACACTGGAGGGCTCTTGCCACAGACGACTTTTGGCATGCAAGGATCTAATAGCATAATGCCCTTGCAAAGAACAGGCGGTGCTCTTCCCTTATCGCAGACGCAGATGACGGGTGGGCTTTTACCACAAACGACATTCGGAATGCAGGGAATTAATAACACAGTGCCTCTTCAAAGGACCGGCGGAGCTCTCTCTCTACAGCAGTCCCAGCTAACTGGAGGTAACCTCGGACTAATAAGTGGTCAGTCTCAAATGCCATCAACGTCATTCGGAATGCACACGACAGGTGGAATGCTGCCCTCGGCAACTGGTGGAAATGTTTTACCAATGCAAAGAACAGGAGGACTCACGTCTTTCGGAACAGGGGGACTGCATCTTCAATCGGCTCTTCCCCAGACAAGTTTTGGAGGTCAAATTACTGGCGGTGGTTTCAATGTACCATCACAGCCTGGCTTTTCGAACAATTTCACTGGAGGGCCTGCCTTGGCGCCTGCCACAACCTTCGGCAACCAGATGACGGGTGGCGGAAATATGATGCCCCCAACATCTTTTGGAAGTCATACTACAGGAGGGATGCAAAATTCTTTCAATGGCTCGATGAGCACGGGAGGTGCAAATAACTTTGGTCAAAACATGACGGGTTTACCTCAAAACACTTTCAGTGTCCAGAGAACTGGCGGATTTCAGGCGGCAGGACAGCCCTCTCTCCCCACAAATCCTACCGGAGGATTCCAACCCCAATCACAATTCGGGATGGGATTGCAAAGGACCGGAGGGGTATCATCGTTGCCTCAAACTTCCTTTACTACTGGTAGTGCGTTGCAGCCACCCTTAGGAAATTCCTTCACTGGTGGAATGAATCAGCTTAACAACGCATTCCAAAACACTTCCATCTCGCAACCCGTACTGCAGTCTCAGCCCACTGGTTTCGGTTTTGGGAATGGTCCACAAACTCAACAACGTGCAGCTAATATGTATAACGCCACGGCCGATAATCCATTTGGCTTTTGAATAATTGTTCAATGTGGACAATTTCAAAAACAATCGCTCGTGAGGATAACAAAAGCAGAAAGCAAGCCTTCCACTCACATCATGTTCAGCTCCGAACTAGAGATCGCGTCTTGGTGCATTGGAGCATGTTTACATGCCTCTTTCAATAAATAGTCAATTATAAATAGTTGTTAACTTGAAGTTTGAACTTCATGATTGGTGGTGATCACCATTCCTGGGCTTTGTTTCCGAAGGGGCTCTTCTTCGATCCAACGATAGGCTTAACCAAACGCGACCCGCCTTCCAAGAAAGAAAACTGATCTCTTCTTTTAGCTTCGAATTTCACGATGAAATCTTCCTTCTGCAAAGTAATGCCAATGTCATCGAGGCCGTTTACCAGGCAGTGTTTTCTGAAGCTTTCGACCTCAAAGTTCTCGACCAGAACCTTGTCATCAGAATCCAAAATGCGTTGATTTGGCAGGTCGATAGTCAAATTCTTACCAGCCTGGGCAACAGGGTATATCTTTTCTAGAATAACACTTTGTGGAAGTCTGATAGGTAGCAGCCCGTTTTTGAAGGAGTTGTTATAGAAAATGTCGCCGAACGATGGGGCGATGATGGATTTGATTCCAAAGTCTTTCAACGCCCATGGAGCATGCTCTCTAGACGATCCACAACCGAAGTTGTCACCAGTGACAACGAGAATTTGAGATTTGGTGTAAGGCTCTGTATCCAATACAAAGCCGCGAGATTGGTCTTTACCCTCAGCATCTTTGGTGAAACGCCATTCGTAGAAAAGACCAGATTTTAGTCCAGTTCTCTTAATGGTTTTCAAAAATTGTTTGGGAATAATAGCGTCTGTATCGACGTTTGCCTTATCCAATGGCGCAGCTATGCCAGAAACTGTCAAAAATGGCTCCATGCCAGCGGGAGCTGAGTTTGTAGAAGTCTTGGAAGGTGTTTCATGGGCGTTGTGTTCGGCAGGCGGAATATCACGGATTTCATCGTCTTCCAACTCGTCAGCAGATTCGCCTTTTTGAAGCGGTTGTTTCTCGTGCTCGTAGACAGCATCCTGCAATGCCTTGTCTTCAGCCTCTCTCTCAACGGAAATTTTTGGCACATCGTTGTCCTTATACTCGAATTCTCTGATATCAACAAAATGACCGTGAATACCTGCCGCAGCAGCCATAGCTGGAGACATCAAGTGGGTACGGGATCTTGCACCTTGACGGCCTTCGAAGTTTCTGTTGGAAGTAGACGCGCAGCGCTCTTCTGGGTTTAAGATGTCAGGGTTCATACCTAGACACATCGAGCAACCAGCTTCTCTCCATTCAAAGCCAGCCTCCTCGAAGATCTTGTCCAAGCCCTCCTTTTCAGCTTGCTCCTTGACCAAACCGGACCCTGGAACAACCATGGCAAGTTTGACAGTGTCGGCCTTTTTGTGGCCTTTTGCAACAGCAGCAGCAGCTCTCAGATCCTCGATACGAGCATTGGTACAAGAGCCAATGAATACCTTATCGATGGAAATGCTCTTGAGAGGAGTATTTGGCTTGAGACCCATGTATTTCAAAGCGCCTTCCATCATGGATTTCTTGATAGCATCGGTCACATTGACTGGATCTGGAACGTTAGCAGTGATTGGTAGAGCGTCCTGTGGTGAAGTACCCCAGGTAATAGTTGGAATAATGTCTGCAGCCTTGATCTTGATGTCAAAATCGAAATGAGCACCTTCATCAGTGTGCAAGGTGTTCCAGTAAGAAACGGCTTTTTCCCATTCGGCACCTTTTGGCGCTAGAGGTCTACCCTTGACGTAGTCGAATGTAGTTTGGTCTGGCTTGATCATACCGGCTCTAGCACCTGCTTCGATAGCCATGTTACACATGGACATACGGGCTTCCATGGTCAAGCCCTCGATGGCTTCACCTGCAAATTCCATAACACATCCGGTACCACCAGCAGTACCAATCACACCAATGATGTGTAGAATCAAATCCTTGGATGTCACACCAGGAGCCAGTTTGCCCTCAACGTAGATTCTCATGTTCTGAGACTTGGCCTGAATAATGGTTTGTGTAGCCAAGACGTGCTCGACTTCCGACGTACCGATACCGAAAGCCAGAGACCCAAAGGCACCGTGTGTCGAGGTGTGCGAGTCACCACACACAACGGTTGTACCTGGTAGTGTAAAACCTTGCTCAGGACCAATAATGTGGACAATACCTTGTCTGGCATCAGTCATACCAAAAAATGGCACATCGAAGTCCTTGACATTTTTTTGCAAAGTCTGCACTTGCAACAAGGAATCAGACTCCTTGATAAAGGTTTCAGGGCTCTTGAAGTCCTTTCTGGACCAAGTTGGAATGTTATGATCCACAGTAGCCAAAGTACAGTCCTTTCTTCTGACTGGTCTACCAGCAGTTTTTAGCCCTTCAAAAGCCTGAGGAGATGTAACTTCGTGGACCAAATGTCTGTCGATGTAAAGCAAATAAGAACCAGAGTCGTCCTTGTGGACAACATGGTCTTCAAAGACCTTATCGTAAAGAGTTTTGGGACCTTTAGCGGGAGTAAAAGTCATGATCCGCTATATGTTTTGGAGTGGTTCAAATGGGAATACAGGTATTTCAGATCCGGCAAAAAGCTTGATGAAGCTCAAGTTGAAGAATTCGCGCTCCTTTTATAGGATTATGGGATCGTATTCGAGTTCGATAGTTTTTCACATCTTCAAATGATGTGATGCTTTGGAGATGAGCTCGCCATATTGTTAATTTCAAAAAAAAATTTGGCCGGTACCGGCCTCCAAGTGTCATGTGCAAGCTGATATAGAAAAATTTCGCCGGAACCGGCCCTTGGCGATCTATTTACGAATTACACGCCGGTACCGGCATTAACGCTATGTCATCAAAGCTCAGTGATTTTGACAGAGAGAGCATTTTCGACAGCAATCCACCATTGACTAGTTGTTTAATACCATCGACACTCCGCATTTTTGTTGTTGTTGACAGCTTTCGCGGTGTGTGATTTTGACTTTAGTCTTACCTTTACGTATGTATATGCATTATCACTTTGGTTTGAGACTGACGCTCGCCATTAAAATGAGAGCTATCGATGACACACATGCGAATTGAAACAGTTTCTCAGTCCTGGGCTGTCCAGCAGCCCATATCCGAGCTCCACACATATGTTTCTCGCGGACTTACGAGGTCCACAATCAGGTTGTGTGTTTTCAAGTCGATACCAATTTTGATCACTTTCTTGTGAACACGGACACGGTTGGATTCGACAGGCGTGTTGAATAAGATAGGCATAATAGGTACCCTTTTGTGAATGCATTTGCTGTTTATGATGTCCCATGCATATAGTAGTCCAGTTTCTGTTAGCACTAGTAAATAGCGGTCGACGGTACTCATCTTGATAGCTTTATGTCCTAGGGCAATTTTCGGCAGTTTGTGTTGGCCAAAAGCCGTGTATAGAAGCAAATTACCATCCGCCGTTGCCAGAATCCAGCATTTGCATCGTAAAGAGCCCACCGCGCATATAACCACTTCAGGTATCAAAATGTCTATCACTCTTTCCCCGCTGTGGTAGGCTAGAATCTTAGTTGGGCTTTCGTAAAGCTCGTCGCGATCAAATTGCAAGCCACGTTCTACGCCGTTGCGTATTTCCATCACGTACAAGTCATCCAATCCACCGAACTCCACTAGAAAAACGTCTGCCTCTGAAATGACGTTAGGCGTTTCCACGTATCTGGTGTTAGGCTCATCAACCCAGATTCTCTCAGCTGTAGTCCTAGAATTGAGCTTCATTATGTGGTCTTTTGAAGACACCTCATCTGTTTCCTCGGATTTCTTCTGCGTGTCCCAATCTTCGTCTGGCTTGGCAGCTCCATCTCGAAAATACTTGTCGACACCCCGTTCTCGGACACCCATGACCAAAGAATGAATACCAAGTCTTGGTAGAGCGTAAGATTGGCGAGAAAGTTTCAGCTTTAGACTCTCTAATATATCACCAGACTCCGCGATCTTGAAATTTGTCGATTGCGATTCGAATGGTAGCTGCTTATCGGTCGATACCTTGACTGGAGAGTAGCCCGAAGAAATCAAAGTAGGGGCAACTCTCTTACGTCCATTCTTGACGACTGTAGTGTTGAGAGTGTCCGACTTTTTTTTGGAAGCTGTGAGATCAGGTTTTTTCGTTATTGGTGTCATGGCACCCACAGGAGGTTCTTTCCTCTTCACATTCAAGACAGTAGGTCTTTGAGCTGTACCTGGAGATGGAATCTCAACCAATTTCTGGGGTGGTCGATGATTAGAGGTTTCTGCTAAGATCGACTTCCTCTCTTTAAATTCTCTGTCACCCAATCTTTTGGCCTCGTCTTCGAGCTCTAGTTGCTTGACACTCTCTGGAAACTCGAAGGAGTCCTTGTCAACGCCGTATCTATGAAGCTGCTCGATGTTTTTCTCCAGTGGTATCATTTCACCGAGTTCACCAGGTTCGAACACTATGGTTATTATCGAACCGTCCAACGAGGTTAGGAATAATATGGAGCCATCAGGGCTCCAAACCATATCTGTAATTGTCTTGCTAGTGATATCATACGCGATCACGAGAGGCTTTGCTCTACTTGTACTCCAAATCACAAGTGTTTTGTCTTGCCCTGCGGTAGCGATGACGGAATCAACCTTTTCTTCTACTACTTCCTCGATGTCAGCATCGTCCCTCTCTATCTTGTCTTCGGCTGATGGTTGCTGAGCATCATCAATATCGGGTTTCTTGACCTCGCCGCTGGGTTCTGGGCTTCGTTTCTTGAGCTTTTTTTGCAAAACTCGGAATAGTCGTGGATTGAAGCGTACGACTTCAGTGGGAGAGTCGTGCCCAATTAACGTTACACTTGTGTCCCAACTACCACGAGAAATAATCGAAACGGAAGAAACAGGCCCATTCGTAGCATTTGGGGCCGCTATATGCTGTCCATCAGGAGACCATGAGAGTCGTCTGAAATAAGTCGTTATGGGGGAGCCTTTGAAGGGCTCCGTTACAACGTGTTCAATGGAGAAGTTCAAATCGCCGGCTTTATGATAACGAAACACGCGTAATGTTCGATCATCAGACGCAGTAGCAAAATACTTGTTTGCCGGGTCGAAAATCACACCTTTAACAAGAGACTGGTGGACATCGAAACGCTTGATCTTCTCGAAAGTCGATCCGTTCCATACAATGACAGATCTGTCCAGTCCCACAGTGACCAAAATGCTAGAATCAGGTGCCCAGCAGATATCTTGAATGTCATTGTCGTGAGCCACCAACCTGCGTCGTACGTTCCAGTGTTCTTTATCATTTTCTGAACCAAACACCGGCTGTTTGGACTCCTCATCCCGTTCCCAAATTAGCAGTATTCGATCGTCAGACCCTGAAGCTAGGAATTTGCCGTCGGGGGAAAACCTCAAAACTGTCACTGATCCAGTATGCCTACTCATGCTAGCCAATGGCATTTTTGATTCTTGATCAACAGGTGGTGTATCTGCAAGAGCAAACTTGACGATGTCAGGGACCGACCAAATCCTTATTTTTCCATCCAGCCCTCCAGTGGCCAACCTTTGGCCATCTGGACTAACATCTGCAGTGTATACTTCGTATTTTCGATGTTCCTCTTGAATATACATGTTAGTATTGAAGTTTGTACAATTTCTTGACGAAAGCGCCTTTTTCTGAGCTTCGAGTTCTCACATACCCTTATGTGCCACCCACGGGAGCTTCAGAATCTTCATTAACCAATGGGTCCACTACGAGAATGTCAGTTTCGCAAGAGATGTCGTTCTTGAACTACATTTTCAACAAATAAAACTAGAGTTGGATGAAATGTTCAGTTAATTTAACGTATAAAAAGGTCTAGAATAGTTAACTTGGATACTTTGAAATATACAGCTCGTGATGAATTAGAAGCTCTCATCGCTTTTTGAATTGATGCTGAACATCTTGAAGTTGTCTCTTGACAGTATAAACTTGTCTCTTGATACTGGAGAAAATGAACGCTTTGAGGATGTGCGAACTCTTCATCTGAAGATGACTTGAGCTGTTTTGTTTGATCGTCAGGAATAGTTGAGGGCGTGTGAATAGACTCTTATTGTACCGAAGGGAAGGAGTCGACAGTTTTAGCTGTAAAGCCTGTGATTTGTAGCTGGAAAAGCACATATCCCAAAATGTAGGTTCATCAAAGATTAACAAATGTCTTCGATCTATAGTTTAGTGGTGTGGAAAAGTATCTCAAGTCTTTTGGATAGAGGACCAACATCAAGGCTCTGAAGCATTAGACAGGTGTACACCGTTGGCAATGCTTCTGTAAAGTTGTCCCGCGATTGCCCTATTTTTCACACGTATGAGCTTTGTATCAGACAAACTGTCCTCTACCATGCCTTTCACTGCAGGCAGCTAACATGCAAAACTTTGAAATTTTAAGATGCGAAAAGGAATAGTCATGATGCGGTATTACATGGTTTGTAAGACATGCAAACGAGGAGTTGAACTCCTAAAATAACTCGGCATGAAATCTGTTGCAGATATTCCAATCGAAGCGCACCCTTTATCAATTATAAGTGGAGGCTCAAAAGTGCTTTTCTCAGGTGTGATCTTACGACATTTCTTGCAATGTAACGAGCCGTTGACTGTTTTATCCTTTAGCAACGCTCAACATTTCATTGAGTTAGACCCGGCGTAATACCACTCTTACCCTCAAATGACAAACTACTGATGGCGTCTATTTGGTTGATAGGGATATTGAGACGTTCGTCGTTGTCGGGCTTCGAGCAGATGACGTCAGGTTCTTTCTGGAATCAGATCTGCAGAACGACAATGGGATGCATGCATGATGACGTCATCCAATTAAATTTCTAGGGTCTCGAGGGTCACGTGTGATTTCTCATCATGGAGCTCCTGTAAATGGTGGAAGCCCGTTACAAGCCATCCACCATTCCAACACCGCATTGGATGCGGCACGGCTACCTCGAGTCACAAACAGCTTCTCCACAAAGACTTGGTGTGCTTGTAGCTGGTGAGCAGCAAGCTCGGGCAACGCTTTTACTAACCACTGTCGTGATTGCAATGGATAGCGCGCGACCAGCGCGCGTAAAAAGTCCGAGTAGCACGCTAAATCTGAGCGCTGGGCATGCAATAGTGCTTGTAGCGTGTGTGCGACCAGTTGTGGGCCTAGTTCACAAACTTGGGCACGCACTGTGACTTCATCCGCACGAGAAAAGCGCTTGTTGTTAACGACTTTGGTCCAAAACTTGGTAACAGCTGCAATTGTGAAGCGTTCTTTCACTCCAAGTGCCCGTACAAATTCGGGGAGAATGAACGAAGTCCAGTGGTCGCCGTGAACGACCAGACCAGGACGTGTTTCGAGCACTGAGCTCACAAAAGTGACCATCAACTGTGTGAGATCGGGGTCAGACGCTACAGCGCCACGATGTGCACCTAGAAAAAACTCACCAAAGAGATAGTCAAAGTCCGTTGGTGCCAATGCGCTTGCGTACCTGCGTACAACTAGTTCCAGCAGGTAAATCAAATATGGCAGCGCTACGGTGGGCTCACATGTTCCGTTACGCTTCAGTAGAAAGCCTAGTAGCTCTTGCATTGAGTATGCCAGAAAATGCGGGCCGGACTCTGCCGCAGCCAGGTTGCTACCCATAATTAAACAAGTGCGCTCCACGAACTCGGCATCGTTACCATACTGTGCCAGCACAGACTCCAAAAGCTCGAGAACTGTGCTGCGCAGTTGCAGCGGGTCAGCTGCCCAGTACTCGTTGCTGTGTGTCAACTGAGCAGGAAGCATGTCTTCAACAACATCTGAGGGAATCACAAGCGCGCTGGCTAATTCGGAAACGCAATGCAATAAGCACAGAACGTGGTCGCGATCATTTGAGTTTTTGGAAATCTCGCTCTGAATTGCATTAATGACGTTAGCCAAATAATGGGCTTGTCGCTCGGGGCCCTCCCGGATGCAGTCCTGAATGAAATATCCTACGCAACAAGTAAACTTTTGCTTCGTGTAGTCGGAAACTTTGGAGCTCTGGTGCATCATAGACTCCTGAATCTGTAGAACCGTTGGTAAATATGATATGAGCTCTGCACGACTCGTTTCGCACATCTTTGTGATGCATCTTGTTATAAATAGTTCAATCTTGCTGTCTGTGGCGTCTGCGTTTGCACATTGGTCTAGAGACTTGAACAAGACATCCATGCAATTCCTCAAATGTTGAACATCATTCTTGATGTAGTTTGCTACTGTGGCTACCATAGACGTTCCAGTTTTCACGAAATCACAGCTCAGCATTTGTGCTTCTTTACCATTAGCTGCGCTTTTCTGTTGGCCCCCGGTTTGGATGAGCAATAAAACATTGTCTAAAAAGGCCCCATTAGCATCCAAAACTCCACATAACATCGGGCTTTCACTCAAGTTCATATCAGATAACAGTTTTTCGAGACAGAAGCACATCGCCTCAACTTGGAAGAGCTCGTCTCCCGAGGTGGGAATCAGCTGTCCGATACTCACGATGAGAATGTCGGTCAATTTTTCGTTACCTAAAACTACCCACATCGACTCTAATAAATCCAAGACCGCATTTCTGAAGTCGTCAAATTCATGTACAAGGGTTTCGTCTTCTCCTTCCCGAAGAATCCTTTGCTTCACCGATAGTTGGATTTTGGGCAGATATATCTGCACTACTTGACTGAATAGGTTCGTGGCCAGAGCCGGCGTATCAGGCTTGAAAGTCTCCCTAACCAAATTATTATACCCATCACACAAATCGAGCCAAAAATCTACCATTCTTACCGAAAAAAACTCCTCCAAAACTGGTGTTAGCGTGAAATTAGTCATTTGCAATAAAACTTTGATGTACTGATCAAGATTGTGAGAGTCACTGCTGGAGATGGTGGTGAAAAGTTTGTTGCAAACGTCCAGATTACTGATCTGCAGGAAATCCACAACGCAGAGAGCCAATTCCTTGAGTTCTTCGTGCATTTCATTGACAACAAGATGGTTCATGTATTGAAGCATCCATTCATGGCCGGCAGCGTTATTGGTTCCTGACTTTTGAACTCCCAAAAAAATTCCCTCTACATTTGATCTCAATTCGTAGTTCAACATTGTAGGATCGTTGCCAAAAACATCACCCAAGATGGCGACCACATTTTCGGAATAGAGGAAGTTCTGCGCCGAGTCGTGCAAACACATTAGCTGGATCAATAGTTCGAACGTTTCGCTCAGATCCATGTGTCCTTGAGATTTGGTTCTTGCCATTATTGTGTAGTTCACCCATGCGGCCACGCATCGAAACACGTTGTCCGCAAGCGAAGGCCGTTCTTTTGAATTGTTGTGAAATGCAACCACCAACTGCTGGAGATTGTAGTTTATAATGGAAATGCTGGATATGTACAAGTGTTCGTGTACCACACCATGAAGTCTTGAGACTCCGACCTTCACGGATTGGTGCTTGACGAGATCTTCAATCAAGACCTCTGAAAATAGCATTGCTAGCGTATTGAATTCGGGCGCGGAAGTAATAAGTTGGATAAGGTGATCATACGGTATAGTTTGGGACTCCGCATGTGCAAAGATCTCATCGATATTTTCCGGAGTGAGCGTCGAGTGGGATACAAGTGCGCAAAATGTCTCTAATGGATTTTTCCATCTATCAACTGAAGACCCTCCCGTCGAGACATCTCCACTGTTGATTCTAAAAAAGATTTGCGCTGCGTTGGACATCAACTTTTTTATCACGATCATACGGGTTTCATACAGCCGGGACTTTGTGATGAAAAGCTGCGATCTTCGGGCCAAATGATACATGTTCAGTTTCAACAGCTCTAAAACTCGATCTGTGGAATTGCTTGTATGAAATTGAACCGCCAAAGTCAAAGCTCCAAAATACTGAACATTGGTAGATGCCTTTTCATCTGACAGCAGCTGAATACCAAGCTCAAGCCCGTGGTCTGAGCGCTGCACAGCTTGCAGTTGCTGTTGGATCTCATTGACATCGCTTGGTGGCTGGGGCGCGTATAATGACTCTATAAGCTGCACAGGAACATAGTTAGTATTTAGGTCAAAAACAAAGTAAAATTCAAAGCGATTTGAACCACAAAAATACGTACATTCACTGCTTGATGTAGCCCGTCCATTGATCAAACCAGCAACGAATTTCCAAGCTTTCCTGGCTAGGTCTCTCTGGCATTAGAACTCGAGAAAACGGTTAGCTGCGTATAACGAAATATATTTCTTTAGGAAATTTAGCAGGAGCCGTCGAGTATGACAACAAGACTCGAAATCAACGGTGAGAAAACGATTCGAAGTGCTGGAGGCAGAAGACGTTCTTTGCGAGCAGTTCTTTGCGACAATTTCCACCTCCCTAGGTTCTACGAAGTCCATTTCAAATGTATGGGTGAAACAGGCATTTTTTTCGATAAGCGACGTCAAAAAAAGTGCAATGACAAAACGGTGAAGAAGATAGGGCAGGTTGCCCATTGAATGTAAATAAACTTGTCCTTAGACTTCCAAACCACACGTTATTTTATCTGGTCAGGCTACACAATGATGAGGCTCTTGGCGGTAGCGTTGAGACCGATCATGCGGATGACGTTGCAAATGACACGCTTGGTACGCTTGGTCTCGGCTGCAAAATCAGATACCACTCGTATTTGACCACTGCGAACATTGTAGAGCATAAGTTTGTTGTTGAGCCGAGTGATATTGCCACATTGAATGATTTGCAAAATCTGCCAGAGTGGCAGCAAACCTGGTACGACGTTGGGTAAGTGATATATCTCGTTTGTGTAGCCTGGAATGTCTCCATCGTCTTTCTCATAAACAGTTTCGGGTTCTGATAGTGATTGGAAAATGCCAGGCACCTTGTGCCGATACAGATCGTCGAACAATGTCGGCGTATATTCGATTCCCAGATCGGCCAGCTTCTCAGCGGCCTCATTGGCCGACATAATAGCTCCGCCGTGCTCGCCGTAGATCTTGTCGACAATGTTTACAGGAGGTCCTTCCAAATTCAATCTCGGCACATCATCGAGCGGCAGCTCTGCTTGAGCGTCTGTATCGCCCGGATAGTCGTCTTCGTCTTCGTCTTCCTCGTCGTATTCATCGTCGTTATCTCGGTTGCGGTGTTCGTGATCTAGCACAAAAAACTTACCCTTCTCCACCAGCGGCGTCACAAGATCCAAGGGAACATACTGGTTATTACAAACGTCGAGAATATCACCCCCATATTTGCGTTTGTATCTCATCTTCGGACAATCATCCACATAGTACCCCAGATAATAATATTGGCGATTGATTTTCGACAGTATACTTAGCTCTCGCAACGCGCTCAGCTTTCCCAAAGACCAGCGAGGATAATCTGGATCCCAAATGAAGTACACGGATGAAATTCCGCTGGGCAGGAAATCTGTCACTGCAATGGCTATCAACTTGTTCTCGTAGTAATAGCATTCGTGCACGGGCCCGACTCTTTTTAGCTTTTCCCCCGGTTTCATGCAATGCCACTTGTTAAGCTGATCCCATTCTTCTTGGGTTCCAACTACTACATCTTCTGGGAAAGGTGATTCGCAAAGAAATCTCTTGAATGACTTTATCGAATTCTTGAAATCATTGTGCACATTCTCCTGATATTTGACAAATAGATTGTATTTTTCCATTGTGAACATGGCAGGCTCGAATCGTGTGTAAAAGCTGTCACTTTTGAGCTCTGCTTCGACAATCTCTTGAATATAGTCGAATTTCGCTTGCGTGGTGCTCCCACCCTTACCTTTGCGCCCCTGTCTTGAAGCTTCATCCTGTGCCGTTGTAATTCGTTTGCGAAAGCGTGTCACACACGTTTTCAACTCTTTCGAGATTTGGCATTGATCGGGTTTGGTCCTTATCGTGTAAAGTCGACAGCAGTTTCTAAGGAGATCTGCCTTGTACAAGAAATTGCCCGACCTGCGGAATCCCAAGTTGCAGAGATCGTCGTATACATCAACAGGCATCAATTCTACCTGTATGCCAAGCGTGCAATTATTAAATTGTAATGAATCCGCATCCCTCTCATGAACTTTCCACCATGATTCTGTTGCAAAATAGTCCTGTTTGTCGGACTTTTTACCGCTACAGTACCCACATTTTTCGTTCGGTTCCGTCAGGTACAATGGCTTGGAAATAATCAGCCGATCTGAGAGCTCCATGGAGGCTCTACTAGACCGAAGTTGAGTTGGACTCAGGAAGCTATCCTGTATGCGATCTTAAGCAGCATATGAAATATGTGCCAATTTATGGTACCTTATAGTTGCGCACCATATACGGAATTTGTCAAAATCAAGAGCTCACGTGCTAAGAGTCACTCAGTGACTCACCGGCTTACAAACTAATGAATTAGACGTAAGCCTAAATTTTAGGTTTATCCGACAAGCTTCATGAGCAATCGAGAGTTTATTGTATGGGTTTGTATTTACAATTATTAGTACAAATCGTGGATCAGCACGGGCGGCACGAAACGTAAAAAAGATTAGAATGTCATGTTTCACGTTCGATGACTCAGGTGGCAACTACGCTTTAGATGGGACGGGATCTGCATCCACATAGCCTAAAAAATCAACTACCCCAAATTTGGTGTGTTACCGCCTGTAAACAAGCAGACTTTTAAATCAAATGACAGGCTGTTTTCGCGTCACGTGACTCAATTTTTTCGATGACAGCTTATTGCCAGAGTGATATCATATGTTGCGTGTCATTATTCCTGGTGACTGCCCGTCGCCCATAAGTGATTGAAGAAGTTGTGCTTTAAAGGCTGTAAGACGATGGTATGTAAAGCGTAATCTGAGTGAGTTTGTATAAATTATTACAATTTCAATCGACGCTGTCATGATGGAATGAATAAAATGCACCATCCAGGTAATTTTAAATCAAGATCGCAGAAATCAAGAAGGTGAGACCATGGTTATCTGTGTGGTGAAAATTCGAGCTTTTATCCTGACAAACTCGGGATAATGAACTTTGCTTCTAAGTTGTTTCGTAGAGTGAAGTGACACACATATACCGCATACAAACAATTACGGGCACGTGACTGGACAATTTTAGAAACTAAAAGAATGGTAACGTACTTATCTTTATCATTCAATTAGTCGTTAAGTAGCGTCAAAGATTTCGTGTTTCAGTTGTGGTGTCTCCTGTCTTGCAAAGTTCTCTAATTTCTCGAAATTGGCCATCGCGAACTCTCGGGCTGGCTAAATTGAGAATGCCCTACGAAGAATTTCCGGATCACATACCTGGAAATTAATGGGAAATTCACCTCATTTTATCACAGGCTAGCTATCCACACTTGAGGTCTGACAGTGTTATGCTTCACGACAGACGTTGCCAGTTTTATAGAGTTTAGTACAAAGTGACACATTTAAACCATACGGTTTATAGAAATCAGATGGACCTTACAGGAGTGCTCATCATGGGTAAGAAGTTCTTGATCTGCAATTCGAAATGTCCCGTTACCTGTCACGTAAGCTCTACAGCACATTGAATGCATTCAAGGTATTTCCTCAAACTTTCGCGGGTGGAAAATGGGTTTGGGATGTTGATCTACGTAAACTGAGAAAAGAATACAGGGCGCTGCAAGCTCAAGAACACCCCGATACAAATGCCAATACGAACTCTGGAAAAAGTTCTGAGCTGAATCATGCATACCAAACTCTCAGACAGCCTTTACTACGGGCTCAGTATATATTAAAAACTCAAGCTCAACTGGACCTTGGAAACGAACGAAAATCACAGGATATTGCACAACGAGATCCTGAACTTCTAATGAAAGTTCTAGACGTACACGAGGAGCTGGAGACACTTTCTACTGAAGAAGATGTCAAGCAAATTGCTTCGGCCAACCAAGAGCGGATGCGAGACCTGGAAGCAAAATTGGGCGAAGCTTTCAAAACGGAAAATTGGATTCTTGCTGCGCAGCTTACCGTGGAATTGAAATACTGGGCCAGTCTCGATAAAGCTGTAAAAGAATGGGAACCGGGTACGCGATTGGAACTGCATCATTAAAGATTCTATTATCGTCTTGATTGCAAGGTATATATATCTTCATTTATATGAGCTGACACACACACACACACACACACACACTTGACAGTACCCAAAAAAAGGTGACAGCTATGAGCATACACTCCTTCTTGCCGCTAGATCCCATCTATCACTTTATTCTGCGTCGCGGCTCTCAAAAGAGCTGGATAGGATAGGATCTCCAGAATTCGAAAAATACTTTTCTGATTCTTCTTTAGCGGACCTGTGGAATTTCAAACTCGCATTTTTCAAGCTCTGACAGTTCTTCTTTAGTCTTGGGGTACTGTCTGAGCCACCGCATTCGAGACCCCGATGGAGCTTCTTCGGATATTTTGAACCCGAAGACCTTAAGCTGATAAGTGTCTTTGGACTTGCGGTCAACGTAGTCTTCCAGTTCTTTGAAATGCTTAAGAAACACGCCTGGAAACGAGGTACCCCAGAAAGCACCTTCTAGGCAAAGATGGCGGGACGATTGCGGGAGATACAGGTCTCCACAACTGGGACAATACAACCGCACTGTCATTTTCCCTAACGTATCGGTGAGCCCACAAGGGAGCATTTGCATGCTTGCACAGTAGTAGCGGGGACAGATGCCGAATTCCTTATGGTCGAATTTTTCGGCCATGGCTTGAAGACCCGGCTTAGTGAGGATGTATCTGGCGTGCACCAGCCCGTATAGCTGTTCGGCTGCGTGCTCGATTATGCTCCGACTGACCGGTTCCTCGGTTTCTTGGCCCTCTTCGTCGCTCATGGCTTCGAGATCAAGCACCAGATCGAGGGCCTTGCGGTAATGTGGCACTTCTTGCGCAAGTCCCGTCATATTGAAGTCGTCTTCGATAAATTCCGTAGGAACCTCGCAAAAATATTCGTGACCAAAACGATGGCAGAAGGAAGGAATCCATTCGTCATAGGTTCCGCTTTCATCGCTGCTTCCAGTTCTGGACGTTTCACCAATGTATTCTGTCATGAAAGGCAGTATTTGAAGATGGTTTGCAACGTTTTTTTTATCCTTTTTGACCTGCAAAAACTCTGAAAACGAAGTTGAAGCGATATCTGAACTAGTAAGGTCTATGTCGTTCAAAAACTGGACTTTGATACCAGACTAATGGTTGTATGGTCGATGTTGTTGTCGCTTGGGTTCTTTGAACTCAACGTCCAATTAAGCTTTTCTTGCCCGTTTTTGTCGGTTGAAATCGGAAATTTGCGCTCTCAGAACTTTTAAGCAGTCAATTAGGCGTAAATTCTGCTGCGAAAATAGCCTTAGCGTCGGTAAATGCTTTGTGATAAAAGCAGCTTTCAGATTATTTCATATAGCTCATCATCATCATTTTCATCATAATCAACATTAGCTTCTTCATCTTCTTCTTCTTCTTCTACTTTATTATCTATGCTAATGATACCTTTAATTGATCCTTTTGACATCATTGTTTACGAGAAGTGTTTGGCACAGCAATCACATGATCTTCAATCACATGTCAGGATTATATAATCATGATGTTTATCCAATCGTGTAATACGGTTTGGGCTCGTGATCATTAATTACATAATCATGATTTGAGTTATCATCTGACATAGATGTGCTACGACACGTGAGTGTTGATCTCCTTTTATACGACAGGAAAAATGATCAATAAAGTGGATTTGAATATCTAAAAGCGATCCTACAACCAACCATCTTGACAATCGCTTTAGTTTGACTCTCTATCTCTCCATCCCTCTTTTCAACTTTTCACAACTCGGTTTTTCCAACAAGCATTGTCGATGGTGGATTCGATTGTCTTGATCAGCGTTGTGCTTGTGGTGGCATTGAGAGTCTTACAATGGGTGTCGCATTATAAGGACTCGGTGGTCGACGCGATTTGGTCGAAACCAGGAGCTCTGAGACTGCGTGAGCTAAGCAGGAAACTTCATAGTCTTCAAACGCAACAGAGGACTCTCAGCGCTCAGGATGAGTACGCGAAATGGACGAAGCTCAATCGGCAAATAGCCCAGCTCGATAAACAGGTAAAAGAAGCTCAAGAAGAGCTCAAACAGATGCGCCAGGCTGGAGAAAAATCGTTATCTCGGGTGCGTTTGCTGACTCTGACAGCACCGCTACTCTTGTTACGGTTCTGGAAAGGTAAGACTGTCGTTTACAGCGTTCCACAGGGTATTTTCCCACGTTTGATTGAGACAGTGTTGTCGCAAGGCTGGGCAGCATTAGCAATGGCCCCCGTAAGATACATTTGGGCACCAGGTCCTTTGAAACCACTACAGCTGGAGACCCCGGTGTGTTTAGGTATTTGGATTTGGGCGCTAACAAGAGTTTTGGACACAGTGGAGTTTGTAGCTAGAAGTTTAGTTGCTTGAATAGGCTGGAACCGCGCAAAAATTTTGACCAACTGATAATCTAATGTATTCAAATAAAATACTCAGAATCTTGAGCAATTCACCGGGCATGCCGTACTACGATCTGAGGTAGCATTTTCACTGGTTATTTTTTTAATGAAAAGCTCATAGTACAGCTGTTTGACAGTTCGATTCGCAATTAATATCACTTACCATCATTTTTATCTCGTGAAAGCTATGCCTCTTATGTGCCAAGTATATACGTTATTGTTCTCATATATGCTCCTGTTAATGTTCCCGGCGGTTGAGACTTTCAAACCTTTATGTGTTTCCGTCCTTCTTCATTCTATCATTTGCGAAGCCTCATGAGATCGCCGCAACTCAAGATTTGGTCGGTTTTACCAAACAAAGATTTTCTGCGACGATGAGGATTTATTTGAGCTAGTAGTTTGAGCAATTCTGAATATTGGGCATCATGAGCCATTCCCTTTTGTCCTTCGATCAGTTTAACTCCCAGATAATGTAACCACAACAGATTATTACGAGAATCGCAACGAGACCAATTGTCAGCACACCAGTGTCGCATAGTATTGTAAACCTCATAACGGTAATCACCACGTCCCTGGAAAAAAAGTGGATGGTCTAGTCTCGTGTAGTAAACAACCGATCCATTTGATGCACGCGACAATTTATAGTCGCAAAATGTTACATTGTTGTTGCTGTCCACCAGAATGTGATCCAGCTGCAGATCCCGATGTTCAAATTGAAATTTTGTCTCTGCAGCATAAATAATAACAGCACATTGCCACCAAATATTAAGCGTCGCTGACCAGCTAGGACTTTTAATATTCTTCAATGGCACGCCTGCGTACTTCAGTTTGCAAATGATCGTAGAAACACCATTGATAAGAGCCAAATGACAAGAAATGAGTTGGGTGAAGCCCGGCGTGCCGCTGAATAGGCTCAGAAGCTCGAGCTCCTTAACTCGTATGTTCTTGTTATGAGTAAAATCGTCCTCCTCCAAAGGTAGACATTTGTAAACAAATTCGTCGTTTCTTAGAACGTGTTTGGAAATCCTTGACATTTTGGACCATTCTGGTATCAGCTTGTCGATTGGTATTGGCTCACTTTGGTCACACAGCTTTAAAAGCTGCGACATCTGGAAATCTTCAAGTTCTTCTGGTATTACTGCTGACCGCATTGACATGATAGAAGTTGAATTGCGAAGTTTTGTGCGTAGTTTGTCTCTTGAAACTTGATCTGGAATCGGTAATGAGATGGACTCACTCGTTACTGAATTTCTATGCGAACTTAGCTTCTTCAAGGATGAATGAGAGGATTTCTGTTTCAAAGACGACTGTGATCTACGAGATGACAAGCTGCCATTTGAATGCATCGCTTGTTGTGAGGACAAAGCGGAAGAAGAGCTTTGATCAAATGCATCTGAATGCCTCTTCCAGAATTTCCACCTTGAAGCCGAAGAAACCGATGACCTAGAGGACATGCTCATTCCTGAAACTATGCTTGCGGTATCGGCATGAGGATTACGGGAACTGAGTCCTGCGTAAACATTTGTGTCCAGTTGTCCCAACGTGGACCGTGATTGGTTGCCGCGTGGTGATAGTTTACCTATAAACCGCTTCACCACTGGCTTGTTTTCCTTTTCCTCGTCCTGGATAGCTATTTTCCCAAACATTTGACGCAGCGAGTTGCTGGTGGAGCTTCTTTGTAGCGAGGACATCGCAGAAGATATAGACACTCTTCTCGAGGACGTTGTGCTGTTCTCTCCGTCGGGTATGATGTTTGTGTTATTGGGGGCGACACTGGCGGGGCTATTTTTGGCCGGTTTGTTGTCGTTGCCACTGTTTCCATTGCCATTGCCATTGCCATTGGTGATCTGTTGATCTATTGGGTCCATACTAGCCGTAGAACGTCTTTTTTTCGACGACGACGTGACGGGACTCGTACGCCGTTCTTCACTGGCAAAAGATAGCGACGACCACCTTTTTTTGGAGCTGCTCGAGATGATGGACCATCTTTTGTGTTTTGCGTTTGCGGAAGCCGGTCCTACAGATTCAGGGCTTCTGATGATCTTGCTGGGGCCACTTCCGGCTCTTTTGGGCTGTCCCCTCGGCGTGCGATGCACATTGGAGTCTTCCTCGACCCCGGACTCGTCCTCGTCGTTATCGGAGACCACCAATGCTATGAACTTACCACCTGCGAGCAGCTCAGAGTCCTCTTCATACCATCGATCAATATCAGCCATCTGGTGAGCTTTTCGAATGGTTTTTTGGAGCTGTAAAACAGACCAAAACGTGGTTTGAGAGCTGTTTTGAGAAGAGCTGTGTGTGCCAATTGGAGGGTATCAAAACTGACTTGGTTCGACACTTACAATCGGTGTTTTTGTCGCTAGAAGCTGTTGTTGTTTTTTCGAATGGTAAACAACATGAAAATAGATCTATGTTGTTTATGGAATTGGGAAAATCCGTATAAAGTGTGTGCGTCTCTGTCGTGTGTAGTGATGCAACGCGAAAAAATAACCAAAGTATGTAGCGTTTCGTGTTTAGGGAGATGAGATTTGATATTTCATTAAACCCGTAACCACTAGGAAGGTGGCAAGGAAAACACGAGTCCCGGCTTTAAATATGCCTTTCTTTATGGAATGCGATATTATATGAAGAAAAAAAACCTGCCTCTGAAGATGATCACTATTTACGTAGATCGGCAATCTCTTTATTAAACGAAGGTACACGTGATCTCGGACTTTTCTTCATTTTTCGTTTAGAGTGATGTGTTTTTGAAAAAAGCTAAGAAATGAAAAAGTCCTTTGTTTTGTTTTGTTTCGTAGGAGTAATAAGCTCATACGCTAAATTGTCTCTTTCCAAGCATATTAACGAGATTTCCCAATATGTTATCATTTTTCATAAAAAAAAAGTGTGTCACGTGACCTTTTGCATATCCACTCACAACTATATATAATAATTAATTATAGGCTAGTCTTAGTCTATCTGAACTCACACAACAATACCTACCAATATCGAGGTATTCGCCCATTCTTTCCACGTTTTAAACCTTTCCCCCGCTTCGACTAAACCCTGTCCCGTGGGTCTCAGATGACTGGCTCAGATGGCACCAGTGACAGTGACAGCGATTTCGGTGATTTTGAAGGTGTCGCTGTAGAGAACACCGAGATATCATCACCTATTGTCTCGCTAGAAGATCAATTGAATTTGGTCTTTGGACCGCACCAAACCATATCTTACAGCGACGAAAAGCATGATCTGAATGAGCTGATTTGCGAAGAGCGTCCCAAAGTGATATATGAACAACTGGTAGCTCTTGAACCGCATTTAAGGCCATTCCAATGGCGTCATTCCAAACTCAGATCAAAACTTTTGCATACTCTTCAAATAGAGGACATCCCGGAAACTCCCAAAGTGGTCAAAAAACTGGATCCATCACTGTACGAACGTCTGGCTTCGCTTTTGGAGGATAATCAGGCCAAAGATGACACTGCAATAATAGCAGATCTCTTAGGAGCCAAGCTCTCGGTTTCCGTTGCAGATGACATTCACGACAGTACTACACAACCTACAATCGCAGAACTGCGAAGCATAGACATTGATTCTCTGGATACTCACTCCTTGAATAATGCTCACAATCAACTGATAGACGCGATTCTAACGGTTTGCCAAGAGATTCGCGAAAATGACATCAATCGGGAGCGCCTTATTGAAGAAAAGGGCACTTTTGAAGATTTACTCACCAATCTCATAGGCCACACCCAGCGACTCCATCGCGATGAGATAGCTGAATTCAACCGTAAGAAGAAAAGTGGCTCCAAATATGGTAGAAAATTCAAATGGGTGCGGTAGAACCCATATTCGTTTTCCATTCCTCACAGATAACCTCTGATACCCAATGCATTTCCCGAAGAGTCGGGGCGAATATATCACCGGGCTAGAAAAATAGCTTCATTTCTCTTAATTGGAGTCTCGAGGACATTTACGCCTGTATGTATATACTTAATTTACAGCCTAAACTCTCACGTCCACCGAGGGTTTTTTCGCAATTCTCTTTTTCAAACCGCGAGCCGAGTTACGAGCAAATTCTCCAGCGGAATGCAGGTCTCTACCCATTGGATCTTGTTCCTTCAGCTTGTATAACCTCACGATCCAGTTCTCAGAGGTGAAGACCTCCTCAAAGTAGTCTAAATCGCCAACATCCTGTTGTCTGATTCTTTGGCCACGGACACGATCCTGTCCTTCCACCCCATTGAAAAGCGATGGGAATCTGTAATATGATAATTTGTACATCAAAGAATCCTTCATGGTCTGTGGAGCGGCCTCATCCATCCGATATTCACCCGACGCTGTAAAATACTCTCTTTCTTTGATTTCGTCTGGCCATATCCCTTCTGAGATACGTACCATCCACAAAAATTTGTTGATGTCATCTCCTGAGAATCCTATCAATCCTCCAAAAATTACCAGAACGTAATCAACATCGTGCTCTTTCAAAATTTCATAAGCTTTATCTTGTGGCGAAGACATTGCTTTGCCCACTATAGCAATGTGCGTGTTATTCCATGTGTTATTGTCTACAAGGGTGGTTCTATCAGCCATTCCACCAATCTGGTAGCCGTAATCCCACCAGGATGCAACCTTGGCATCCTCGGCGGTATTCATACGCAGCCAGTAGTATGCTTCACGGAAGTCGTCGATCAAGGCTGGAGAACCATCTTGATTACGGGAAGGCAGGACGACGGATGGGGATGAATACGCATTCGATGTCACCCAAGTGCAGTGATAGACAAACAAGTATAGGTAACCCAAGAAAGTGCAACATACTGTCAGCTTAGTCACCAAAGTCATGAAGCGAGTTTTCCGATAAGTTGTTGGAGCAACATCTTGATTCGTTGGGGTTGAGGAAAAATCAGCGTAGACATCGAATAATTTGGAAATAGTTACCGCAGCACAAACACAGATGACTGGCGTCAATGTCAGCATCAATCTGACCATTACACCGGCAAAGTAAGAGCACAGAACAGAATACGCGATAATGAAAACATGCTCGTCTTTCAGCTCCAAAAACAGCAAGAAGACTCCGGCTGGGAATAGCCAGATGAGGAACTGGGTATCAAAGAAAAATGCTGGCCACGCTGTAGGTTGATGTTCTGAAACCGACGCGATAATTGGGATATGAATCTTGGCATAGTTGGTGTCCCATAGAGAGTAGAATCTTCCGGTCCAAGGTGCAATATAGCCAAAGTAGGTCAGGGCGAAAAGACCAAAGATGCCAACGGCAAGAATGAAAGCGATCGATACAACCATAACGGTCTTGAATTTGGCCCAAGAGACCTGGGATTTGACAAAACTTCCCAATGCCACAATTTGTGTCAATCCGAACACCCCTAGAGCTGCCATGTGGTCATTTGACCTGATTGGTAGAAATCCGACAAATGGAATTTGCATCGATGCAAGTGTTCCGATGGCGTACCAGGTGGTGTACGCAGAGTAGAGACGCGTGGAATAACGCCCCATGAGGATCAAAAGGAATACATGTAGGGGAATCAAGTTGGTAATGAAGACATAACCACCCCATGCTGATACCATATAGAAATAGAACACAGCGGCCAGGGTGGAGTGCATGATGGAGCCTGTCTTCATGGCCTTGATCCAAAACATGAAGGTAACCATCAATAGGGTGATTGCAATAGCCTCGTTATCGTAGGAACCTGCCACGGATCTTGAGATATAGCCGGGAGCAATGGCAATGAATGCCGCAGCCAACAGTCCTGCGCCAGAATCTTTAATTTCGCAAGTCAAATGGTAAGTAGCCCAGGCCGTAACACCTGAAAATGCAGGTGCAAACATGACACACACGTTTCTGATATCCACAGGAAGACCGATCTTACGTAGTCCGTGCCACACGGCCGCAGATGTTGTCATAAGACCAGGGTACAGAGTTCCACCCGTGACTCTTCCCAATGGGTACCATGTACGATCATCGAACCAGTTCAAAAACTTGTAGAATCCATTATTCACCAAATATTTGGTAGCTCTGAAGTTAAACCAAGGGTCGAATTCGTGAATGATCGATTCGAACCGAATAACTGAGAATAATCTCGACGAAACGGCCGCCCCAGTCATCGACAAAAAGATCGTGCATTTCAGCAGCAGCTGAATCCAGCGTAATGCTTGACTCTGAGCCATTGAGGATCTTTTATGGATGTAGTTCTTGTCAGATTAAAGAGACCTGTCTTGAAGAGATGTATGGTTTTGACTAGCTGAGTTCGTGCATAGGTGTTTAATTTGATATTATACTTCTGGTCACGTGACTAAAAAGCTAATTTAGGTTCTTTTGAAACGATGGACAAATCACTCGCCCGAGAGATAAGTAGTTTGTAACGATGTCATTCAAGGACCAAGACTTCCAAGACTAACTTTATGCTCACAGCTCCCTTTTTTTTCTGGCTTGGATAACTTCATGAAGTAGTTATGAATTGTTATCACTATGTACGTAACAGCCCGTGACACACAGTGGATGTGACTCGAGAGAAGAGTAGCCCACACATTGAGCCACGGAAGATATGACATCTGGCATTTTAAAATTCGAGCTTTTCACGACCTTAGACCCCGTTACAAGGGTTTGTCCTATTACCAGCAACGGCCGGCGAAACCAATCACACGTTATTAGTCGGAATGATACCAAGCAATTATCAAAACCAAAACGAGCAGTGCTTTTTTGAGCGTGGTGATAAGAGAAGGCTGTTGATATTGACCTGTTAAATAGAGATATTGTAGTAGTTTGCAGCTTGACATGTTTCCGTCTAAGGTGATAATAGCTTCCAAACCAATTTCGATGACAGCGACGGTGAGTGTAGATAGTGATCAACCAGCCACTCGGGCTGGACCGGATTTCTAGTGGTAAAAATACGTTATGGAAGTCATTAAATGTTTCACATACTTTCTCGAGCACAACATCGGTGGCTTGAGTACGACCCTACCCTTACTTCTGCGTTCACACATTATCACGAGCTCCGATTTTTACGGGATCAATTTCTGTAAGAAACCTGGGATATCTTACTGATAAGCTCTATCGTAGCACCTTTCATCCTGGGATTCGAAACCATCTACCTTAGATGCGTACACACAATAGCGTAAACCGAGCTCAGCCTAAACGTCACATCCGTATATAGTTACTTTCTTTTTTTTTAGCGATAAAGCGGTATTTTACCTTTTACTGATTTTGACCTGGCCGTAGCAATTCTAAGCCGAGCTTTAGTAGATTTAGATGTCTAAGCAACAATTGCACTGTTTCGAGCGCTTCTTTAAAATTATCATTTGACATACCTTTGTACGTTGAGAGAAATCGATTCAGTTCATATTAATATCTAAAATCTCTATAATAATCTCAATAATTCTGAGTAAATTCAACTCCTAACAACGGGCTCCACTCTTTCTTTGAACTTCGAACGCTGGATTTGTCACTCCTAAAGAGTGCTCTGTGGTGGGCAAAATGAGCAGCGTTCACAGCCAAACTAGCGCTTCGGGTTCTGGCGAAACAGGGGCGCAAAAAACCGAAAAAACGGCTGAAAATGGCACAGGAAAAGATACCAGAAGCTCATCGGGCAACAGCAACAAGTCAACGATAACGTTTGAAAAGCAGAAAGTAGTGCCACGGGCGAGGACGCAGTCAGTGCAGAGTGTTCTTAGCTGTATTTCGTTGCGTAGTATGATGGGAAAGGTCCCGCATGATGAGATCGCAGAGCTTTCTCAGCAACACTCACAAGTGAATAACAACAACAATAATAGTCACTTTAACAATCCTAACAGTGCTAACAATACTGTGATGAACGTTCCTGTGACACAGCAGATCCAATCTCCGGCGATGACGTCTGTCCAGAAGCGTACGTCAAACTCTTTTTTCAAAGATGGGATCGGTCAAAAACTGCCCTTCACGGATGACAGAAGACGACAACTGGAAACAGATAGATCAACGGCAAACTCGAGGGCAAGTACTAGAAACTCACATAGCACGCTAAATGCCCCTAAAGTGATTGCAAAAGAAAGTCAGTCTGCTGTTGCTGCGGATTCAGGGAGCTCATCGGGAAATAGTAGCTCTAGGAAACTAGAAAATGAACCTGAGGACGAGGCTGAACAACAGAAAAGGCTAACTACTGATGCTTTGAGAAGATTATCACTTATGAAAAACGGCAACGGAAGTACTGTAGGTAGCACCAATACCGACGTTGGTGGTGGCGAAAGCTCTTACGCAACATCTTCTGATAAGCAGTTTTCAGAAGTTGCCGACATTCCAACTTTTCACGAAATCTCGAGTCAAGACCCAAGCACACTCACGTATATGCAGTTTGGTGGTAAGAACATTGTGCTGGACTCTTCTATTCCGAACAAAAGAGGGTCAATCGCACCCATAAAGGATCCGCTCGACAAACTTCCTTCAACGCTGGAAGCCAACACCGGTCAAAAATCGAAATCCAAACGACCTGTGCGCCAAATGTGTGAACCGAAAAAACCCCTTTACACTCCCGCAGTTTTGCGGGATATCTCTGAGACTAATATAACTAATGCCGAGCTGGGCTCGCCAGGACCACCGGTCCTACCTACGCCAATTTCGAACTCACACACAACGCGCAGTAGCGTGAGAAGTATGAGGTCTACTTCTTCGTCTATCCTTTCGGATTACACTAAAAAGCTGGGATCGTTGTGGAATAAAGATCGCGCATACTCCGGTGCTGAAGTTACACGTCCGACCCGTGATCACTGGATAGCAGATAATAAGAGGCATGCTTGCCATTACTGTCATCGAATTTTCACGTTTTGGGAGCGTAAGCATCACTGCAGGCATTGCGGGGATATATTTTGTTCTCAGCACGTTCGACACTGGTTGTATTTGGATGATGGTGCTAAATTTCTCATTGGGGGCGCTGGTGCTGGTGCTTTATCGAAAATATGTGATGGATGCCTTCAGGAGTACGATACGCTAGTGCGTGAAGGTCCGTCTGTCGAGGCTGCTCAAAGTAACGAGCGTCCCAAATCTTCAACGCCAGTCCCGGAGGCAAACGGTAGCTCGAATCAGAAAGGTTCGATCGACGAACAAGGAAAAAGAGGTCGCATGGATAGCATTGTAGGAAGTGTCCCTGCTGATTGGAACTGGAGTAGCTTCTAAGCATGAGCGGAGCGCGATAAAAGATAGAGATATTCTGCTAGTTAAGGACTACTAATTTGGACCAGGCGTCTATTGAACTATTTAATTTTTTGTATTGTTAATTGTTTTAATGAATTATAGGTGTAGTCTTAGAAATGGCGACCCTTCTTACACTTGTCGGTTCTGGACCGGTCTTTCCTCATACTTGATGTGACAAGTCTTCAAATGTCCACAGCATAGGGTCCCCTGCTCTTTATTCTCTCTTCTCACGCACTGCGTGGGCAATTTTACTGCTCAGATCATCAACTCTATTAACATCGTCAATGATCTCAAACCCAGAGCTCATAGATGTCAAGGATGAAACAGAGCCAGATCTATTGCCATTGTTGGAAAAAAGAGGAATGTTTGACAGAGAATTGTCACTATTAATCATTGAAAGAGCATCACTTTCGCCCTCAGATTCTGTACCTTGTCTAGAAGTCTGCTTGCCTTTTTCTTTGCGCTTTCTGAGCTCCCTTCTTCTTCTCAGCTCCGTGGTGACACGGTCCTCGTCTTCGTCGGTATTGAATCCGCCAGATCTGTACTTGTCATAGAGGCTAACACCATCAAACCCAGGATATAACTCTGGTCCTAAGGTATTCACGATATCTGTGATTTTCTCCTCCAAAACCTTCCTCTCGGTTTGTAGGTTCTTGAGTATTCCTGGAGTTGTGATTGACAAGTATAATGGTCTTAAAGACTTAAACACATCCATACCATTGTCTCCAATGATTAAGGCCGAGTAAGTGACAATCGTGCAAAGCAGATATATTCCAATGAAACTCGCAAACTTGTTCTTGGTGATGGAGTCCTTGAAGTAGTACGTCAACAAAATTGACCAGAAGGTATACAACAATGGAGCAAAACCCATACCAATCAGTATTTTCCATGTGGCTATCACATCATTTGCCTTGATCTTCACTGTGGAGGCTGCTAGCGCTTGCGAAGCCTTCTTCTTCGATATAATCTTAGCCACGATAAAAACAGGCGAAAACATGATAATACCAGGTAAAGCCAAGATCAAGGAGATCGACAAACGAAGAGATCTTATAATAAGAAGACTCAAGTTTTTTGCAAAATTGATTTTGGCCGATTCAACCTGATGATCAGGTATGTTGAAATTGCTCAAGTTGGCATTGTATGTCAGGACGTCTTCTTTTAATTGTTGGATTCTAGGATCATCTCGGTACATTTGGTACCCTTTGACTAATCGCCTATTCATTTCTATGACAAGCGAAAGCGGAAGCTTAGCAGATAGATGACCAGCATATAACCTTCTTGCCGCTTGCACGACCATTAAGGTCTCATAGTCAGGGCAAGTTACGGTAACTGCCTTCAGGCCATCAGAGATATGATCCAGCAATTCTTTGACGGCATCTCTATTTGTATCCGGATTCTGATATTTTGCCACAAGCTCAGATGAGATGGTGATAGGATTGCCAAACTCGATCACGGCTCTGGATCGAAACTTGTGAGGATGGAAGTAGTTCATGCCGCAAGGCACAATTTGAACGTTTGTTTCTGGATGTTTTCCCATGCAGCCAAGAGCCATAATCGCGACACCAGCTTTCAATGGAAGTAGATCTGTTCTGTCGTGAGAGCCGCCTTCTGGAAAAATGCCCACACACTGGTCGTGTGCCAAGTGTTCAAAAACGCGATGATAAACCTTCTTCTGATTCACGCGAGGGGCATATTTAAAGGAGGTACCCTTTTCCAAAAGCTGTTTAACTTCCGGTCTGGTCTGCTTGAATTCTCTCCGGATGTACAGCACCGTGTCACTTTCGATAGACTCGATCACAACATTACCCAGCGATTTGGGAAGACCAATCAAACCTTGAGGTTCAAATTCTTTGGCAAACTTTGTTCCCGACCCAATGATTTTCCGAGGATTTTCTTCACTAATTCGGATTTTACCTGAAGCGGATCTCAAATTGTCCTGAGCTCTACCGACGCCAATTGACATAGCACAGCGAGCAAATGTACCTATGGCCTTTCTCTTGAGCGACTTTTCTGCCACCAGGAAAGAAACTCGCTTGTTGACTGCTTTTTTCACTTGCCCCATCAAAATGACGGGGTCTATGAATTGATTTGCATGTGGTGCAGCTACAAATATGACCGGTCCCTGCGTTGGCACTTTGTAACGCCCTCTACTGCGAACTTCACGGAAAAAACAGTCAAAGATGTTGCTCAAAAGCCACAAAAAGACATCGTAGATAATCTTTCGATACGTTGGGGGCTCTTCGTAAACATATTGTTCGATGTCATCGTCAGGAGCGGCGATTTCTCCGGCAACTTTTTTCGCTGATGGTAAAGGGTCTTCCATCCCGAGTTTTCGTAGCTAGCAAAGAGATGGAGTAACAGAGGACAGTGGAGTAACCTCTTTAAATAAGAATATTGGCAATTTTTTCGGCAGAACCTTTAAGATAGTATCAACTTAAACCCTGGAAAAAGCACAAGCTCCACAACTTAAGGGAAACTTTGTAAACTTGAATTAATATTTCACTTGCGCAGCAGCTGGACTGGTAAAACCCTCAATGCTAATTTTAACCTAGTCTTAGCGAGCGATGAAAGAGATTTGGTGACCAAGGATGGACCCACTGATACTTTGAGGTTTGTTCGTCGAGATGGCGGGTTTGTTGGATTTAATAGTATCTCTTTCAAATCGCTTTCCATCTGGTAATTTGCCAATTTCAATGTCTGGTGATGTTGACTTTACTATATATATTATAATAGTTTTAGAAAAATTATCTGGTATCCGCGATAGTTTAGTGGCTAGAATTCGGGCTTGTCGCGCCCGGGACCGGGGTTCAATTCCCCGTCGCGGAGTATTTTTTGTTTTTGTAATTCTCTGTTTACAAGCACTCAGAGTGGGCATTGGAGGCCTATAGCATTTGCGGTACTACCCTGCACCAGTCATAACGAACCAACTCGTGCCAGATTTATCGTTTCGTGTCTTACAAAACCTTAAATAAACGTCCTGTCTTCATTTGATTTACCGCACCGCTTACGGATACTTTTGAAAAACTGCTCGGGACTTTCAATTTTGAAGCCCTCGAACTGGATAAGAATGCATTGTAGTGCTTTTCCATGTTGAAAACGTAGCGCCATACATTTGTGAGCCGAATCGAATTCAAAACTTCCTGGCTGCATGCTAAGTGCGGCTGGCACGGGCTGGCCCTCCTCATATGGTGATAGTTTGTGGAAAATGATCCGCTTCAGATGATGACCGCCATTTTTTTGACAGACGGTCTTGAATGCATACACTGATCCCAGTGCATCTAACTTACTGATAGCCGATTCGGCAAGATCAGTCTTCCAATGCAGCTGACGCATTTGAGTAGTTATCTTAGGCGCAAGACTTTCTGCGTATGGCGTGGAGACCGACTTTTCAGCATTGTGCCATCCCGATTTGATCACTTTCGTTAGTAGCAGAGCACCACGTTCGCCCAGCGCGTCCATCAGCTTCGCAACTTTGGGTGTGACGTTAGAATCCGGATCAATACCCCCATGTCTCTTCTCTGCAAGCAATGTTTTGACCTCCAGGGGCTCCGTTTGAGCGATAACTTTGCCGCAATCGAACTTTTCTGGATGCAGTGTTTGAATGGAAACACCTGTCGTTGTGTCGTTGTTCAATAGCGTGTATTGGATGGGCGATGACCCTTTATAACGGGGCAAAAGCGAGGGATGTACATTCAATGAGTATTCAGACTTAGCCAGCAGCTGTTTTGGGATTAATTTGCCAAACGAAACAGCTATTATCATATTGAAGTCACCCCCATGCATTGCATTCATTACTGGTCCTAGCATATCTTGTTTGGTATCGCATTCAATAACCGGAGGCAAATGCAGATCTCGACTGCAAGAGGCTATTGGAGCTTCCTTAATGATCGACAGGTTTCTGCCACATTTTTTCGCACTTCTTGTCACGACTTGTATTTTGTCGATCAGTCTGGGGGACGTTTCCCTCAATTTATACAATGCGTTCAGCGAATGTACGCTAAACTGATCGGACCCAAAGAATAAAACGTTGAGCGGCCTCGCGGCATTTGTGTAAAAACGACTTGAAGTGATCCCACTAGCCCATTGGCCAAACAACAGTTTCATTACTGACCATTTTTTGGCAAGATCCAAGAACTTTTGATCAAGTTTATTGATAAATGAACCCAATTTACATACAATCTAATCATAACAATTTCATGGTAAGTAAAGCGCGGAAAACTCCGAAGTCAGCACCTTGTGAGGCCTGATATTTCAATAAAGAAGATGCTCAGTTGGTCTTTTGCTCAAAAAACAACGTTTCCATCTTCTTGTCAACTGCCCGTTAGAAAATCCAGATTGTCTGATTCGCGATTAAAGATGCTTCAGAAATGAACTAGGATGCTCAAAAAGGCGAATTGAGACGTCCAATGAATTTTCTGGACACTAATAAGAGTAATCAAGTGGAGAGGCCGACATTAAACATTCTCCGGGGACTATCATTGAACAGCAGGTTCTTAACCTGGGTGTGGATCACGCACTACGATCTTGAATTGACAATTGTAGATGAGCTACATGGCCAATCCTACATACAAGTCTACCACACAATCTTCAAATAGGTAGTGTACTGACCGATGGCAGCAATGGTTGATGGTGCTGGTAATACGGGAGTTCCTGATCCCAAATCGCAGGACATGGATAACGTTTATGGGCGACTGGGATCAGACGACTCATATAAAGATTCTGTCAAACAGGAACTCCAGCATGTGCAAGATTCGATATTGCCAATGAGGTTAAAATTCAACGAATTGCTTGGTACGTTGGCAGCAATCGATGGGAAAAGTGACTCTTCGTCGGCGGAAACTTTTAGTCAAATACGAGCGAAGCTTTTTGAGTTTATCGGTGAGGTGCAACAGTTTTCCTCGGATTACAGTAAGCTACAGCCATTATTTGAGGATTTGCAGGAAATTTCTAAAAGTGAAGATTCAATTGCGAATTTTATCCCGTTGGAACGGCTGGCTCGCCTCAACGACACATCCACGGTTTCTGCCGGAAAGCTTTCAAATGGGAACTCGCCAAGTGCCAACTCTGCGAGTGCTGGAAAACAGGCTCCTTCAAATGCCCAAACTCCGTTAAGCAACGTTCCTACACCATCTTCTACCGAGACAGCAGCATCCAAAAAACCACGCAAGCCTCGGGCCAAGAAACCACCGGGCCCCTCGCCATCATCCACGGCGTCTAGTCAACAGCAGCAACAGCAGAAGCAACAACAACAACAACAACAACAACAGCAACAACAACAGCAGCAGCAGCAGCAGCAGCAGCAGCAACAACAACAACAACAACAGCAGAAACAACAACAGCAACAACCGTCTCAGCAACACTTCACGCCCGCGACCAACCCCTCGCAAATTCTTTCCAGCATGTCACCAATGAACATGATGAGCAGCCCGATGAACATGATTTCGCCCATCAACAACGCTGCACCCATGTCGCAGATACCCTTCTCGGCGCCTTCGAAGCAGCCAATGCAGCCGCAGCGCCATGTACAGCCGAACTCACAACAATTTAACCTCGACAGTATCACGCCCGCTAATATATTAAACATGTCTATGCCGGACCACGGTAACACCTCTCACGCGCAGCATACAAACTCGCAGCAGCAGCAGCCACCTTCTAACCAAGATTTCGGCTCGCTTGATATTAACAATATCGACCTTTCCAGCCTCAACATGGACTTTCTGCAGTGATATCACCCGCAACTCAAACACTTGAACCTCAGCCGGGACTGGAATGTTCTTTTGTCACCTACCGAGTTAGGCTACTATACAATTCACAGCCCGAAGACCGGCTGCGCTACTCTTTTCGAAGCCAGTTACTTTTTCTCTACGTGAATCACCTTGGACTAAAAGCGCCAAAGCTCATGAGCAAGGACATCAGCCAAATACAAGAAAAGTGGTCTTGTAGGCCGAGTACTACAAAACGACAGCGCTGGATAAATCAAGCTCTTGCAGATCGTGGAACACACCATAGAGCATATTATTTACCTGAAAAAAGTGACGTCAAGTTCAAACAGAATTGCGAACCACAACGGCACATAGTCTCCAGCTAATCAGAAAGGAATCTCTTCTTGGTTTGAGGTAAAGAGGAACCAAAAAAGACTCATAGGCCTTTTTGAAGCAATCTCAAGAGTATCTTTTGGAATTTTCGTCTCGGATGCTCACTGAAGTTGAATGATTCATTCGAATTATATTCAAACTATAAAAAGTTCTTAAAAGACAACTTCCTTCAGGACGTTTTCAAGAGAACAAAAGTCATTGCTAGACCAACTTTATTCATTCCAGAATGGCTGAATTATTGAAGCAAACATTCGCCAATGCTAAGGCTGAAAACCGTAACGCCTTGGTTACCTTCATGACCGCAGGTTATCCCAGAATTGAAGACACGATTCCAATGCTAAAAGGCTTTCAAGACGGTGGTGTGGACGTAATCGAGCTGGGAATGCCCTTCTCGGATCCTATTGCAGATGGACCAACCATCCAGGAGGCCAACACGGCAGCTCTCAACAATGGTGTAAACATGGTGCAAACCTTGGATATGGTGCGTCAAGCCAGAGCTGAGGGCGTAACTGTACCAATCATCCTCATGGGCTACTACAACCCTATTTTGAGTTTTGGAGAGGAGAAATTCATCGAGAAAGCCGCTGAGGTTGGGGCCAGCGGTTTTATCATTGTAGACTTGCCTCCAGAGGAAGCTTTGAAGGTGCGTGACCTCGTCAACTACAACGGGCTGAGCTTGATCCCGCTAGTAGCGCCATCTACCACGGACCATCGTTTGGAGCTTTTGTCTGAAATCGCCACGTCTTTCATCTACGTTGTGTCCAGAATGGGTACCACTGGTGCTCAAGTCTCTGTATCCGAAGACGTCACCGCCCTGGTAGACCACGTAAGAAAATTCACAAAGGATATTCCACTTGCTGTTGGGTTTGGTGTCTCTACTAGAGAGCATTTCAAAACCGTTGGTGCCGTATCTGATGGTGTTGTTATTGGCTCGAAGATTATCAAACTAATCGAAGAGTGTAAGGACAATGAGCGCTATCAGGTAGTCAAGACCTATGTGGAAGAGATCTTGGACGGCCAAAAGCACACCGTTCTAACACCAGAAGAGTTCAAACAATTGCAAACAAAGTCAATTGCGGAAGGTAGACACCGCAAAGCTGCAGTAACTAACTTCAATGAGGAGCATAAATTTCTGGCCAACTTCGGAGACTTTGGTGGTCAATACGTGCCTGAAGCTTTGCACGCCTGCTTGAGAGAACTAGAGCAAGGTTTTGAAAGTGCTGTTGCTGACCCCGTCTTTTGGCAACAATTTAGAGACATGTATTCCTACATCGGTCGTCCATCATCACTTCACAAAGCTGAAAGACTCACAGAATACTGTGGGGGTGCTCAAATTTGGTTGAAAAGAGAGGACTTGAACCACACGGGTTCTCATAAAATAAATAACGCTTTGGCTCAAGTCCTTATTGCCAAAAGACTGGGCAAGAGTAAAATCATTGCCGAAACCGGTGCTGGTCAGCACGGTGTTGCCACTGCTACTGCTTGCGCGAAATTCGGTCTTGAATGTACCGTGTTCATGGGTGCAGAAGATGTACGTCGTCAGGCCTTGAATGTTTTCCGGATGCGTATCTTGGGTGCCAACGTAGTTGCGGTCACCAACGGTACTAAGACCTTAAGAGACGCTACCTCCGAAGCTTTCCGGTACTGGGTCTCTAATCTGAAGACAACCCACTACGTGGTTGGCTCCGCTATCGGCCCTCACCCATACCCAACCTTGGTGCGTACTTTCCAATCGGTGATTGGAAATGAAACCAAAGAGCAATTTGCGAAGCTCAACGATGGAAAGCTGCCAGATGCCATTGTCGCATGTGTTGGCGGAGGCTCGAACTCCACTGGTATGTTCTCACCATTCGAGCACGACTTGTCCGTTAAACTTTTGGGAGTTGAGGCTGGTGGAGATGGTGTTGACACCAAATTCCACTCTGCAACATTGACTGCTGGTAGACCCGGTGTTTTCCACGGAGTCAAAACTTACGTTTTGCAAGATAGCGATGGTCAAGTCCACGACACTCATTCTGTCTCCGCTGGTTTGGACTATCCTGGTGTAGGCCCTGAATTGGCTTCCTGGAAGGCTTCCGGTCGTGCTACCTTTATCGCTGCCACTGACGCTCAAGCTCTACAGGGTTTTAAGGTTCTGTCACAACTGGAAGGTATTATTCCAGCCTTGGAGTCCTCGCATGCCGTTTTCGGAGCTATCGAATTGGCAAAGACTATGGACAAAAGCCAACATCTCATCATTAACGTATCTGGAAGAGGTGATAAAGACGTCCAAAGTGTGGCGGAGGTGTTGCCTAAGCTGGGCCCACAAATTGGTTGGGATTTGAGATTTGAAGAGGATCCATCGAAGTCCGCTTGAATTACGAGAAAAAATGAGCTAGAGTGTCCAATCACGGCTCTTTTCCTGTATTTCACAGACTTATTGAAGACGCTCATTCCTAGAGGCCCCAGATTGTCGTCTCGTAGGAGAGAAACCACTTTGTTCTGGGCGTCCCTCCAGGCTTGTTGGTGTTAGATGCCCTGTGGTTTCGTACGATCAAGCTATAGATGAAAATTCAATGTTTTAGTCGTTTTTATAAAAGTTAAACACTTCAAGTACAAGTAATGCTTCCCAGGGTGAGGCCTACCGAGAGTCTTGAGCGTGTCTGCTGTTCTGTAACGTAAACTGCATGATAATTGATGGACAGAGGGGTTTTTCTGCCGTTCAAGAGAAATGTTGGTGTCCAGCTTGGGCCTGGAATTAGAAACTCAGCATTATACCTTGCATCTACGAAAAAATCGCCAGAGGCGGACTCGAAATGGATATGTGCTGCAGCCAATGGTGATGACGCTCAGGCTAAAGACTTTGTACTAGAAGTCGCTGAAAAACAGACGTTTTTGGACATCGAAAGTGGTATCAACTCTGTTTCTGAAGCGATAAGCGGAGATGAGCTTGTAAACTCGACCAGTGACAGCGAACAAGATAGCATTGGTTCACCAGTGGAGAGCTCCAATTCGTTGAAGCTTTTTAAAAGTGTGCGGATGCTTACTGATCATGGCTATGAAGCGAGGGTCGACAGTCCTATTGCACCTTTGGCTTTCTGTCCCCGGCAGGTTCTTGACGTTCCAGAAGGCTTGAACGTGGATAATGCACTGCAGGCAGTTGCAAATAAACATTCGGCTGACAGAAAAACTGCCACTAATAAAGACGGCATGCATCATGGTGTCCAACTCCTCCCTCAAATAATGGATCCTAATGATATGAGCAGCTTTATCGTTGGATCTGCACACACAACTAATGATCTTCGGATAAACAACGACCCTCACCAGATCATTGCTTACGCTTCTGGAGAAACTCGTAGCATGATCAACATCAGCTTGGTGAAACCGACCAATACCTCAGTACCGCTGACATTGGTTGACTCAGCTTCAAGCTATAATTTGCATTCAAAAATTAAAAATATCGTCATCCCGGATTTTTCCTCAACGCTTAATAGATCATCCGACGTCATTGCAGTACTGACCACGGTTTCTCTGTATGTCTTCAAGATCAGATCTATCGAGAGATCAACGGGCGCCATGTCCATCGAAAAACTGGGCCCTTACCCGTTCAGCGTTTTGGAGGATTTTGCATTTGTAGACATTGCCTTTAACCCTTGGGATTTCAATGAGTTCGCGGTTGTAGATGCTAAAGGCAACTGGGTCATTGGAAATGTCGTAAAAAAGGGATCTAGGAACTCTCGTCTGCGATTTTCTACCAACAAACGTGGCTCAATCTATGATCCTGAAGAGCTCTCTTCGTGGCATAAAATAGCGTGGGGTGCAGATTATTCATGCCTGCTTCTTGTAAGTAGATCAAGGCTAGTGGAGTTGAACTTGAGGAGTAAATTACAGCTCGAGGTTGTTCAAGCAAAATCGTGGTCGTCGATACGTGACTTCAACCGTGTCAATGATCAAATAGCGGTTTTAACTACGAGTAAAGAGATCATTCTGATGAAACTGAGAAATGAAAATATCGAGAGGGTTATATCATGGAAGCACTCTTTAAATCCGAATGACACAAGCATCAGATCGACGGTACGAGCTGTCGCAGGTGAAGAATGGCTATGCCATCAGGACAAGCTGTTTTTTGCATTCGTATATTCGAGTCTGAGGACTGAAGTACTAGTTCATGTCTTTGCACAAAGCGGTCTGCTGTGGCAATCGTTGGGAAGTTCTTTACTGAACCTTCAAGGCATCAAGGACGGTCTAAGCTGTCTAGTCGTCCCACAGGTTTCATTGAACTATGATCATGAAGATTCTAGGAGACCAGAGCTCAAGTGTCTTGTACGCGAAGTTGGTGGCAGTGTGATATGGCAAGTCGCAGTATCTGCAGCAGAAAGGGAACCAGTTGCTTCAGCCTCCCACGAAAAAGTAATAGATTTGAGCGACTGGAGCGGGTCCGAAGTCACTCCGATCGCCAAGATCAGTAGCGAGGTTACTAAGCTGGACCTTTCGTTGCCTTCCCTGAATGATCACAATAATGCTGCTACGGAAGAAGCTCATTTCCAGCAATATGGGTACGATCTTTCGGATGGTATGAATCAATATCTAATGAAATGGGCGCAGGAAATGGAGAACCCAGAAGAGGTCAAAGGCATCGATTGTTATTCTTTGGCAAGTCTTGCCGAGGAAATTTCTTCCGTTGGTAACATGGAGGAGTTCGGCTCTCTTCTCGAGCAGTTCAAAGGACACTACAGAGAGCATGAAGTCAACTTCACCGCTTTGCAGACTTTGGCCAAACTGATTATCGAAGATGATGTTTCAGATCTGGGTGTTTTTTATCTAAAGCTCCTGCAATGCTGGAGTTTTGGTTTCCCGGATGATGGGATTGTCACCAGTGAGGTCCTGAAGTCAATTGTCCTGAAAAACACGGGAATTAGCAGTGTCTCTTTGCTCCCGGTCGTGGCGGCAACTGCTTACAGCCAGCTCAATGGCTTTCATCGTGAAGTTGTGGATTCGTGGGACGAAACTTTTGATGAACTAGAAAGCAAAGCACCTCTTTCCGACGCGAACACTGGTGTGCCCCTTGAATCAGATATGAGCTTCCCATTGGTAAAACCCTCGCAGCAAAGTCCACCCAAACTAAAACGGTCCAAGAACCGGATTTCTTCCCAAGCCTCGCAACAGCCCAAATCGCAGTCGATGATTCTCGATCCTCGAACTAATGTATCCCACGCACACCCGACTCATATCGCAGAGGTCTCGAGCGTCCTTCCCCTGACCATGACGCCAGCATTTTCTCTATCTTCAGCTTCACAGCCAGTTCCAACGCTATCTGATTCGCAAGCTAGAAATTCGCAGAAACAGAAGAGAAAGAAGAAACGACTACAAGGGTTTGGTTAGTGATTTCTATTTGATTCATGGACTATATAAAGCTGCTGTGACGTACGTACATTGGCTCAATGCTATAACACAATCTGTTTACAAATTTTTATCTTGGAGGCCTAACTCAACATTCCGTTATCAATCTGTTGCTCATCGCCAGCGTTCAATGGACAACAAATTACTGAGGTCAAAAACAAGTAAAAGTCGCTTTTGAAGTTCAATCTGACTTCAATACGCTACCTGTTGAGAGCTGCTCGGCTTGAATATCATTATTTCTCTCTATCGTGAGACTTTATTGGCTGTTTTAATGTAAGATATGTATGTGTAAACTGAAATGAATTACAGACCTCTACAGTTTACATGTCAATCCTATAAAAAAGGTTAAAATACTAGACAAAACACCTTCTGTGGCCTCAATGATTGTCCATATAGCGTCAATTCTTTTATCCATTTGCACTATTGCAATTGCGGGTCAAGCTCATGCCGCTAACAATGGTGTTGAGGACTATGCCAAATATCAAGACCAAACCTTGTTGTGGGCACCATACAGATCGAACTGCTATTTTGGCATCAGACCACGGTTCGTCAACGATAATCCATTAATGATGGGTCTTATGTGGTTCGATTCATCGAGCGTAGAAGGTATCAATCAGTTAAGACACCAGGTTGACATGGGTGATAAACTCGACAAGTATGGTTACGAACTCTACGATCCAAGACTCGGAGGTCGGGAGGTTATAATTGACAGTGCCAACAACTTGAACTTGACAATTCACTTTGTGAAAAGTCGTAATGGTGAAAACTGGGCTACGAGGGTATCAGGACGCCCGCTGGATGCATCTAAGGGCAAAGTGTCGTCGCTTGTCATGTACTTCAACCAAAATGGTGACCAGGGCAGTCTTAACTTGGATTTGACCAAACGTCAAGATAAGCATCATACGAATTTGGTGGGAACTTCTCGAGAACTCGGTGACTACGATCTCTCCATAAAGGACGTCTCTGGAAACTACTACAGCAGAGGCCCAGCTCTGGGAAACGATGCAGACAGCTCGAGAACCTCTCATATGTCTTTCAATGTCCCAGATGACCAAGTATGGAAAGCTCGCGATATATTCCAAAGTATGCTGGGAGAATCAGTCCAACAGCTGTTGTCGACTGGCAACAAAATGCATCCCTTGTCTCTGCCCTCCGCTTTGATCGCTAGAAACATCAATAACTTTCCGGCCGGAAACTTCCATTTCATACAGAAGACTTTTGATCTGGATCAGCCTTTTGAATTTGACATTATCTACAATAAAAAAGGTTCAAAGCAGCGCATCAGCTCGAGTGCTGAATTGACTGCTCTAATTTCTTGGACCATGGATGAGCTTGAAATGCGTTTCAACCAGAAATTCACCATTGAAGATCCGAAATATAAGCAGTTTGCGCAAGAGACCTTAGCGAACTTGATGGGCGGCATTGGATATTTCTACGGTACACAAATGGTTGATCGTGAAACAGAGTTAGACGAGGAGCAATTTGAGAAGATTGAGCTCAAGAGAGCTCAAGAGGAAGGACCACTACAGCTTTTCAGCTCCGTTCCTAGCCGAGCTTTTTTTCCTCGCGGTTTTTATTGGGATGAGGGATTCCACCTAATCCAAATGATGGAATACGATTGCGACCTTGTCTTGGGTATCTTACAGAGCTGGTTCGATCTTATAGAGGATGATAGTGGATGGGTAGCTCGTGAGCTTATCCTGGGCAATGAAGCGCGTAGTAAGGTTCCGCAGGAGTTTCAGGTCCAAAGCCCAAACATAGCCAACCCACCAACACTATTACTATGCTTCAGTGAGCTGCTGAGTCGAGTTTTGCAACATCGCGAAATGGCTCTTGAGTCGACGGATGATGAGTTTTTTGTGGACGGCTTGCAAACAGATCAGTTATTAAGACGGCCTGAGGTGCTCACCTCGTTTGCCAAACGAGTTTATCCAAAACTAGCCAAACACCATCAATGGTGGACAGAAAGCCAGAAGGGTCTTGTTGAAGAATACATGGAGGCTTTAGGTGACAATATCCATCCGGACGAAGTGTTCAGATGGACGGGAAGGACTTTCTCGCATTGTTTGCCAAGTGGACTTGATGACTACCCTCGCAGTCAGCCCCCAGACGTTGCTGAACTGCATCTGGATGCGCTGGCTTGGGCAGGGGTTATGACGAGATCAATGAAACAGATCTCTGAAATCTTAGAGATGCCCAACGAAATTGAAAGATTTGCCCAGATCGAACGAAACATACTTGAGAACATGGACACCATTCACTGGAGTGAAGAGGATCACTGCTACTACGACGTTACCATTGACGATGACAATGACGACCTACGGCAGTTTGTAAGACATGAGGGGTACGTCTCGCTGATGCCCTTCGCTTTGAAGCTCGAACCCAAAAATTCTGATAAGTTACGCTGGTTCGTAGAATTGATGAGCGACGAGAACAAGCTGTTTGGGGATTACGGAATCTTGTCGCTATCAAAAATGGATGAATATTTTGAAACAGGCGAAGTTTATTGGAGAGGTCCTGTATGGGTCAACATGAACTATCTGTTTTTGGACAGCCTTGCGTACTACTTCGGGGATGGCGGTAGTAATCAAGATGCCAAGACGGTCGAAAAGGCAAGAGAACTCTACAAGACTCTGAGAGGCAACTTGATTTCCAATATGCATCGGGTATGGTCCCAAGACGGCTACGTATATGAAAATTACAAACATAACACTGGTAATGGTAATGGGGTCCAGCATTTTACCGGATGGAGTTCTTTGATTGTAAACATAATGGGACGGTTGCCAGAAAGATTGTAGCTGACGGACTTCAATCAGAACCACCAAATAAAATAAGCTACCAGCGAAAAGTGAAGCCAGAAGTAAGAAAAACAAAATGAAAACCAAAACAATAGCAGAAAACTGGGGTCTTGGCACGACGAAGATGCCATTCAAGATTTCGCAAGCCTGCTGTGTCCTCCAAAACTGTACTAACTTGAACGGTACGAGACTGATTTTCAAATTTTTTTTTTTGAAAAACGTCGTTGAACCTGGACTGAATAACAAGCCTTCCATTCAAAAACAAAAGAGTCGGTGCCATTTCTCTTAAAATACAACATCTCACAACCAGTTTTGATTGTCTTCATGACTATTATTTACCCAGCTTTTACTGACGCCAGTTTTCATTTTCATCATCAACCCAGCCTTTTGAATTTTATTATGTAAGCGAAAATAAAAACATTGGAAAATGTAAACCTGGCGCCAGCGACAGACCAGCAGAGCTGAACGAATTTTGACCTAATTGTCATGAACATCTCAAAACAATGATGCTTTGAAATTTTGTTTTTGTTTTGGTTTTGAAGGCATTTTGGGATTGCGGGCGTCAAGGTTTGTTTTGTTTTGTTTTGCTTGTGCGGGACGACAGTTCTGTGAGTGTTTGCCAAAGGCGAGCAAAAGACCAGTGGACGCTAAAGACCACAACTGAAGACTTGAGGTTAAAAATGTTATAAAATGAAGGTGTTGAGGCGATGAGGTTGTTGTGTCGATATGGGATCTAAACCACATCAAATCAGATCTATCAGTTCTATTGGCATCCAATTGTACTATCAATCCTCAATCAACACTAAACTTTACCTCATCTGCCACATATGATGTCTTTCAAAGCTGATCTCGTTTCAGTTCTTCTCTGCCTTGCATGGCTGTCACAGTTCTCCGCTAACGCACTTCCTCTTTTGGACCAACTATCCAAAAGACAAATAGTGACAAGGATGCACACTGCAAGCACCACTAACGTGGTGACTGACTTCTATTCTACCACAACTCAAGTTGAGGTCGCACCTACCGTTGAGTTCATTATCAGCGGTGACACCACTATCACAACCACTTTGCCTCAAGCCGATGGCTCCACCCCCACTGGAGTCCCCACCACAACCATCCTATTGACCGCTAACCTTCAGAACAACAATGCTGCGGGCCCAACATCCGCATCTTCCTCAGACTGTGCCACTACTGTTGCAAATGGAACACCCAAGGGAACAGTGTACGTTTCACCAGTTCAGAACTCCAACGTGAACCCTCCATCTTCTTCTCCCCAAGCCACCTTCTCCACTAGCAGTTTGGTTGCGTCCGCTTCAGTTCTTCCCTCCTCTTCGTCCCCCTTTTCAAGTCCCTCTTCGGCCAACACCGCCGGCTCCGAGGTCCCAAGCGCTCATGTACCAGCTCCTCCAGCTTCCACTACTTCTGGCTTCTCTGTAACAAGCTTGCAGCCGGCTTATACTTCTAGCACTCCGGTGTCGTCGGCCGCTACCACTGAAGAAGCTACCTCGAGCACTGAAGCGGAACAAGCGACCTCCACGTCTCAACAGGCTCCAAATACGATAACTTCGCAAGCGGCTTCCACATCAACTCCACAAACGTCCACTTCCTCCACCTCTCAGTCGACTTCTGCCAACGCATTGGGCGGCGTTCCTACTGCTTTGGTCTACTCGCCTTACAACAACGATAACAGTTGCAAGGATTCATCATCTGTCTACAATGACCTACAATACATCAAGTCCAAAGGTGTGTCCCAAATTAGAGTTTACGGCACAGACTGTAACTCTTTGCAAACTATTACTTCGGCTGCTAAATCTTTCGGTATTACCATCAACCAAGGTTTGTGGATATCATCTGCTGGTGTTGACTCAATTGATGACTCAGTAAATGATATTCTCTCTTATGGCCAAGCTAACGGATGGGACCTATTCGATATTCTAACTATCGGTAACGAGGCCGTTTTGTCCGGCTACTGCACCGTGGAGGACTTGATCAACAAGATCTCATCAGTCAGATCCAAGTTTGAAAGCGCTGGTTTCACAGGTAAGTACACCACCAGTGAACCACCTGTTACCTTCCAGAACAACCCAGACTTATGCCGCAAGTCCAACATCGATTTTGTTGGCATTAACTCACACGCCTATTTCGATGTAAACTCTTCTGCGGACACAGCCGGTAGCTTCGTGAAGGGTCAGCTAGAGCTGATTCAACAGATTTGCGGGACAAACAACGTTGAAGTTACAGAAACCGGTTATCCCTCTGCTGGAGACCAAAACGGAGGTAACATTCCATCTGAAGAAAACCAGGCGATTGCAGTGCAAAAGATTTTGAGCGAAATGGACATGCAAGTTACGATTCTCTCCACATTTGATGATCTATGGAAACAACCTGGTCCTTACAACATCGAACAGCATTTTGGTATCTCTAAACTTCTAGGCGCCTAAATCTTAGGCAGTGCATAATCCTAGCATCATAGTTGCTGTGCCATGGAAAAAAGCACAGCAGCATACCAAAAGGCATCATTTCACCAATTGTAACAGTGTAACACTATAATTGTATATTAGAATAAATCGGAATAGAAGGAATCTCTCATGAGCTTGCGGTCAGAATTCAACATACTTTGCCGGGAAAAATTCGTCTATGAGCTCGAGGTAGTAGGGCTCCAACTCTTTGATGCTGTGCCGTTTTAGCGACTTAGAATACAGGTCGTACTTATTGAAAGCCTGTACCTCTTGCAACATTTCGTGATCCTTTTTATTCAGGAGATATCGATACGAGCCCTCTCTATGCCACGGATAGAAAGAATGGTACCTTATCATGGCCAATGCCTTTTCGTTAAGTGTAGACTGGCTCTTTGCAATGTAGTACATGTATTCATCATGACCCCATGAAATCATCACAGAGCCTAAACCACAACCCTTTTCGTATATGCCAAGTTCAGTGGAGTAAATGGGATGCGAATTGTCTGGATTGCCCTCAAAGAACTCTTGGAATATGATCTCGTTTGCAAACTTGCAACCGATGGGGAAAGTGTCCCCCACAACATCCCATTGACCTTCGCTATCAAAAAAGTAGAGAATTTTGCCCAAATCGTGGATCAAACCCACAAGTTGCATCCAACGAGGCAACCCATCTGCACGAATTGCCTCTGCTGTTTGTAAAGCATGATCGATTTGAGATAACTCAGTGTCTGGGTCTGAATCGTCTATCAACATGCTCAATTTGCATAATGCGTCCCAGATAGTCATTTTGGCTCTGGTTTTTGTCTTGAAATTCACTCTAGCTTGCAAGTTAAATGCCATAGTTTGCTTCTCGTGCTGCTCCTTGTAAAAATCTCGTACTCTGCTTTTAGCCTGATGATACTGTCTAAAATCGTCTGAATTTTTTGGCAAATGTCCTGTGGACTCTGGAATAGGACTTTGGGGCTTGGATTTCTTGGAATCATGCTCTTGATCAATATCCTGTGAGGGATCTTCTTCGTCACCGATGTTTCGTTTTAGCTTGGATTTGAGAGCATTGACGGACTGAACGTTTTCGTCTGTAATTTCTAGCAAGTGGCCCTCATTGGTTCGTATGACCTTAGTCCCCATAGTCGACATAGGGGCATCCAGATAATGTCAGGCCTTCAAACTTGAGGTTCATGAACCTCAGGTAACGGATATGTAAACGTCACAGCAACGTACAGTTTAGGGCTTGATTATGGCTGAACGTTAGGCTTTCGAGGCCAAACTATCAAAGATCAAGCTGAAACAGTGTCAAGCGGTGGGAAGGCTAGGAAACAGCAATTTGCTAGGGCTCAATCCTGGAATCAGAAGAACATCAAGTTCAGCTGGTGAACTCATGAGATGAGGTACTAGCTGGAAAAATCTATCACGTGGCTGGTTGTAACATACTATTATATCACAGAATTTTCAATAATATCAGAAAAAGCGGGTTTAGCTCAGTTGGGAGAGCGCCAGACTGAAGAAAAACTTCGGTCGAATTTGATATCTGGAGGTCCTGTGTTCGATCCACAGAATTCGCATTTATTTTTTGGTTTATAGGGAAGAGATGAGAGAGGATAGGACGAGCCCGATACGTAACATATAAGCTGCAAAGTTCAAAGTGGTGCCAACGATATCAGACTTCCATGTTTGATGTGAATTTCTATTCTTTTTCTCAACGTGCGCTCATTGGCGCGATACTTAATATACACAGATGATAGTTCCCAGCGAAAAAAGGCCTCAGATAACACAGCCCTCACTTCCGTGAACGAGTATGGGAATCTTACGCGCTCTCTTTCTCTCTATTTCTCTCTCTCGGCTTCTTTTCTCTCAACGCTCCTTCAAAGCCTTGTTGCGCTTTTCTCTACGTCTTAGACGGTCCACCTTCTTGGCGTGCATCTTGGTGGCCATTCTTTCGTATCGTTCTTGCTCCTCCTTCTTTTCCCTGCGTTCCTTCAGGTTCTGAATCTTCTCCTTATGCGCTTGGTCCTTTTCTTCCTTCAGCTCCTTCAGCTTCAGCTTGAACTGCTTGTCCTCCAGCATTTTCTGCTTCTTAATTTCCCACGAAGTAAGCTTCTTGTTCTTCACTTGTCGACTACCCACTCTGAATTGGCCCTTGGCTACCTTCCAAGCTCTTCCGCTAACGTTAGAACCTTTAGCGACAGCATCGTCACTATTGGGAGCAGCTGTAGCAGCTGCAGTAGCAGCAGTCAAGTCGTTTTTTGAAACTTTTGTTTCACCATTCCCACTGCTCATTGTGAAGATTTTTCTGAGTGTTTCAAATGATCTGAGGGCTCTAACTCGCTGCTTTTGGCTTGTCGTTGTCCTAGCTCATCGCATCTCATCGCATCTCATCCTGCTCAAGTTTATTGATCCTGGAAATTTTTCAGTCGTCAACAGTGAAGTGAAGTGAAAAATACACCGCTGAAGCTCATCGCGATGAGCTCCAGCTACAAAATATTTTAACAAATAGTTCGACAAGATAGAACTTTAGCAGGTCTCTTTTGAACGTGGTTGCGGTCAACAGTGTACCGATTTTCTTATTTAGAATATGCTTGCACGAAATTTGGTGAGACTAAGGCTTAAGAGCCGACCTATTTTCGAAAGAACTGTAGTGGTACCAGCGAGTGGCAGTGGATCTAGACGGAGACGGAAAACAGTCAAAAGTGTGAGAGAAAATGTATCTGTGGAAGACCTGAGGCTAGACAGGCCATTGGAGCTGTCAAACCCTCGAGAACTAGAACGCAAACTGCGACAACTTCGCGAGTTTACGAAAAATCTGCAAGAACAAGTGCGGATGGCTGATGACTTGTCACAAAAGGAGGAGGCCGAAAAAGCATTGGTGAAAGCCGGAGGTGAAGAAGTGAGCAACGAGGAAACAGCGGCTTTGATCTTGGGACACAACAATGATGCAAAATCTGTGGCATCCCGCAACAAAGGCCAAGTTGGCAGACTTGCCGAAAACTCAGATCTGTCGTCATTTCTGCTCAGTACATCGGGACAGGCAAAAAAGCTTCTGCCGGATGCAATTCTGGAACGCATAAATGACGATGAGCTTGTGCTGAGATCTCTCATAAATCGTCGCAATAGCGATTGGAATGCTATCGTCTCAAAGCTTTACGATAGCCCTGAGCAATTGCAAGGAATAAGCCATCGAGCTCTGAAAGTGGGCCTTTTGTCTAGAGTATCCCATCTCTCCTTGAAAAACATTCGCAAGTTGGAATCCATGTTTCGCAACTACGGCCAACAAACAGGAACTGGACTCACCACGGCCATGTATGAATGTCTTTTCGCCAACCTTTCGAATTTGAAACCCGTGGATGTCAGCGAGAAGAACGAAGTGTTCGGGTTATTCGACTCACTTTTGAAAACTTTCGATGACACTAGGACGTCCACTTTGGACGGGCAAGAGCGCATCGATAAAAACATTCCAGACACCCTAAAGAAAGCAGATATGAATCAATTCCTATTGAACTGCTGCATCAAATTCGCCTCGAAGGTCATGGATCCTTCGAAACTGAATTACTACTTAACGAAATTCGGTCAAGAGTATAAGGTTCTACCCAACCGAGAGAACTACACCACTATAATCCAATTTTATAGTAAAATGAATTTGGACATTCAAGCCTGGGACATTTTTGCTACCATGAAGTTTCTGTCAGCGGAACATAAGCCAGACACGAGAACCTACACCACAATGCTCCAGCTTTGTGCCAAAGAAAAAAATTATGCGAAAGCCATCGACCTGTTCAATGAAATGACCGACTTGAAGGTTGAAATATCTCCCGAAACTTTGAATGGTATCGCTAAGGTACTGGCAGTGGCTAGCGGTGACCCCGTTTCTAGTGAAGGAAAAGCCGAAGCACTGAGATTACTGGGCTGGAAATACCTGCATCAAAATGAAGATCTCGTTCAAATGAAGGGCCGTATCTTGGAGGACACAATAATGACAATGATGGCGCTATGTGCTTACGACGGAGATGTGGGTCTCGCCAGAGCATTGTATTTCAAGTACATCACTGCCAAATTTGCCGATAATTACAGCAAGTGGAGAGCTAAAAAGGGCAATTCTATTCCTACCGATTACAAAGCTATATGGTCGAGGTCATTAAATCCACAGATTTTCAACTACTTGCTGTTGGCGTATGCCAATTTCTCGCCAGAAAAAAGGCCTTTGTTGATGGGCTTTGACCAGGGTTCTATCACAAGAAGAAACCTCATCAACAGTGTAGATTATCAACAGAAGTTTGACAATATCGGCTGTGAGTTGCCAATAAAAATCCCGATGTTACCTGTCGCTGATTTCAGTCAGTCTTTACAGGTGATTCTAGAATCCCGCGCTTTGTGGCAGTTTAATCTCGAGTTTGGTGGAATCGTCAACTTAAGAGAGGCTCCGCAAGGGTTTTCCGTTCAAGTTCGAGATCTTTTGGAATCCAGCAAATCACTGGAAGAGTTTGCATTGACAATCTTCAATCAATTTGTGTCGAAGGAATCTGAACTCGTCAACCACAACGTTCTAAATATCAAGACTTTGGTATCGTTTCTAACAATTCCTATCAAAATGAGTGATAAAACAGAGTTCTTACTTAGACTCTCGGAATTCTCGTTCGAACAACGAGATCTGAATATGCATATTTCAACTCTATTCAATGAAGCGCAATCGAACTCACTAGAAGCTGAAAAAGTGCCAGACTCTCAGAACAAGACTCTAGGTCTGCATTTGACGTCTCAAGCCGGTGCTTCTCTTCTTTTTCTATCATCAATGAAACATAAGCTGTTGAGAGAATCAGTTCTCTATGAGTTAACAATGCGTGCAGCCATAAAATTCAAGGATGCCACTTTGGCCAAAGATACTTGGGAAAGTCGCGGTGCTTTTAGAAAGCTCAATGCTTTCCAAAAACTGGAAGCTCAAGACAGGGTCTCGAAAGATACGGCTTTTGCATCGCTGATGGTGGATTTCTTTACCCGACAAGAAATGTACAGCGATGCCATGAGTATCATCATGTCATCACAGAGGTATATCGATTGGACTTATACGATGACCAAACAGCTTCATCATAAGCTGATAGAGTTGGAAGACGAAAACAGCATCAAGATTCTACTACAAATTGTTAACAAACGCTCTTCATGAGTTGGACCCGAGAAACTGTTCTCTTTGGAAAGGGAACATGAACATCATACCTGTAAATAATTATAGAGTCTATATTAATGAGTAATGAACTTGCATTTACAAGTCATTGAATGCTATGCTACGTTGGCTAAGCCACACAGAAGCTTACAATGTGTGAACTTCACTTTCGTTACAAACGGAGCCAGGTTTCTGATCGAGCTCTTGTTGCAAATCTTGAATTTCAAGCTTTAATTTGGTGACCTCTTTTTCAAACTTCTTACCGTAATGGTCGATGTAGTATGTCGCCCCATTCCTTGCAGCACACAAATATATGAACATCAGGAATGCAGCCGCAGCCTTTCTGTGATGAAACCATATACCGCATAGCATCATGGTCCCCAGTTGATAGCAGTACTGGATAAGAATGTAACAAACCAATGGCCAAGGATCCGGCAACTTTACCGCCCAAAAATTCTTAAACTGGTGGGAAGTGAGATACTCAAAACTAGTAACCCTTTGACCAGATTTGATCTTTGAAGATTGACGCAAGGTTATAAAATAGTGGTATGCGCTTTGCCAGACAAGATAGTAAAGCGAAGTCCAGAATATGTTGTATTTCAAGTTCCATTTTTTGGAAGCAATCAAAGAAGCTGCAGGAAAACGGTCTAACTTTAGACTCTCATCGATGCCATGTCGTATGGTGTACATGGTGAGGGGTGGCATGATATGAATGAAACACGACGTTATTTTGTCAACTGAGTGTATAACGAGCGAGTTTCTCCATGTAATGACGGCAAAACATAAAGTACCAAAAGTGAATGCAAAGCAGCTTTGGTACAGGTGAACAGAGGTGGGCCATACCCAAATGAAAAGTAGACACATCACATTAACGTAATAGCACAGATCAGCCATATAATAGTGACTGTTGGTCTTGTAGTAAGTGTAGTAACGCACTGGCATTAGAAGCACAAGCATCATGGTGTAGTATACGTGAAACCATTCCGGATACTTCCCTATAATGAAACCTATTCCGAAGATGTTGATGAGCGTAAAAGGATAGAACCACTTCTCCAAATACGAGCTCTTATGAAAGAAAAGGGTCTCTAGAGGTTTATCGAGGGATTGCAGACGTGTAAAAGTGCGTTTTTTGAACTCATCCAATTGTGGGGTCAAGTCCTGTGCGGTGGTTCGTAGTTTGGCCAGTTTTTGACGCGTCTTGGTGCTTCTAATCCGCTGCGTAGCACTGTTAAAGTATCGGCGTGGAAGATAGTAGGATTGTGCAGTGGGCGAAAGAGGGTCTAGCAGCTCTACCCAGGAAGCTAGGGAAATACGGCCAGTGGTAGGCTTACCCTCGTCGGAATCGTAATAATCGCCCATCGAGCTAGAAGTTGACTGGCCAAGCAGAAAATGAGGAGATGAGTGAATGATGTTGGGAGAAGTACTGTGAGATAGTTTGGAAAGATTACCTTTAAAGATCGCAGTGGTAGTTTGATAGAGAAATTAGAGATGAGTACATCCGGGTACGAAAAGCGGTGAGTACCCGGTCACGTGGAGGGCTAAAAGGGAAGGTAACGAAGGATGCAGTATTTCTACAATGAACTAGCATACACGTTTTGGAAGCCGTAGCTGTGAGTGAGGCAAGGCTTTGGTCAGAATAGGTGGTGTGGTAGGCGTGCCCCGAAAACAAAAAAAAACAACGTAAATGGTCCAAAGATCACGTGATAGAGAGAAGTGTAGGGAGTTTTAAGATCAACCAGGTTTAGTTTTCGAAAGCAAGCGAGTTTACGGCAAGGGTAGATGAATGTGTTGCTACTGTGTAGCTACTGAAAACGTGTGCTTCTTATTATGGGAGAGTCGTGACGTGCAGCAAAAAAAAAAGATTGCGTAGAAAGTGATGGAATCGTGAACTTACGTTTCATTTGTGAAAAATAGAATGCTACAGGTCCAGCCGAAGGAAGTGGGGGAGTGGCAGGAGACTGCTGATCATTTATCATTGACAACTCTGTTGGTACAAGCATAATATTGGAAGCACAATATTATGTAAATGTCGTTCAAAATGACACCCCAAAAATGAACCGTAGGATCTTGGTCACGTGGTAACACTTTTGTGTCGACGCGACACGAAGGACAAAAGTGACAGCAAAAAAAACACACGCGGTGTTTCAGTGAAAAGTCCAAGTAGAAGGTCACTCACAGCGTATAATCGACGCACCTGTATTTTTTTATTTTGGAGGCTACTTAGCAGTAGAGAGGTCTGTTGGGGTGAGGAAAGGCATTACCCAGCTGATAAGAAGACCCATGATGATGATGGTGCTAGTGATGATGATGCTAGTGATGATGCTAGTGATGATGTAAGCATGTCGTATCACTTTTGTCCAATCTGTCGCTCTCACACGTGACCCACTAGTTCTCGTCTGATTTCTTTCTTTTTTTAATATTTAGGCCGTATCATAAGACATTTGATCTTAAAGTCCGAGAGGTCACGTGCCGCCACTTAATTCCGCGCACCACAATTTTTCTTTCTTTCTTTCTCTCTTAGTCAATACTTTTTACCAGTCCGGTACTAACCTGCTTTATCTACAACATGTGCTCCCCTCACTTTACGGCTGAACCTACTAATACCACTACTAATGCACCACCACCACCACCATGACGTCTTTTGTCTTTCTTTCGCGCTTAACCGTCTGGAAAAATAAGAATGCTATATATACATTTATACACACATACGTATAGGTAGGCACATCTAGATCTATCATTACACACACACACCCATCACATACATGCATTCACCGTAAAAGTTCCCGGGGCCAAGCCCAAACAACCAGAAGAGTCCATAGTTTTTTTGCTTGTTGGCTTCTTGCAGCTAAAGTGCACTGCACCCGCCACGCCTCGAGGAAGAGCTTCACTCGCCGTTTCGGGTAACTGCATTTCCGCTTTGGGCGACCTGCAGCTTAATCGACGACGAAAATACCCAGGTTTTCGCCTGCTATTATCGTTGCCACCACCATGATCTCACTCAACCTTAGTAAAATATTAGTTATGTCCTATGCTGCTCCTCTCAGGGTCGGGCTATGCGAGGTTTCCGGTGGAGCACGGTTTTTTTTCCTTTTCGTGGTTCCAACTACGTCAAGAAGCAGTAGCGCATCAGAGCAGATACGTTAGCCCGGGTCTATTTTTTTTTCTGTGGTGGTGGGAAGACCAGAGTCTTCGGCATTACAACAGCCGTGCGTTTGTCATGCGTTTGCCGTGCGTGTATAGGGCATGGCCTAAGAGAGAAACGAGGGCTTTTTCTGCCTGGCATACGCAAACACGCAAACACACACACCAATTCCTGTCTATCTCGGTCTCTGTCTTTCTTAAAACTCCTCGAGCCCGCCTAGCAACAACCGCATTGGGTTCAAAGGTTCGGTGCCTTTGAAAAATCTCGATTTGAACGTAACTTCAGCCGTTGAGGGTCTTGTAAGGCTTGTTCTAGCGCGTCAGGGCATTGCTCGAGCCAACGCAGGCCTTTTTTCCAAAGCTTGTGCGTCGACGGTAAAATCGAGACATTCCTTGAACCTGCGACGGGATCGTAGGGCAACGCAACAACAACTTACAGATAGCACACAATTTTCTTTTCGATCTTTCTTGGATCTTTTTTTTTCGCTGAGCTGAGCTGGAGCTTAGAAGAACCAACACACACAAACCGCGAAGCGTGGATGGGTTACACATACACCAGTAGTCGGTAGCACACACACAAGGAAGTCCGTTCAAAGGGCCTGAACAGGTATGGACTTTTTTTTAGCCCCACCCCGTGGCATCGCATCGATTCCACAAACTACACTACGAAGCGCACGGTTGGTTGATCGTCGTGATACGACGGTGGTTTTGTTAGATATCGTTTTTTGGATGGGATGGATATAAGGCTGTGCGTGCGTGCGAGCGAGTGGGCAGGGTGTGTAGCATGTACGCATTATATGGGTTTATGTCCGAAAACGTATTGTATATATATAGGAAAGACAAGTCGAGGAAACGGCGCCCATTGGATTTTGAAAAATTATAGGTTGTATCTTTGTCCTCTATAAATTTTATTTCCCTTCCTCTTAGTCGTGTCGTTGTACCTCGTAGCATTAGCATGTCTTCGTCGTCATCGTCGTCGTCGTCTTCGTCGTCGTTGTCGTTGTCGTCGTCGTCTCAAAATTTCATTCGATACAACAGTCATGGCAATAGAGACGAGACGCTGCATCCAGGATTCAATTTCCGCACACCACTGTCTAATCAGGAAGACCACAATTCGGGAGCCATTGAGTACCATAACGAAACTCACGATAACCATGGCGTAAACTCGTATGCTTGGCAATTCCGTGGGTGCTTTGACGCGGACTTGACGGAAGACTCCGCAGACACCGCGGGCACTATCACAGACATGGACGTCACTGCCAACACGCCCAATTCGCTTTCTCCAAGCTTGACGTCCACTTTTGTATCCGGATCCGAACCTTCTCTACGGCCCGTGCTGGACATGGCTGGCCTGGCGTTGGAACGCACCTGTCCCATGCCGGACATGGACAACGAATCAGACCTTTCAAGCTATTCGCCAGCAGAACTAACCTTACATCACAATGCTTTACCATTGAGCAGATCGCAAATCAGCACCCCGGCCGTTACCGTAATAAAGTCAGAACCGGGTGTTTTGCAACTACCGCATCAAACTCCAAAGACTATCAAGCCTGCTAACCGATCCTGTCGCAACGTTTGGTGCGAAAAAAGCGATATTGCTCTTCTCAAGACCATGCTGCGCAGCCAAGATCTTCTACACAACGTATTCAAGCGTCGGCCTCGCAGCCGTTACTGGGCTTGCATTAGTGAAAGCCTAGCGACGGAAAACAATATGCACAGGAATAAACGTCAATGCCGCGACCGTTTCAATCTCATCTACTGGAAAGCGGTTCGCGACAAGCATCAAGACAAGCCAGCTGGCAACAAGAGCGAACTAGAAAAATTGAAAGCCGAATGCATGTGTCGTTTCTACATCGACAAGGACAACAATGTCATGTTAAGAACACCGGAAGATTCCGATGACTTTCCCTTATTGAAGAAAGACACCGAAAAGGGCGAAATATCGACCTCGGAGAAAAATCCATGGCATGTTTTCGCTCAACTACAGAAAACCGTCGTACAACTAACGGCCAAATTCGATAGTCTCCATGAGGAGTTAAACTCTCAAAGAGAGATAATCAGACACTACGAGCAAAATCACGCTTATAATCTACACGAACAGCACCAACAACAACAGCAACAGCAACAGCAACAGCAACAGCAACTACAGTCACAGGCAGAGCTATCGTCACGTCCCGACTACGATCGTTACGCCGGCGATCAAAGCATTGCACACAGCATCCGGTGGTAATGGAAACTAAACACAAGAGGAAAAGTGGGTATGTACTATATAGACAAGAGCGCATTTGGGCCATGAATGAGGCCAAGGATCAAATCCAGATGCGAAATGTCACTTTAATGTATGAAGATTAATAATTTTGAGCCAACGAGTTAGCGACGGTAAATTTCCCGTTACATAATAGCACAGATAGCATTCGCCGGCATTAAAAGATACCTTAAACTTTAACGACATAAAAAGCCGTTACAATTTTTTGATCGCTAAGGAATCAAGAAAAAAGCGAAGACGTAGACGAGCGATTGTGGTCTTCCTGGATTTGTGACAATTCAAGACTCGTCCAAACTAGTGGTAAACCTGAACTTTTTGGAGTGAACGTGTTGTTCGAGCTACTTCGGAGACGCTCACCGTTCGCTCCATTGTAGATATTAAAAAAAGGATGAGCTTCGTAGAGCACGATATGCAAGGAAAAGAAACTAAGAATAGATGGCAAAAAGGAAGGAAAAAATAGAACAGAAACTGAACGGGAAATACGCCTTCCTAAAAGGGAAGCAAGCATGCACGTGTTAAGATATGGTATGTGGCTTTCCCGAAAGAGCAGCCCTAAGACGTTCTTTTGGGAAGAGCCCTTATCTGAACAAGGTACTACCGGATCGGGGCATACGGTTACCCTTTTCGGATTATGCAGCGCGAGCCAGCGAGCTCGAGCGCATGATTGCGTCATTGGGGGTCCGGGCTTACCGAATTTCCGGACCTTACAGGAGACTGGAATGATACAGTTTCGTTGTCGTAGATACAGGGTCATAGTTTCCGGTGTCTATGGGAACATAGACAATGTGCCGGGAGCCGGGAAAAATTAAAAAGCCGGATGTAAGAAGTCCAGCTCGAGACGTTCAAGTGGTGATTCCGGCGAAAAATCCATCACTAATAGTGAATCGAGTTCTTGACGGGAGAAACGGTCTTGCTTAGCGAAGTGCGCTCTGTCCGACAAACAGACGGCGCACCTGTAGCACATCGAGGTGGTCCCTTTTTTTTTTTTCGTCCCTCTGGGCTCGATTCATCCGTATCCTCTCTGGAGTCCGCGAGCCACTTAGGAACTAGGCTCAGATTGTGAGGTGAGCCTTTTCAGCCCGGGAGAAAGTGGGTCAGCAAACCAATGCGCACATGCTGCAGATAGAGACGATAGAGACAAGAACACTTGTGAGTTCGGCGTCGAATCCAAGGTTTTTCGGCATCTTGAACTCCTTTAGCTCCGTTCTCGTCCCGCTCGGCTTGGCCGGTGTCGTGAGCGAGAGCTTGCAGATTCGGAACATATGACGTCAAACCCGTTGAACGGCTGATAAAAAAGCTTTGGCTGGCCGGGAAATAAAGCGAGTATGGCACACGATCGTGATGGTGATCGTGGAACAAAAAGAAGAAATACTGCTCTTTGGTGTGGGTGTGGAAGAGAAACGGACTCGCGCCATGAAACTTGGATACAATAACGGGTTGTTTGGTTTGGCCAGAATTTACTAGGCTTATGAAGTGCTACTACACTCTTTGAAAAGGTCGTTAAAAATGATTCTGCTCAGAGTAGCATTTTCGCAAACCAATTTTTGTGGCCAGATCTATGCTGGAAAGTATGGAAAATACGATTGTATTGTAGAATCTAGCTTGTGAGCTTGAGCCCTGGCCAAATAAACAAGTTTTGACTTTGAAACGATAAGTCACGTGCAGAAAAGATAGGTGGCAATGTGGGATAAAATGATCTCTTTTACTGATCTAAAACGACTTTGCTGAGAAAGCCAAGAGACGATAGCGTTTGTTTGAATTCAGAGGAGACATTTCTCATGCTGTTGGGCCTAAATTTCCTTGGAATAATTCTTGTTTAGTGAGTGGCGCAATATAGTCGAACCAGCAGCCGAGGAACTTTTTAGAGCATCAATATCTGGACATATACAGAATTTCGACTCCAGGTTTGGGGCTCTTGAAGGAATGGGAATCGCTCAATTCAAAAAAAAAAGGAGTCTGATTACCGAAAGAAGAATCACGCAATTGTGGTCTGTGTTGGATTCATCTCTGAAACTTGGCGTTAGATTCATGACAAAGAATGATCTCTTTCCACGTGACTCCGTGTCAGCGTCAGAACTGAGAAATATGATAAGTACATTCTCACAACTACATTCCTCAGTTGTGAACACTTAGGGTATGCTACCGGAACGTGAGTTGCCCCTATCAAGAGCTATAGCTCATATTCACACTGCGCTCGGTTCAGAGTTTACAATATGGCCTCACTGGTCGAGAAAAAAAATTTGTAAAATCGCCAAAGGAAGGATGTTTTCACCAACCATCAAGGTCGTAGCATGCAAAAACTGAGTTCAGTAGAGAAACAATCTGGGCTGTTCAGCACCGGGAACGCTACGAAAAGTATGGGACGGGTTTTTACACGGGACGACCATACAGATACAGAATTTCAAATACGAGTATAAACATTGGATTTCATTTACAGGAATTTGGACCCCGTTTTGATATTCTACCTAGGTGAACAGTTAGGCCCGAACGTGTGCGAGCCCTTGGAGACTTCCTGCTGAGGGACGGAGGTCGATTTTGATGTGGCGAAATGCGCAAACCCCAGTGGCTTGCCAATGACAGACGGGGACAAAGTGATAAAAAATTTGTGATGTTTGTATTCTGTAGCCCAGCGCACACCAATAGATAGCCGATTGGCCTAAACTTTAGGATATTTAAAACGGTGGACCACCACTTTTGGAAACCCAAGACCTCATTGAACATGGAAAAAAAATGTCTTTTCAACATCCACCGGCCCGGTTTTCTTGTACAAATCTTTGAACGTAACTCTGCAAACTCCTCTGGGACGCACTCAAACCATTCAATTGGCAAAAGCATTACATTGAAGTAACAGCCAACACTCAGTACTGAGAACCCAAAACCCGAGATCTATCCGTACAAAACGATAACAAAAGGGGACATTTTTTGCACGATTCCCTGAATCCCGAAACCAAAGAATAACAAAGTCGAAGTATCTCATTACGGCTCATTAGCTCGTCATATCAGTGAAACATATATACAGAGGGGTTTATAGGGTGTACTCTTTAAACCCTGATCATCCGGAGTATCACTATCGACGCACACGCACCCCATCTAAACGACCACGTGATCACATTTCTCTCAGAGATTTTCCCCATTACCCGGCCGTTCCACCGCTTATAAGCATTATCTCTAATTCTCCACTATTATCAATCACCACGGTCACTAATAAAAATGGTCATGTGACTATAAGGGGGTATCCAATTAAAATGTGTTGCCCTTAGATATGGGTACCTGTATATATAAATTGATGAATTAAGTGATTTAACCATCTCCACACAACTTTGATGATCAAAAAGAGCTAAAGAAACACGTTTAGGACGGTATAAAAGCGGCGTTTCAGCGTTGTTTGAGATCTCTACACATTCATAGACGTTTTCGTCAAAATTGTGGTGTTTCCAGCGGGTTTTTTGCGACTTTTACGGGCCTTTTAGCTGCTAAATTGGGTGAATTATTTACTCTAGACTTCAAAGAAAAGTTGAGGCTAAAAAGAGGTTTGCGGCCAGCGTATAAGACACTTTTTCGATTGGCAGCTTAAAAGTGCTAGAGACTGGACGTGGGGAGCTCTCTTTTTTTCTCTTTTTCTTCGTTGTTTTGGCGCAGGACGTCTTGAAATACGAGAATAAGAGTAACCTCATAAGTTAAGACACCCCTCCTCATTTTCCGTTTGCTGGGCTTGTTGGGTTGCTTTTCACCTTTTACCATAGCGCCACCACCGACACTTGGGTTTTCTGGGTTTTTCAATGTCGCAGAATCTACAGGTGAAACGTAAGCGAACCAGAACGCTGGACACTGCTCCTCGTGCAGGCATGTCGTTGCGTTCAGTGCCTCAGGGTATGTTTCTCGATAACGACGCGGACCCTATCATCGGCGAAATGCTGGCACGGCAGTCTGCTTTGTTGCAGGGCAACTTAATAGATTCCCATTTTGCCACAGCTACAACTGCAGAGAGTTCGCTAGCAGCAGCAGCTGCAGCAGCAGCTGCTGGAAAGGAGAACTCTTTAAACGAACTCACAGTGGCCGGAGGAACGGACGATACCACCATCAACAACAACAACAACAACAACAACAATAATAACAAGGACCACGAAGAGGAAGACGACGATCTGATTTTTGTCAAGGAGCAGCCCGCTCAATTTCCGATTCCTTTGGATCCGCATGCAGAACACCATTACACGAGCAAAAAATTCAAAAAGCAAAGAACTATTTCCCTACCGCAGCTTCCGCACTCGAAACTGCTGTACGAGGCTGCTCAACATCGTGCTTTGCCGCATCGTCAAAATGACGATGATTTGCTCCATCTCAGTGGGTCATCCACCAAAACCATTGATGGGAATCGCGCTGTCACTTTAAATGTGGTAAAAAGCGTTTCCCCTCTAAGCGTCAATGATCATGGCTCGCCAGTTTTCAAACGTATGACCACAGCGCCCAAAATATCAAGACTTGTAACTGCAGCCAAGAAAAAGAACAAGAAAGATTTTTTCCAAACCGACAAAGAAGGCCACTATGTCTACCGTGATGAAGACAATTTTTGCAACGGCAGGTTTGTCGTCAAGAGTTTGCTGGGGCAGGGCACCTTTGGTAAAGTGGTACAGTGTGTTGATAATGTTCCTTCTTCTATGCAAAGCAATGACTTTCAAGGATTCGAAGACCCGTTCTCTGAGTCTTTCGAGGACTCTCACTTTGATCTCGATTTTCCAACCTCAGAGCCCAACATTCCAAAGCCCGCCAAGCTCGTCGCTGTCAAAATTATACGTGCTGTTGACCGGTATCGTGAAGCTGCAAAAACCGAACTGCGAGTTTTGAAAGCTATTTTGGACAACGATCCATTGGGCCAATACCAATGCTTGCTGCTACGTGAGTGCTTTGATTACAAAAATCATATTTGCTTGGTGACCGATTTGTTTGGAAAGTCCATTTATGATTTCATGTGCAATAACGGTTGCGCGCGCTTCCCCGGTTCCCATGTTCAAGCGATAACCAAACAATTGATTCGCTCCGTATGCTTCTTGCATGATCTGGGTATAATACACACGGACTTGAAACCGGAAAACATACTTCTTTGCGATGAAACGTACGTTGGTAAGCCTCTCTCCCAGCAAGAGCTTTCAAATTTGAGCCCACGTCGTAAAAGTGCTTGCAACGGAGAACGCAAATTTTTGACCAATCCTGATGTCAAGCTGATCGATTTTGGGAGTGCTGTGTTTTACAACGAGTTCCATCCAGCAGTCATTTCTACTCGACATTACCGTGCACCGGAAATTGTTTTGGGTTTGGGTTGGTCGTTTCCTTGTGACATCTGGTCTATAGGTTGCGTGCTTGTGGAATTGGTCACAGGAGAGTCATTGTACCCGATACATGAGAATTTGGAGCACATGGCTATGATGCAAAGGTTCAATGGCAGACCATTTCCTCCCAAAATTGTGGAGAATATGTTCTACAAATCAGATCGTAAGATAGGAAACCTGGCCCCAGATTTGAATGCCACGGTTGTGAAGCATTTTGATAGAGACACACTGGCACTACAATGGCCCGAGCGTAATTCCAAAGGCGAGATCGTAACCAAGGAGAGATCTATGAAAAGGATTTTGTCAGGCTGTGATCGGCTAGACAAATATGTGATGCAAAAAATACGACAAGATCACGGTGACTGGCTAGTCATTAATTGGGATATGAGTGCTGAAGATAATTGGGCTCTATTAGAATCACAGTTCGACGAGCAGGTGCTCGATAAGGAAGTGTTTTTATTTTGGTTTTGGTTCCTGGATTTATGCAAGAAAATGTTTGAATTCGACCCAACCAAAAGGATCACTGCCAGGGAGGCAGTAAACCACGAATGGTTCAATTATGGTATATTGGACGAAGGCATTGCAAGCTTCGGGAAAAATCAGCACGGTTAAAGGTTTTATTGAAGCTAATATTTATTCGTGTGAAACGGTATTGGATATATTTACGTAAAGGCTTAAAATAACGTAAATTGGAAGGAACTTGACTTCAAGTTTTCGCTGTCCGCGGGAGGCTTGGAACAATCGTTAAGCAGGATCGAATCATTGGCGTACCCATTGGGAGTGCGAACGAAGTTGAAGAATTAACTGTAAATTTAGACAGACAAAACTCATGCATGCCTTCGGTGAATTTTCCTGTGTTGAAGATTTCCCCATCTTTTCCGAACTTGTTACAAACAACTATATAATATTGGAAAGCATATGTATACTTCCTTCGTTAAAAATTGGTTCTGTTGGCCTTGAACCTTAGCATTGCCATTGTATTATCCCATTTATCAATGAAAACAGATCCCGTTCGATCACGAAATTGGTCGATGCTAGATGCCATTTTCACAAACCCTGCTCTGAAACGAGAACCAAGATTTCCTCCTCCAATCATGAACAATCGAGCCTTGGTGATATACGCCGATAAATTGTCTTGGAGTGGATGTAAATAACCAGAGGCTTGAATATTCCACGCCTCTCTCAATCTCCTCGTTAACCTCCCCAATTCGATCTTTGGTTCAAAATTGATCGCATGTTTGTAATGACGGAGATGATCAGAAGCAGATCTGATTTTGATGGAACAAGACGATAAAAGCGTATTTGCGGCAGACATAAAAGCGGTGTTTGCATGCCTTATTTTATTATCAAGGTTGAGGAATTTATGCTTGTCCAGTTCTTTGATATAGCGCAAGAAATATTGGGACTTTTCGCTAACGTGAAGTTTGGCTGATTCCCAGTAATTGACTTTGGGAACAATAGGGTAAGCAATGCGGTTTTCAAAATCAACAATATACTTCCCAGCACCCTTAGAAATGGATCCTAAGGGCAGTACAAAGTCCACATCGCGGTACGTGGCACCATGATTCGTAAAGTACGGTGCTGCTGCAACGTCATTCACAGGCGCTGGTGAAGAATTTTTCAACACTGCTTGCAAAGCACAAGTTATCAAAAAAGTTGTAGAAGACGTCAAAAGCACGATCTGCCATGGGTTCAACTGAGCAAGTCCACGGCTCGCACGACCGCAGAAGGATGATGACTTTTCTTGTACCAAAGAACTTGGCAAAACTGAGTTCCGGGACAAACTTTTGGCAAGGTCTTCTTCCTTCTGCCCAATAAGAGTGCTGAAACCGTATCCGGCAGCCACTGCACCGTTTGAAGAGCCAATCAGAGATTCTGACTCGTCCGAACTTGTTGTTGAAAGAACATCGTCACAAAGACCTTCTTCCAACACTGTTTCAATTAAAACGCTCTCGTTACGCTGGGAACCTTCATTTCTGTCGAAATTGACAACATTCCAAGCTCTATCTCCCGAATTTTGAGGTTGCTTCTTGCTTGGGGACATTCTTATGGATAAGTTGGATTGTAATAATCCGATTCGAGTGGTATGAAGACGGCTTTTAAGCAAATTCTTGAACTGGTTTCCTTGGGAGTTTTTGTCTGATCACGCCGCCGCTTGATGCCACGCTCAAAGATATGCTGGTTTTTGTGCTTGTGAAGACAGAAACAAGGCCAATGTTGAAGCTTTTGATTACCAGAACGGTTCGTTATGGTAGAAACACCGAATCCCCCTTGGATCCAAATCAATATATAATGCCTTGTAGTCGAATCCGTACCGAACGATTGTCAGTTCGATGTGAAAGAAAGAGGCCAGATACGACCTCCAGTCATTATCTCGGATGTCTCGTAGGCTGGGAATCTGGCTTTCATAGCGCATCGTCGAGTTGGAACAGTCTTGCTGCTCTTTTTTGGCAATTTTCCAGGAGTTTTTTGGGAGGTTTTAGCGTTGAATTAGACCACTTTTGATAATCCATCCGATATCGCGACTACTGGTCTCCATGCATTAGGTATTATACCTTCACCACAGACGCCTTTGGAGCTCCGTAGAACTCCTTGACCTTTTGGTGCAGCTCGGCTACACGTTCTGCCATGTCCATGAAAAGTTCGAATTCCTCGAGCACTGTAGAGACAATCGCGTTGATGCCAGTTTTCCAGTTGGTACCATCAGCACCAGAGTCCGCACCACCATCGGTGGAAGTAGCTCCGAACATATCGCGTTCTATGCCTTGAACAGCACTCTCGATATCGGAGAGCACGTTGAAATATTCGTCCAATTTGTGTTTGTATTGCTGGATCTTGTCTTGGAAGAACTTATCGAGCTCGATGGAAGAGATTTTGGACCCAGGTGTTATTAGTTGTTGGAAAATTGTGGAAAACGTTTGTGAATCTGTCATGTTTTGGTCTATCGTGTCTTTGATGCCTGTTATCTTGCGCAAATCCTGCATCAGGGACTGATGTGTGACTGAATGCGTGGTTTGCAGGTATTTGATGTCGCGTGGAATGGACCGGATCAGTTCTATGTGGTCGTCGAAATCGGCCTTTAGATGCTGAGAGATGGCAACTTGGCGTTGAACGTATTGGTCTAATTGCTCAATTTCCTGACGAATTTGAGGCGGTAGGTCTGCAACACGTGTCATTGGGTTGATCGGCAGCTGCGATAGTGTTTGTAAAGCGGGCTGTGCTTGCATTGGCGGTTGTAGAGCGTTGTTGGAATTCGTGTTATTGAAGAGGGAAGTACCTGCAGGTTTGCTTCCGAAAAGACCCCCGGACGATGCTTGTGGTGCATTGTTGCTGTTGCCAAAAAGTCCCCCCGAGGTGTTTTGTCCAACGGTAGAGTTACCAAAAAGCCCACCGCTCGTACTGCCACTGGTGGTGTTGGCGGCATTATTGCCGAAAAGTCCTCCAGATGGTGCCGCTGACGAATTTCCGAAGCCGGTGGGCTTTGCTCCAAAAAGACCTCCAGACGTTCCAGTGGAAGCATTTGTGTTTTGCCCGAAAAGCCCACCTGACGAAGAATTGGCGTTGGTGTTTTGATTGTTTTGTCCAAACAAACCGCCAGAAGAGTTAGCAGTGTTCTGGCCAAATAGTCCACCTCCCGTGTTGGTTGTGTTCGAAGCGGCTGGAGCGTTGCCCTGTTGTCCAAACAGGCCACCACCCGTGTTATTTTGGCCGCTCTGTCCAAACAACCCTGTTCCTCCCGTGTTTTGACCTGTTGCGCCCGTATTTTGTGTGTTTTGACCAAATAGACCACCGCTGGTCCCAGAAAGACTCGTCGCTGGTTTTTGGGGCGCACCTTGGCCAAAAAGCCCCCCACTCTGGCCTTGCTGGTTTTGTTGCCCAAAAAGCCCACCACCAGCTGGTTTGCTCTGCCCAAACAAAGAGCTTCCGCCTATGCCGCTTCCTGCTGCAGCAGAACTCGATCTACCAGAATTGAACATGAAGGAGTATTCAATGGCGTGTTATACCGATAATTCAAGACTTCAAGATCTCCTTTAAAGTTTTGAAGATCAGATTTCGTTTTGTTATGGCCATTTGAAAATTTGCTACGTGTATAATGACATCACGACAATTTTTGATATTAGTGGGTAATAATGAGAAATGGACAAGGTTGTATTTGAACACACTACACCATTTAGATCGGAAAAGGGCTCAACTTGACAGTGTTCGAGACATAAGCTTCACTTCTTTAGCTCATTATTGCTAATTTTATATTGGAGTTAGCTATAGACCTTTTTCAAGCGGGAAAAACCGATAGAATTAGGGTTCATTACGAGCTTTTGTTGTCCTGATATTTGGGTCGCAGTCTACTCTCTTCAGGAAAGGGATTCGACAAATAAGCCATTCACCTACCACCAACTGACCAGTTTAGCTGCTCAATTGTTTCACTAGGTCCTCTGTAGTGTGGGAAACAGAACGGCAACCAGATCTGACATTTTGACCGCACACACGGTTCTTCTGCTAGAAAGAAAACTAAAATAAGATGGGTATCCCAAAATTTTTCAGATACATCTCTGAGAGATGGCCGATGATATCGCAGCTAATCGACGGGTCTCAAATACCTGAGTTCGATAATCTGTATTTGGACATGAATTCAATTCTGCATACGTGCACGCATGCTAACGATGACGACGTCACGAAGCGAATGTCGGAAGAGGAGGTGTTTGCAAAGATCTTTGCGTACATTGACCATTTGTTTCACACAATAGGACCCAAGCACACTTTCTACATGGCCATCGATGGTGTTGCCCCGCGTGCAAAAATGAATCAGCAACGTGCGCGTCGTTTTAGGACGGCCATGGACGCCGAGAAAGCTTTACAGAAGGCAATCGCAAACGGTGAAGAAATTCCAAAGGGCGAGCCCTTTGACTCGAACTGTATCACTCCCGGCACCGAGTTCATGGCAAAGTTGACCCAGAATCTGAAATACTTCATTCATGACAAAGTTTCCAATGATTCGGCCTGGAGCTCAGCTAAAATCATCTTGTCTGGTCATGAAGTTCCCGGTGAAGGTGAACATAAAATCATGGAGCATATAAGACGCCTGAGATCACAACCCGACTATAACGCTAATACGAGGCACTGTATCTATGGATTAGATGCGGATTTGATCATGCTGGGTCTTTCTACACATGACCCACACTTTGCTCTTCTTAGAGAAGAGGTCACCTTTGGTAGACGTCAAAAGTCTCAGCCTTTGGAGCACCAAAATTTCTTTTTGCTTCATATCTCCCTTTTGAGGGAATACCTGGAACTGGAATTCAGTGAAGTTGCTGACGACTTGCAATTCGAGTACGACTTTGAGAGAATATTGGACGACTTCATTTTGGTGATGTTCGTGATTGGAAATGACTTTTTACCCAATCTTCCCGATCTGCACTTGAATAAAGGTGCTTTTCCAGTCCTGCTTCAAACGTTCAAAGAGGCTCTCAAACATGTTGACGGCTATATAAACGAGCAAGGTACGATCAACCTTTCTAGGTTCCAGGTATGGCTGCAGTATCTTGGCGAATTTGAGCTTATGAACTTTGAAAAGGATGATATCGACGTTGAATGGTTCAACAAACAGCTAGAAAATATCTCTCTTGAGGGAGAAAGGAAAAGAGCTCGTCTGGGTAAGAAGCTTCTGCTCAAGCAACAGAAAAAGATTGTTGGTGCTATAAAGCCTTGGCTGTTAAAGACCTCGGCTGCCCCATTTGATGCAAAAGCTCTCTCTGGCGACGATATACCCACATTTCCCCTAGACAAAGATGTTGTCGAGGACAATCTGTCATTTTTGAAGGAGCTAGCATTTGACTTAGGATTATTTGTCGCTCATTCTCAATCGCAGGATAATTTTTATCTGCAACTTGATGTTGACGGCATCAATCCTCATGAGTCTGAAGAAGAGCATAAAGATCGTGTGGCTGCCTTGAGAAAGCTCATTAAGAAATACGAGCAAGCCGTGCTTGTTGAAGACAGCGAGGAACTTGAAAAAGAGCAAAAACTCTACGGTGAAAGATTCGAAAATTGGAGAGATCAATACTACAAGGACAAATTGGGTTTCAGTTACCACGATGAGGACAAACTACGTGAGCTGACTGAAAACTATGTGGAAGGACTTCAGTGGGTGCTTTACTATTACTACCGTGGCTGTCCATCATGGTCTTGGTACTATAAATACCACTATGCGCCCCGCATTTCTGATGTTCAGAAGGGTTTGAATCTACTGATCAATTTTGATAAGGGTACACCCTTCAAACCATTCCAGCAATTAATGGCAGTACTACCGGAAAGATCCAAGAACTTGATCCCTGTTGCGTATCGGCCCCTTATGTATGATCCAAAGTCACCAATCCGCGACTTTTATCCAGATGAAGTGGAGTTGGATAAAAACGGCAAAACAGCAGATTGGGAAGCTGTCGTTAAACTTTCGTTCGTGGACGAAAAAAGACTTATTGACGCCATGTCTACCATGGAAAATAAACTGACAGCAGAAGAACGCAACAGGAACAAATTTGGAACTGACCTGGTTTTCATCTATAATCCTCAGATCGATGACATCTACAAGTCTCCTCTCAGCGGCTTTTTCTCCGATATTGAGCACAACCACTGTGCTGAGCGTGAATACATTCCACACTCTATGGATGGCCTTGAATTACTATATGGTCTACCAGCAGGCGCAAAATTAGGAGCCGAAGCGTTGGCTGGATTCCCTACGCTAAAAACTCTCTCTTTTAACAGCAAGCTTGATTATAATGGATGCATGGTTTTTCAACAGCCGTCAAAACAACAATCCATGTTGTTAACCATAAAAGATGCTTACAATGAAAGCAACCTGACCCTTGACGAGTTTGCCAAAGCGCATGTGGGTAAAGTGGTTTACACAAGGTGGCCCAATCTGAGAGAGTCAAAAGTGCTATCTGTGAGCGATGGCAAAACCATTTTTGAGCAATCCAAAAACGGCAAACACAACTTTATCGAGAGGAAGCTGGATGATGTTGAGCTCAGATTGTTCAATACGCAGCGAGCAGGGATGCGCCGAAACTACTCTGTACAGAAGGGCGTGATGCTTGATGATGTTCGCGCCATTGTCCGTGTTATCCCCGTAAATGGATTGACAAGAACTCCCGATGGTGCTTACGTCAAAACGTTTTCCACAATCGAAGAGTTTTATCCATTGCAGCTCGTTGTTGAAGATGTTGAGAATAAGGATAAACGTTTTATGGAAAGGACTCCCGTTCCTGTGAGTGAGGAATTCCCCGAAGGCCTAAACGTCATATTTTTGGGAGACTATGCTTACGGTGGAAAAGCCATCGTGGACGGGTACAGTAGCAGTACCAGGTTGAAGCTGACTGTTGAGAAACACACCACCGACAAGGAACCGACTGTTGGTAAAGTAAGAGCTCAATTGGACCAAAAAATGATACGTTACTATCCGTCCTTTATCGTTTCCAAGAAACTACAAATTCATCCATTATTTTTGTCAAGGATCACTTCACGTTTCATGGTTGGGGGATTTGGGGAAAGACCAATAAATTTTGGATTGGAAGTGAAATTTGAATCACGCCATGAAAAGGTTTTGGGTTACGCTAGAAGGAATCCGAAGGGTTGGGAGTACTCAGATATGACCATGGCTCTTCTTTCAGATTTCAAAAAGAATTTCCCTGAGTTTTTCTTCAAGTTATCGACTCAAGCCAAAGAATCGCCATCTTTCGAAAACATGTACCCCGGTGCTAAACGTGAAGAGTTAAAAGGCGTTATTGACAGCGTTCGCTCGTGGTTAAAAGATGTGAAGCAAAATTTCGTGACCGTCTCTTTCGAAAGTGACTCGCTAACCAAGGCTTCCATGATAGCTGTAGAAGATGCGATTGAGAAGTATGTTGCTGTTCCTCCAAAGATCAGCACAAAGCAATTAGCGAAAGTTCCACGAGAGGCCATTCTTGACCCTCAGGTATCTCTCGCCATGCTGCGTACTCAAAAATTTGATCTCGGTGACAGAGTGATCTACATTCAAGATTCTGGTAAGGTACCACTATTTTCGAAGGGTACTGTTGTGGGGTACACCACGATTGGTCCAAAATTGTCAGTGCAAATTCTCTTTGACAAAGAGATTGTTGCAGGAAACACTTTTGGAGGAAGGCTAAGAACGAAGCGTGGCTTAGGGTTAGACTCTTCCTTTTTACTCAATTTGAGCAACAGACAGTTCATTTACCATTCCAAGGCTTCAAAATCGGTCAAAGAAGCATCGAAGAAGCCCCAGAAACCTGTCAGAGTTGCTCAAGCTACACCTGATGCCACGACTGCTCGTCAGCAGGACGCAGCAACGAAAAAGCAGCAAGCCCAAGAACTGCTCAGTCATATAAAGGGCGCTGAAGCTGACTCCCAAGCTAATGAGGAAAAGAGCGGTGCGACCCATGACAAGTCTCAGGAAAAAAACATTAACTTCAACGGAGACCAAGCGGAGTTAAATGCGCCTACCGATAGAGTCATTGCCAGTAACATTTACAATGCCGTCTTTAATCAGTTTACTGACGCCGCGCCTATGCCGGGCCCTAACCCGTTCCCACATGGTGCCCCCTACGAAGGACAGCCTTTAAATGCGGTACCACCTCACTTGGTTGGCCACCTTCCACCACCCCCACCTATGGGTTACTATCCTCCTCAAGGCCCGATTCATCCTATGGTGCATCCGTCGGCTGGACACTTTGTTCAACCATTTCAGGTTCCGGTAAGTGTACCTGTTGCCAACGGAAGTGGTACAGTTGAAGAGAACAATGGAAACCACATTGAAAACATCGCGCCGACGGAAAATGGCACGCAACGCGGTAACGCAGATGAACATACAGGTCATTCCTCACCTGGCGGTCGTGGAAATGGAGGTAGAGGGGGCTCCAGAGGTTCAAGAGGAAGCTTCAGAGGTCGCGGTCGTGGTCGTGGACGTGGTAGAGGTAGGGGACGTCCTACAGGTGGTGATATCTCTAATCGCTCTGCGTGAAGAAACAATCGAAAAGTTTACAAAGTAACCTTGTCAAATAATCTATGTAAAAAATGTTGAGTTCGTTTCCTGTACCTAGATTCTCATAGATCAGAAAGTGATCGGAAAAAAAAAAGAATGCTGTTACTCGTCTTCCTGTAACGTGAAGCTCTGTATTTTTCTCTCATGCAATTCATTCTGTTTGGCAAACCATTTTCGCTCAAACCCGTTTGACCTGTCCACTCCGTCCCAACGCCATCCTGGCTGTATTTGAAATCTATTTTCAGCACTGACTTTGGCATAAAGTTTTCTGCCTAATGGCGATCTGAGATTGGCGTTATTGGCAGCTGTTCTTGACGCTGCTGCAGGATCGAAAGCACTGAATGGATCGTCATTTTTCGTGTCGTTGGAATCAGCTTTATTGTTATTTTTCGAATTCGCCATGACCCCATTTTTCTGCACTTCTCCCATGTTCAGTTCTCGTAATTCCAGTTCCCACTGAGCTTGTCGCAGTTTCTCGGCCTCAACCTCTGATGACACACGTTCATGATAATCTTTGATTTTCCGGCCTTGACTGTCTCTGTAAACTGTTTCTGTGACATTAACATCACTTCCTAGAGCTTTTCTGGCTTCCAATTCTTTTGCTTCCGTGTTTCGTCTCACCTCTTCTGCCGATTGGATGATTCCTACCGGAATATCCTGAGTTTTTGAAGATGTATCCAAATACTTCGTTGTTCGATGAGATACTTCATTCGTGTTGAGATTTTTCCACAGACCCTTTTTACCGCCTGGGACCGTATCCTTCGAGCCTTGGTTCCCAGCTTTTGTCGTTTTTGTATTATTTGGATCGTTTTCCAGGATCGCATCGCTGCTGGTGAAAGAATCCAAGATTTCGAGTGTGCCATGTTTCTCACTAGTTTTCTTGGATTTGGACTTCTTAGGCTTATTTGACCCGTACTTTTCATTGAGGTAGTCGTTGATAGACATTTCTAGCCTCTAAAGGTCATTAGAGGTGGACACAAGTGCTGTTTTCCATAAAGTTAACTGTTCTTGACTGGTAGTCATCTCAAGATTGTATATATATATATATATTGAATATTATTATTTTCAGCTCATCGATTCAAATCTGAACCTTCAAAAGTGAGAAACTAAGCGTTTGAATATCTTTAAAGGACATGATACCGAGTCTATGAAGCCTGCCGTCGATGATTCACGATTGGAGACAGAATTGGTGAAAAAAGCTATAAAAAACTGGGATTTAAATCGACTTCTGGGGCTTCAGGAAGAAGTTACACGAGAAATAGCGGATCGGGTCCAAGTTCTCGAAAACGAGATCGAACGCCTGAAGGAAAGACCAGATTTGAGTAATCATTTCACGCAACACATTGAACATGATTCGGGGCAAAATGGGGGGCATCCGCTACTCAAAATCGAAGAGAACGAGAACGCAAACTTGCGGGAAGAGGAGGACCGTCATCAGATGTCAAAAAAACGTAAGATTTCAAATTCCGGACACGAAACTAAAAACCAGTCTGCGCAATCGAGCCAAGCACTAGGTGGTCAAGAGGATTTCTTGATTCCTGGAACTTTGGATATGCAAAGCAAAGACATAAATTTTAGCTCGCCTTTGAAGCCTGCACAAACCGTGGAAGCCAAGTTCGACAAGTCAAGTCCAATAAGGAGGCGTCATTTGGCTGTTATAAGCGATTCGGAGGGCGAATTGGAATGGTCAGATACAGAAGATCAAGAACCTCTCGATCCTGGAACGATTCAAGTGAAAGCAGAGACAGAAGGAGAATTACACGCAGCTTTAGCCAATGACTTCGAGAACGAATCGCCGCCAAGGCGAAGAAAATACACCCTCAATGAAAACCCATTCTCCAAAAAACCTTGGATTTTCGAAGATTTCAAAGCGAACGACTCAATCGCCGCCTCTGTGAAACCCGGAGTTAGTGCTTCAGTTGCGAGAATCTCCAGATTCCAGTCAGCAGCTGGTATACCGGTTTTGAACCAGAAACTTGTCTTGAACCCACACAAAGGATTTGAACTTGTTAATGACAACCGCATGGTAACGAATGCTAACGGAAAAAGTGATGGTATCGATGGTGTATTTGACAATTTGAGACAGCGATCAAAGTCCCCACCTGGATATGGTCGTCTAGACTTCCCTAATACTCAAGAAAACGATGCCGATATCGTTAAATCTCGCGAAATTTTGTACAATAAAACAAAAGACAGATTTTTGATGGCCACAAGAAGTGACCTGAGCCCCAGCAAAAGAGGCTTTGTCTTCAGAAACATGCAATTGAATGATATTGTTAATGAAGGCGATTTTGAGTGGGACTTAAAGTCGCTGCAGATCTTTTCGCGGGCGAAGGTACGAAAGTGACATATTATGCATGTGTTGCTTGCCAACAGTACCAACAGGAACTTACTAAGGGAATAAGGAAAAGAATAGGGTTTGGTTTTGAACGGCGATGGCACAATGCAATGTTTTAAATAAATAAGATGCTATTTTGGCTTTGATTCTGCTTCTTTGATGAAGTTGTGAAACTTGGAATATACCCCAAAGTCAAACTTGGCAAAATTGTAGTCCAGATCTATAAATAATTTGGCTACTTGACAACTTTTGTAGTAATAATTCAAGTAGTTCGAGCTATACGGATCCACCGAAGGTCCATAAAACTCGGTAATCTCAACGTGGTTTTTCGACGACTCTCTCAACGAGGCCAAAGCTTTCGAAAATGTACCTGTCAATGTTGGCGTCTCACTGTTCATGGTGACAGTCGTTTCACTCTTTTCCTTTAGTGGGAATAAGTTTTGGAAAATTTCATAGGCCGCCAAGGTGAAGCCAAATTGGGGAGAACTACGAAGGACTCTCGCGCCCCCTCCCTTGAAAAAGCTTTTGAAACTTTCCTCTCTGAAGATTGTCTTGGCAGCATGGAAAATGCCATTATACTTGGTGTCTCCCTTCCTTGGATCGATCTGTAGCCTTGTTTTGATAACGTCGAATGGTGTCGTCAAGTAAGCTGCAGGCATGCCTGCCAAACCTCCGGCAGTAAGTAACTCCCAAGTATGTAGTCTCGATCTTTTGCTTTTATCTTGAGGGTCGTAATTGAAAAGGTCTCTTTTCAAATGAGCATACGTCGGGAAATAAATCGCTGAAAAGGGAACATCTCTCATAAGACATGCTCCAATCCCACGATACAAACCCTTTAATCCAAGAGACTTTACTATGCTAATAGCGTTGACTTTCGCGTCATTTAGAGCAGCGGTATATTCAGACCTGACTTGCAATCGGATTTTTACCACTTCAAGTGGATTGGTAAATACAACCTGACAGGCCCCAGCTGCCGCTCCTGAGACAACTTCTAGCGGAAAGGATAAGTGTTGGTTGCTGTACATAAGCTTTCTGCGAACGTAATCATTGACTGTCAATTTGATGGCCTTTTCTGGACAAACACCCACCAGCTGCGGCCCTAGACCTGAGTAAATACCTCTGATTCCTTCGCGTGATAATATCTTGTAAAAGCAATCGAAAGCATTTTTGTATTGAGAAGAGTTTCTCTGTGCTTGTAGTCGAGTTTTTACGAGGTCAATAGGGTATACCGCGGTTGCTCCTATACACCCCGCTATCGAACCCAACAAAAAGTTATGGATGGAATCGAAGATAGGAAAAAAGTAGAAGTTGGTGTATAGGGACTCATTCTGCGTTTGACGAATTTCCATTTGATGTACGAGGTCATTGAGATAATTGGGGTTCAGAATCTTCAGGAAATCGTCAATTGTAAGGTCAAGCTCTGAGAATCCCTCGTCATTTTCTTTACGTTTGAGGACACGTTCCAACAAGCTCAACGACGTGTGGTGACGTTGCTTCTTCGTGCTATCCAGCTCTCCGGAGATGCCGCTGATGACTTCACGATAGTTGTTGTTGAAGTCTCTCATACTTTGTTTATGTTGATTGCCCCCATTGCAAAACTCTCTTTGAATGAAATGTTCAATCGCTGTGTCTTCGTGGTGGGTATTCAAATACTTTTCAATCATCCTGCCTCTCTTTGAATTTGCGACAATAGAAAACAAAAGGTTGATCTGCGAAGGCGAAAACTCGATGATGTTGTTCACCTTATTGTATTCCACACTCAAAAAATTCTTTAAGTCTTCTTTGGAGATTACGCACTCTCTGAGGTCTTGATCATCAAAATTGTGCGTTTTGGCATACCTCATGAAAACCTGGTTTAGCAGGTCAAAATTCTGGAACAAATAGAACACATCCTTGAAAACGTTGTAGTTAATGTAGTTGTTATCGGATTTTATCAGCTTGGTATTCGATAGATTCAAAGAGTTGAAAACGTCTGCAGATATCTTGTGGGAGTAAAATATTTTCAGCAAATACACCAGCTGATTCTTATTCAAAACAAGGGAGTTGTTTCTGTGATTTAGATGGGATAGTCTCTCAAATCCAAGGTACAGTTTTTCGTTTTTCAAGTCGTTTTGTAATATTGTCACCAAAGAATTTAAACTGATATGCGGACCCTCACTTTTGTTGTAAGGAAAACTCTGATAGAATTTCAACCATCTAAAGTCATCCCAATTGAGAAGAAGACGATTAGACTTCAAAAACTCATCCCCAACAGCCTCGTGCAGGGTATTGATGGTTTTTTTGAATTGAACGAGGTTCAAGTATAAACTGTCATAGCTCAAAAATCGACTTCCGTAATTTACGGGCTTGATTCTCGGATCGTCAGCCAAATCGATAGATTTGGTTTCTGCGGAACGTGAAGTTTTGGCGCTGCGAAGTCTGGCCACGTCGAATTTCTTGAAAAACTCATACAGAATGATCATGTGGTAGTTGTCACATTCTAGTAGGTTGTTAAAGTGGAACCAGTCATTGAGAGTAAGATAGCCTTTGTTGTTTTCATCAATCGCGAAGAAAATGCATCCGAATGCCTGCTCAGGAATTTGATTCAAGTTGTAGGAATGGTCGGTAAACTTTGAATACAATGCTTTCGAGCTCGAAACCATTCTAAGAAAATCGTTGAACGTCAAAACACGACGTCCGACATCTCCTGTGCCCGCATTGGACGCAAACTTGAGAAAGATCTCAACCTGCAAATTCTTTTTCTCCGTAATGGAGTTACTCAGTTCCATAATTCCAGCTTTTTGAAACACTCAATCGTTCACTTTGCGCTGCACTGCAGTGACGCTCAAAAACACAGATTTGTTGTGATTTGGCTGGCAGAAACGGTGAATTTTTTACGACAATTGTCCAGATAAATGCAGCTTTTGAGGAGCACCGCAAAACAATCTATTACAGCATTCAAATATCCTTGGTACCGTGGCAGATGGCTCTAAGTTTCCAAGCTTTTGAGATGTTAAAAGCGAGTGATGAGATGAATCTATAAAAATTCAGTTCACTATTTCAATGACGTTATATAGAAAACTCGTCACTGGTGATCTCATCCCGCTGCAGTTACCATTGAGCTTAACTTCAAGCTTTTTAAGAAAGGGTTCCTAACATTGTGTTCTTACCGCCTTTAGACGAGTTTCAATTCAAGTGAGTGGAAATGGCCAGAGCGTGAAACTTGGTTGATTTCGAATAACTTTTTATATCCACTTTGGTTGGAAGGACTTTGATAGATGAACACACATTTCTTTCGCCAAAAGACCCTTGTGCATTAGTGGATTTTGATCAGCGCCATGAGCGTGTTTTAGATGTCCATGAAAACTTGTTCAATCCTGAGAAGTTTGAGCACAACATAGAAAGATAGGATCTCTTTATCGAATGTTATTTCGTTTAAAGTGACTCTGTTGTTGGTTGTTGCGGACGCTAGTTCACGACATCAGATTGTTCTTCAATTCTCAGAGTCCCAAGGCCATCCCTTCGTACTGGCTACTAGTGTTCACGTAGGTGTTTTCGCTGAAAAGGTCGGACTGGTTTTCGAGCCACTTGAGTAATTTGTCAGTCTGCTGTACAACTACCTCGCAGCCATATTCATCCATGGACGTAAGTGAGACCAGCTCAGGAAGGTTGCTTAGCAATCGCATCAGATGAATGGCGCCATATACAGTGGACGGTTGCTCTTGCATGTGATCTGCATATTGCATTCGCTCAAAACGGTACAGTAGTATCACCGCAAGTGAGTGATCGAAATAAAGTTTCAGCCCGTTGCAGTATTCTTGTAGCTGTGATTGTAGCACGGGCGAGATCTCTTGTGCACTGGCCGACTTATAATATTTGTCCAGAAGATCTGCTGCAGTGGATTTACACGGCAGCTGTACCAGTTTTTTGTCCTTGGTTATGCGTTCCCAGTCGTCCACCAATACGGCTTTGAGTGTTTGCGATATGTGGATCGCTATACGGGGGCCCTGGGGCTGGGCAACGCCCACTGCGTCGTCAGGTGTGGAGCCTGGCTGGCTTTTGCGTTTGCGGGGCTCCACCATCTTGCGGGGCTTGGCAGGCGCCTTTTTCTTCGCTTGTCTTGCGTCTTTGGCCTGCTCCACAAGTTGTCGTTTGTACTCCAAATTTTCATCCGTGTACTCGCGGATCCTGTCGAGGCCCACCCATTCGTCCCACGACGATTTCCAGCCGCGGTAGTGGATATAATAGCATTGCTGGTCTTTCAAATTCGCAGGTACCTCTTCTGCCTCGCTTTGTTCGTCATTCTTTGTTTCTTGTTTTTCACCAGGGGTGTCCGGATCATGCACTTTCAGGATCTTAGCCGCGTACAAAAGCGGGCCATGAAATGCCAGACATTTGTCTTCAACTTCCAGGGGCATTGATTCGTAATTTGTGAAGCCTGGATCAGAATAGATGTCTTGTAAGCCTCTAGCGTGTGCACTTGCTGAGAGCGATATAATATATTGTCTTCCAAGAAAACCACCAAATCAGAGCCTTTTTTTACCACGAAAAAGGGAATGTGGGTAATTTCTATAGCCAGAATAACCAGGAATCGCTCGAGATAGCGTAAAAACTCTTTCTTGGCCCGCCTTTCTCCACCAGAGTTTGAATTCTTAAATTCACATCCGCATCTCATCAAGTTGTCTAATGGTCTTAAATCCAATTTTGACGCCCGCTCTTATATACCCATAAAATTGTCATTTCGAACGAGAACTTTTTCACTCAAAAATTAAAGAAATCAAAGATGACAGAACTCTTCCCAAACTAACAAACCAAACATTCATCGAACGTCACATCAAAGACCCCAAAGAGAGACGTCGAGTGACGATAAAGACGTCCTTAAGATCGAGCATAGAGGTAACATTCTATGAGTGTTCGAGCACAGCACATCGTGGGCATCCACTATGCGGTGGGGCCCAAGATAGGAGAGGGTTCATTTGGAGTGATATTCGAGGGTGAAAACGTTTTGGGACAAGATTCTGGGCCGGTTGCTATCAAGTTCGAGCCACGACGTGCAGATGCTCCGCAGCTCAGAGACGAGTTTCGTGCGTACAAAATTTTGGCTGGCTTGCAGGGCATCCCACGAGCATACTATTTTGGACAAGAAGGAATGCACAACGTTTTGGTAATTGATTTACTGGGACCGTCGTTGGAAGACTTGTTTGAATGGTGCGGAAGACGTTTTTCTGCGAAAACAACGTGTTTGCTGGCAAAACAAATGATCAGACGTGTACAATCGATCCATGAGCGTGATTTGATCTACAGAGACATCAAACCCGATAATTTTCTCATTTCGCAGTACCAGCGCGAACTTGCTAACGGTCAGGTGGTGAGAAGTTGCGCAACCTCTGCCCATGGAGACCCCAACCTGGTTTATGTCGTGGATTTCGGTATGGCCAAGCAGTATCGGGACCCGAGAACTAAACAACACATCCCCTATAAGGAACGCAAATCACTCAGTGGGACTGCCCGTTATATGTCCATAAACACGCATTTTGGCCGAGAACAGTCTCGTCGTGATGACCTGGAGTCTCTGGGGCACGTTTTCTTCTATTTTATGCGCGGGTTTTTGCCCTGGCAAGGTCTCAAAGTTGCCAACACGAAACTAAAATACGAAAAAATCGGACTCACCAAACAGAAAGTGCGACCAGAAGATCTGCTGGAACGCGATATCCCGCATCAGTTTGCTACATTCTTGACATATTGTCGGTCACTTCGGTTCGAGCAAGAACCGGACTACGACTACCTAATTTCACTGATGACAGATGCGATGCAAGAAAATGGCTACGAAGACGATGAGCATTACGACTGGTTAGACCTTAACAATGGTCAGTCCTGGAATATTGGCGTCAATAGAAGAGCAAACCTTCATGGCTACGGCAACCCAACTCCCAAAACCTCACAAGCGGCACGGAAATCAGCAGTCCCACAAGCACGTCGCGACTCATACTCAAAGGCACAGCGGCTTCGCAACCAGATGACCAGTCAGGCAGCGTTGCGAGATAAAGGTGGTAATGTGATGCAATCTTATGACTCCATGGGCCGACGCAATGAGAACTTTTCAGATCGCCAGCAAAACGAAGCCGATTCTCTTGAAGGCCAGAGCTGTTTCAAGAGACTCTGTTGCTGGTGTGATTGAGTTAGCCCTTGGCTACAATAGTTATGAAAAGTCGCGACGTGACTCTTGGAAGTATTTCACCGCGTTGATCGTGGTATGCATTTCAATGTATTAATATTTAGAAGAGCAGAAATAAAATATTGCATTCAAGACAATCTTTTTTTGTCTTTTTTCGTCTGTTGCTAGCTTCATTCTTCAAATCGCATTGTTTGTATTCATGACTACAAGAGGATTTCCTCATGTATTATATGCTCGTTATATATTGTTGAACCGCTCAGCTCGAACTCTTGTAGAGAGTAAAGGCTGGGATTTTGAACTTTGTGGGTATGCTGTTCTTGAATGATAATTGGACTTAGTTGCTGATTTTTGATGGGGGTGCTGAACTCGTCAATCTCTACTGTACCTTCTGAAGTGTTATCCCATGTGGAAAGTACAGATTCTTGATTCATGGTGCTGTCCGACTCCACGTTGTTTTTCTCTGGAGCCGCTTGGATTCGGAGAGCACTTCTAGGAGGCACAAGAGGTTTCTCAACATTCCTAATTGAATGCAATCCTAGCTCTTTCGAGTCAAACGTCAATAAAGAACCGTCGCGGTAAAGTTCTAGTAATGCGAAGCCAGATACTCTGGAATGTGACGTTTGCGAAGAGGGTGAACTAGGTGCCAAATTGGGCGACGAAATGATGTTCCCGCATTGTTTTACTCTAGAGACGTCCTTCTCACAAATACTTTGAAATCCATTGGCCAAGTGACACTCGGAAACGTTGTCCAAATTTTCCAAGTCCCATGCTAATGTATAGTTTTGATCATCAGAAGTAAAGAGCCTTTGAGATTCTTTATGGAATTTAAGAGCCTTGACAGAACCTTTGTGTCCTTTGACGGTGCATTTGGATCCCGGAGATCTTATATCCCATATCTTAACGCAGTCGCTGACTGCATTTGCAATCGTATACTCATTGAGCCAACAGCATGCGGTTGAAACGTTATTTTCGCTTGAGCCACTTGTGTCAGGGCTGTAAAGGGTTCCATGTCCACCCGCACACCTCAAATCTAGCAAGGAGAGACCGCTTGGCCCCAAACGCGATCCTACAAGCGCGAGTAGATTTGAATTGTCGGCATTAGCTTCGACCGCTTCCAAGCCTGTGAAGCTCTGTAAGTACAATGGCAGGCGGTGTTGGTTCAAATCGTAGATGAATAGGGACTCATTGACTATCGATATAAAACCGTTGTTGTTCCAGGCATTAACTTGCCTGATGGGAGACGCTCTTTTGCCTAGGAGCAATGAGTCTAAATTTTCAATCTGCGTGGATTTCAAATACTTGGCGTGATTGAATCGTTTGATGATTTTGGCGCCACCTTCGACCTCGGACGTTGATATCAAATTCACAACACCGTCTTGATGGCCGGAGCACAGCAAGCGATCGTGCTCTGTAGGCTGTTTGGGATTACTGAAACTTTGTGGGAACAGGCATGACGTCGTGACCGGTGCACCAGGCACCGAAATAGATTGCAGCTCAGCTAGCTGTGCTGTCTCGCGGTTTTCGACATTGAGTCGGAACAATTGTAGATTATCGGATGGAGCCATGGAAGACGTCAGCACCACGTCGTCGACGCTGGAAAGCGAGTTTTGAAAAACTGCTTTATTCTCTTCCTGGTGGGGCAGGGTCCAGAACTCGCTACGCAGCTGTTTTGTGGTGTAATAGTCGTTCATGTCTTCGGAAACTTTTCTTAAGAGTGGGGAATTGAGCCTTGAGGTATTGTTTTGCCACGAACGGCAACTTGTATCCAATGATGGCGTTTGAGGGTTCTTCTGCTTTCTGGTTTTCACTGCCGGTTGTCTGAAGATACCAGGGGGACTATAATAGGACATAATTGAGCTATGATGGCGGTAATTACTCAATGTCAAATGGACCAGAAAACTGGCCTGATGGCCGAAGAATGAGCCATTCTGCTCGACCAATTTATACTTTGCCGGAAACTGCCCACTTTATTTTGCATCATTGGTTGCCAGTTGCTTCTGCTTCGCAACAAAATGGTCAAGTTTTGACGTCTTTGTTTGTTAAACAACATGACGCTGATGATGCTTGCTGGTGTTGTTGTTTACGTTTCGTGAAAAACATAAACATGCCAGCTGACCCAGCCATTTCTTACTTAAACTTCTACAATACAAGTACGCCAGGGGATTGGGGACTAGTGTTGATGGTAAAGATAGCTAAATAAAAGAGCTCATTCGAAAGGTAAACACCATGCAACAGAGCTCGGACACTTTTGCCAGAGGATTTCTTTGATTAGATTGTTTAGTTGTTCAAGTTGAGTTTTAATACTGGATGATTTGATATGAAAATTGACAATTTACGTTTCGTCATTAATGACATCAACACTTTCTTTCAGTGTGAGTCTTGGCATGCATTGGCGATGATGGAACTTTGATATGCGAATCTGAGCGTGTGAATCATTTGAAGTGGATGAGCGACTGGTGTTTTTGGTGTTTTTGGTGTTTTTGGTGTTTTCGCCTTTACAGATCGTCAGAAAAAAAACCCAATTTTTTGGTTTTTTTGAATCAAAACTTGACAAATGTCGGATTATTTGTTGCAGTTTAGAAGACCTTGAGAAAAGAGTGGGACTCTTATCAAACATGGAGCGCTTTCAGTGTCTTTGATGTGATTTTTTTTTTTGAATTTTTGAAATTTCAATTGGATCAATCTTGTAAAAAAACAAGACAAAGGTGCCATTCTTACCTAAAAGTAGCTGCACATAGCTGCCAAACTATGGTGATCCGATGGACTGCCCTCGATGTGTCCTTCAAGGCTTTCGTTGTGGGACTAAGAGTTTAAAATTCAAGAGTACTCGAGTACTCGAGTACCAAGATAATGAAGAAACCCATTCCCAAAACGGCCCAAAAACAAAGCTTTCAGCACGTAAGTAGTTTATTCTCAATGACCACAACTAGTCACACGTTCAAAGTTCATCGATGTCTTTGTCCTTTATCAAATTGAAACCGTTTGTTTACATCCTCTCACGTGACGCATTAATCACTAGCAAAAACAAGGAGAACCGATCCGACCACTTAATACCTCTCGAACTCACTTCCAACGAGCAGACAAAACTCGATTTGGGCCTCTAAATAACAAAATTAGGTAAATTCATAAAACTAACATCATTGTAAAGAGTCTAGTTCATATTCATTTTGAAGAAATAAGTAGGTCAAAGCGGTTCGAATCTTCTCTGCTCGAGTACTTTAACAGTGGTTTCAGTGACTGAAGCGATCGAAACAACTACTGGTCTCGAAAAAAGCAGCTCAAAGCGGTCATTTTGGCCCATTTTCATAGCGCATTTTCCGCAAATTAGCAGCCAGATCGCTCAAGAAGCTACCTTGTTTCGGGATTCAAAGACAGCTTCTTCAGCATAGAATAAAGTTTTGGTTCTGACAACGGTGGTGAACTAGACTTTTGTTGTCCTTACTTTTGTCGCGTTTCTGTTTGGCGGTTTACGTTATTATAGCTATCCTTCTCTTTCTCTCTGACTAAAGCAAGCCTTTGTCCAGATGTCAAAAGTGACGGTAAAGCTGGTAGCAGCAGAATCGCTCTACAAAAGAGACGTTTTCAGATCTCCGGATCCCTTTGCAGTGCTTACGATCGACGGACTGCAAACCAAGTCGACTGCCGCGGCTCGTAAGACCCTAAACCCATACTGGAACGAAACTTACACGTTTTCTGGTGTGAATGAAAATGGAATTTTGACAATTCAGGTTTTCGACCAGAAAAAGTTCAAGAAAAAGGACCAAGGGTTTCTGGGGGTTGTCAACGTTCGAATCGGCGATGTTTTGGGTCATTTGGACGAGGATTCAGTCACCAGATCCTCACGTAGAGAAGAAACTATCACCAGGGATCTAAAACGTTCGAACGACGGCATGGCCGTCAGCGGCCGTTTGATTCTAGTACTATCAACCGCCTCGTCGACCGCAGCAACGTCGTCAGCTTCCGCTGCTCGCTCTTCTGCCAACACCGGACCTCCAGGTGCATCCAGCCCCATTAACGAACTAAGCGCTGCTACTGCAGCCACGCATATTTCGAGTCCTGGTTCTCCCAACACCACTTCAACACCTGCTCAAACGGTCGCCAACACGCTTCAAAGTGGAACGGGAGCCCCTGGTTCGACCACTGCGCCTTCTTCTAGCACCGCAGCGTCTAGACAATACTCTTCTTTTGAAGATCAGTATGGTCGCTTGCCACCTGGATGGGAGAGAAGAACTGACAATTTCGGTCGTACATATTACGTGGATCACAACACGCGTACCACAACGTGGAAAAGACCCACGCTCGACCAGACCGAAAGTGAGCGTGGTGACCAAATAAATGCAAACACCGAGCTCGAACGTAGGCAACACCGTGGGAGAACTTTACCTGGCGGTAGCAACTCGGAAAGCGGTTCATCTATTGCTGTGCAAAGTAACAACGGCTCTTCCACTCCCATGGTCAACGGTTCGGCTGCTGCAGCTCTTGCAGCGACAGGCTCCACAACTTCTGGGCTCGGTGAACTTCCTCCAGGATGGGAGCAGCGCTTTACTCCTGAAGGTCGCGCTTATTTCGTCGACCACAACACTAGAACAACCACTTGGGTTGATCCTCGCAGGCAACAGTACATTCGTACTTTTGGTCCAGCAAATACTACAATCCAACAGCAGCCCGTTTCTCAGTTGGGTCCATTACCCTCTGGATGGGAAATGAGACTGACCAACACTGCCCGTGTTTATTTTGTTGACCACAACACGAAGACTACGACTTGGGACGATCCACGTCTACCTTCTTCTTTGGATCAAAACGTTCCACAATACAAGCGTGATTTCAGACGTAAGGTCATTTATTTCAGATCTCAGCCTGCTTTGAGAATTCTTCCTGGACAATGTCACATCAAAGTTCGCAGAAAGAACATTTTCGAGGATGCCTACCAAGAGATTATGAGACAAACACCTGAAGATTTGAAAAAGAGACTAATGATCAAGTTCGATGGTGAAGAAGGCTTGGACTATGGTGGTGTTTCCAGAGAGTTTTTCTTCTTGCTATCTCACGAGATGTTCAACCCATTTTACTGCTTATTCGAATACTCCGCTCATGACAATTATACTATCCAGATAAACCCCAAGAGTGGAATCAACCCCGAGCATCTAAACTATTTCAAGTTTATTGGAAGAGTGGTGGGTCTGGGTGTATTCCATAGAAGATTCTTAGACGCGTTCTTTGTGGGTGCGCTGTACAAGATGATGCTACACAAGAAGGTGGTTCTACAAGACATGGAGGGTGTTGATGCAGAAGTACACAACTCTCTCAAATGGATTCTCGACAATAGCATAGACGGCATTCTGGACTTGACTTTCAGTGCTGACGACGAAACTTTTGGCGAATTGATCACGGTTGATTTGAAGGCCGATGGTAAAAATCTAGAGGTCACGGACGAGAACAAGAAAGAGTACGTGGAGCTCTTCACGCAATGGAAGATATACAACCGGGTGCAAGAACAGTTCAAGGCCTTCATGGACGGGTTCAACGAGCTGATACCTGAAGACTTGGTCAATGTCTTTGACGAGCGTGAGCTGGAGCTCTTGATCGGTGGTATTGCCGAGATCGACGTCGAAGATTGGAAGAAGAACACAGACTACCGTGGGTACCAAGAGTCTGACGAGACCATCAAATGGTTCTGGAAGGCCATCTCCGAATGGGACAACGAACAAAAAGCCCGTCTGTTGCAGTTTACCACAGGTACATCTCGTATACCAGTTAACGGATTCAAAGATCTCCAGGGTTCCGATGGACCAAGAAGATTTACAATTGAAAAGGCTGGTGAGGTACAGCAACTGCCAAAATCTCACACCTGTTTCAACAGAGTCGATCTTCCCCCATACACCGATTATGAATCTTTAAAACAAAAGCTGACCCTTGCTGTTGAGGAAACAATCGGATTTGGCCAAGAGTGATCCAAATCAATTTATGCCACTTCTACGCTTCACATAAGTAATCTATTCGACCTTATACAAATATAGCCACTTACTTTCATTCATCTGAACGTCCATCGCTGGCTCTCGCTTCTTAAAGCTTTCTTTTACCAATATGATAAAAAAGTGTCAGTTTCCACAGGAAGTTACCATTTCGACAAGAACTGATTAGAAACAGGACCTTCTCCAGATACCGATGGCACCAGATGGTTGATGTACTAGAGATTCCTGGTTTCTACTATGATACTGAGAGAAAACGGTACTTCAAGGTAAGTGAAAATGCCCTTTCTAGTTCAAACCAAGCGTATGGACGCGATGAGATCAAGAAAAAGTCTGATGAGCAGCGAAGCGAAACCGAAAGAATTGCTGCTTCTGAAATAAGGCGAAACGGAATAAGGAATTACGAACTTTCTGTATCAGACCCGGTCCATATGCTGTTTAGTACAGACAATTGTGATCTTTTTGAGATGCAGTCAAGAACAGGATACAATGTAGCCAGACAATTCCAGCAACAAAATGAAGGAATAATACGGAAAGACAACGTTTGGTCAGACGTAACACCAACTTTAGGTTCGGCAGCACAAGTCGCTGTTGCAATCTGTTGTCTGCCCAAAACAAACGGATTTCTTGTGGTAACTCATCGCATGAATGTGGTGTACATGAGAGAGGGCCAAGTTCCCATATATTTATCTCAGAGTCCAAGCACCGATGTTTTTGAGCTTGATTCATTGAAAATGCACTCGGGAAATGGTCAATTGTGCCTATTGATGAAGATCAAAGAAAAGAATTGTTACTCTCTTTTCAACGTTCAGCTCAACTCGTCGGATGTTCCACAGATTTTCAGCATTTCAATATGCCCCGAACTTAACAGCGAAATTCGCGATGCCCTTTTTGTCGGTGCCAATACGTGTGTGTGGGTGGCTCAAGGCAATGAGATTTTGGCTTTGGATGTACAAGAAGGACGCTCGACTTATAGACTTTCAACTTCTAAAGGTCGAGCTAAAAGAAGATCCAGAGAAAGAAGCGACGTAATGTGTGTGGAGTTTGCTTCTTCTCGGTCTTTAAGCAATAACAGTCCACCCATGGGATGGTCAGGCACGAGAAATGGTACTTTCTCAAAAATATGTCCATATCCAACTTTCAGCACTCTTAACAGCAATTCTGTGGGTGCTTTTGAAGGACTGAGCATCTTGACAATCAAAGAACTAGATGAATCACATCTTCTTTTGTCTGGAGTTGAATCTGAAGAACAAGTTCTGGCTATCATCAGTAAAAATACGTCAAATGATCGAGGACATCAACCACCAATACTTGCATTACTGAAAACTCGTGTGCGAAACTTGGTCAAGGAAACAGAGATCATGTCTGTAAGTGCTGACGGACGATTTATACTATATGGACGTCGCAATATTGATTCTGTTCATGGGGCCCTGGAACTATTTTCTACCACAGCTAGCGACAATTTTGTTCGGCAACAAGAGCCGAAAGGAGGACCCGTCATATTTCATCCAATCAAGACCCTAGCTGAATTTCTGCCAATTGACTGGCACAATTCGTTTAGGAAACTTCTGCATGCCGAGCTTCATGAACCAAAGACAGGCGAGTTTTATTACGGGAACCTTGTTGAGGCGGACGAGATCCGCGTTGCAAGCTTCACTAACGATACTGACGTCGCTGGAATAAACTTTAAAAGCTTCCCCCTCGTTGAATACTGAGTGCTACCATTTGGTGCTTTATTTAAGTTTATATCATAAAATGCTAGTGGGAATCAGTAATTGGTCGATATTCAACAACCTTTGGCTTTGCTCAAGATTCTGAAAGCTTCGAAAGATTGCTAGAGGTCTCTTGGTCCTAGCAGGAGAGTGGTAGGGAATAGAAAGCGAGCGTTAATTAGTTGGTCATGAGAGAAAAGGAAAGCGAGCGTGAAGTAATGAACATTTTCTGGTGTTATTGTGATTGACACTATAGCAGATCAATTTTTTTGTTTCCGATCAGGCCAGAGAGGCTTGATCCTGATTTATTGTATGTGTTTGTAGTTCCCGTGGTTTTTAGTACAACGCCAATGTTTTCGTTATCGAACAAGGCTGGGTATGCTGGGAAATGCAGATGTGGGAGTATCGTTACTAGCCCCAGTTTCAGCAGGATGTCTTCAAGCTCAGTAGTAAAAACCATTGTGATTGAGATTTTCATAGTTGTTGCTGTTCATGTACAAGTCCTGGTTTGACTCGTTAGCAGGGTTGTAAAGATGGGTATCAGTCTGAGCTTTTGGCATCTGCATCAAACGGGGATCGTTATATGCAAGGTCGTTTGCTGACATGGCGGCCGAGGAGATTGGCCCGTTTCCAACGGAGCGCAATCGTTCTGGATGTTGATTGTATATGATGCTGGTGGGCCTCTGTTGCATCGAATAAAAGTTTTGATTGATTTGATTAGAGTTGTTACCAGGAAACACTTGAGAGGGGATCCCGAAAGCGTCGCCTCCGGAAGAGAAAGGCGGGACAATATGCTGTTGGGGTTGATAAGCCGGGTATCCTGATGACATGGATAAAGAACTGCTGTTCCTGCGGTGTCGATAAGCATTTGCTGGTAAAGAGTAGTGCCGGGCATGCTGTCTGCGGCTGTTGTTTTGGTGCTGGCCATTCATTGGAGTAGTTTTGCCTGGGAAGTTATCATTCACTACAAGACCAGTGAGTTCAATGAAAGCCTTCACTTTGAGTTTGATTTTCTTGGCGTATGACGTAGTCTTGATGCTTGGCAATAGTTCTTTAGTCAAAATAACCAAGTTTGTCACTTTCAAGGTAAATTCCTGACTAAAATTCAATGTACCCGTTGGAATGTGCCCAAAAGTGTTATCAGAAAACTGCAAAAGCTTAGTATAGTTTTTGACATCCAAGAGAGTTTGGAGGGCATAGTTGCCAAAATTGTCCCTAATGAGGACATTGAGGTTGGCAGTGAAGATGTCAATAACTGCTAGCAGAATCTTCATCGCAACCATCGATACGTCATCTGGGATAGCCTTATTTTTAGTGGCAGCAGGAGGAAACGACACTTTCAGGATCATGAACAATTTTTTGATGAATTTTTCCACAACGTTTGAAGAGAATTTGAGACAAGAGAGCTGACACATTTCAACAGATAGTTTATCGAAGATTTCGCCCAACAAGTAGAAATCAAGTTCTCTTATGTCCAAGAGAAACTGTATAATGTAGTTGCCGAATTGATCGTTGATCAAATGGGGCAAAAACTGTACGATCTTAACGGATATTTTGAAGATTTGTTGCAGAGTGCAAACACTTAGCAATTTCTGCAAGACGCAACAGCCATGTTTGTGGGTAGAGATCCTCACGATGTTGTTGTGGTCGACAATAGCATCGATGATGAAGTCGAATTTGGAAGGTGGGAATTTGAATATGCATTTCTGAACAACATGGTTGCCGTTAAGGTCGTTGATGAGCACGACGACCTGATCGATCGAGGTATGGCGCTGGCCGAATCCCGAGATAATCATGTCGACCTGGGCCTCGGTGTCGAGCGAGTCTATGATTTTTTGAAGCGACCGGGTGCCGTATTGGTTGATGGAGATTTGGAATACGTGGGGGAAGATTTTTTCGACCAATTGCGTCTTTTGATCCGTAGTCAAACACTCACAGAGCTTCTGGATCAGGTAGTTGCCAAACGGGTCGACGATGAGGTCCAAAAAGAAGGGACTGATCTGGTCGTACATGAGATCACGCATGGTGCAGCACTCGTTTGGGTTTTCGAGCTTTTTTTGTAAAAAACGGCACCCGAATTGGTCTGTGGCCAATTTGACGTAGTCCAAGTCTTCCAGTGGCATCCAATTGAGGTCTGCGGGAACGTTGTTGGAGCCATTCGACCCAGAAGATGCGGTCGACCCGCTCACACTTCTTACGGGCGCGCCAAATTCGCTGATCAACGGCATGGATTTGACTTTTTGTCGATGTCCGGCCATTGCAGGGGTTGCAGGAGACAATGGCAGCGGCATCAAGGGCGAGTTGCCCTGGATGAACTGGTTGAAGCCTGAAAGATCGAGCGAATGCGTGCGTTGGTGGTTTTGGCGATTGTTCATTTGGCCAAGCGGCGGTGTTGTAGGCTCGATGAGCGACTGAACCGAGTTGACAGACAGCTGAGACTGATGCATGATGGGCCGCGCACTTGCACACACAGATAGAGAAGAGAAAAGTGCTAGATCCAGGACCGCAGACCTGCTTTTTTCAGATTTTTTTTGTCGATTTTTTTTCCCACTCTATATAGCTCGCACTGTTAGAGAAGGCAGATCTCTGTTAAAAGTCACCAGAAAACAGAACGACGAGAAGATGGAAACAATGCGTTCTTAGAACAGCTGTCTGTGTGTAGAATTGGGTCCCACTCGTTCGAGATCCGACTTTTTTTTCGGCTTCTTTTGAGTATAACAACTATGATCTCTTCTGGACAGGGCTAACAGCGTATTGCAACGATTATTATCCAGCGAGGGTTTTGGTCTCTTTGGAAAGATCAAATTCTAAGGAATTTTGAGAATCCAGCCGCGGGGTATTGAAGCGTGAGGAACGTTAGCGAAGCAATGATTCTACGCTGGCGGAAAGGTGAGAAAAGACTAGTTTTAGAGGATAACTTTTAAGTGGATGTGAGGTGGTTAAATCAGAAATGCATTTAAGCAGTAGACAGAGAAGGAAAATGATGAGCCGAAGGCGAGTACTTCGGGCTCGAGTACAGGAAGCTGGGTTTTGGATGGGATGGGCCCGGCCTCGAGTACGAGTACGAGTACTTGTACGAGTACTTGTATTGGTTCTGGATGAAGAAAAAGGCAGCCCGACAGACTAGATGAAAGCATTAAACGCGAAAAACTGGTGTTGTAGGTTGTTTGGGAAAGGAAAACTTGTGTCGCAGAGGGGGTACCGCATTTCAAGAAAAGATGGCATTTTTTGGGTGATTTGAGGACGATAACAAGAATTTCGAGCAAGAAACGATTATGCTGGAACTTTGGGTCACGTGATCGACTTTGCTTGGCTTACGTAAGAATTGTAAAACGTTCTTGCAGTGTGAGTCATTTTTGTCGGTATGCTAAGACGACACAATACTTACCCACACATGTGCGATCCAGGGAGGTAGAAAGCAAACAAAGAAGGGCCCTGGAAATCACTCAGAGAGCAGACACTCCAACCGTTTTCTAAGCTTAACTCGAGATCAGACCACATCACTCTGACACCATTCTGTCATTTGCAGTCATAAATCAAAAAAATATGTGTCATAGTTGACGAGCCCGTCGTCGGACCTTTAAAAAGCTAGGTCCAGCCCAGTGTAGAATAACTATAATAATTACTGTACTCAAGAGAAGGATTCAAAAGAGGCTCAGAATTTGAAAGAAACGAAGCACTAGAACTTGTAATTTTCGAAAAGAACTTCCCCCAAGAGTCATCAAACGTTCCTCAAAACGGTAATGATGATCTGCGACTTTTAGCTTCCATTTTTTCTTGTCTTCTTCTTCTTCTTCTTCTTGTGAGCTTTTTCCCGTTCAAAACTGGAAAGTTAGAAGAGCCTTACGGTCCAAAATGGTGATGCCTGGTTTTTTTTTCCTTTTCTTCCGAAACGACGGGTGTCACGTGAAAATTGTTTCGTTCAGAGCGAGACCTGTAATCAATTTTCGAGATCCTTAAAAAAAAAGAAACGCCCTCCCCTAATTTTTTTTCGTGTTTTTTCCCAAGTTTTCCGTTTATTTTTAGAATCTTGCTTATGTAATTGGCGCCTTGCTTTGAGCTGTGACACAAACACGAAAAAATTAGGGGAGATTATTAAAAAAGTAAAATTTAAAGAAAAAAAGAAAAAAAAAGAAACCCTCCTCGGCGGTTAAAACCTCCAACACAAAACTAGTATCGCTTCGTACGCACAATACTGTATCACGTGTTGTTTTTGTCTTCTGTCCTAGTCACGTGTTTCCTCTCTCTCTCCTTTTCCCATCACTTTATAATTATTCCGTCTCTTTAATAATATACATTTCTCTCACTACAACTCTCCATACACTCTTCCTTCTATCTCTCACGGCCGGCCGCCTACATCTACACCAAAAGCACCGCATTGACACATCCGTCCCGGTCGGGCTCGTTGGTAATTTGGGCGTATTTACCCCACACAACTTTACCACCGGCGGTGACCATACCCAATTCCGAAACGTTCACCTCAATGACAGTTCCCTTCGTCAAGACACCCAGCTGTGTGTACATAGGCGATTGAGGGTTTTTCTTCACACTCAGTATCGGCAGAAACACCGTTACGCCCAGCTCAGGGTGCGTAACGTTCGCTTTCTTCTGTCTCAGCGCACTGGGCCTGATGATCCGTTCCGTCTTCACAGGTCTTCTGGTGAACCCTTCTCCCACAAAAGTGTGCTTAGTGATCATACGTTTCCAGCTCTTGCTCTTAGATTTACCGGTCTTGACCACTTTGAACATCTCTTCTTCACTGATACCACGCACCTTAGGCAAAGGCACAGAAAACTTGTCGGCTTTCTCGAGACGTTTTTGCTTGATCGAAGAAGAAATTGCCTTCGCAGTGTTGTTCTGCTCTCTGTCCAACAAATAAGTGGGCAAAGCTTCACCAGAGTCCTCCATAGGTTTCGATGGTCCTTTGATTTTCGATTGTTCGTGCGCCTTGATCTTCTTCCGCAAGGCCACTTTTTCAGCGTACCGTTTCTTTGCAAACTGCTTACCCTTCCAGCCCGTCAGCTTTTGAGCCTTTTCAGACACTTTGTGGGACTCTCTGGCCTCTCTTTTACGCAGCCTTTCGTCGTGATCCAGTCTACGACCATGCTGCTTGATGTGCTGCTCAATATACTCGTTCTGAGGCATTTTTTGATAGGGAAAAAGGGACTATAGAAGAACTGCCTATTCGTACCGTATCGTTAAGTCTTTGAAATACTAACGAAGCGAGTAAACTGAGGCTGCTGTTACTTCAACTATGCTGCTTGTACAGAGTATATGGAAGCGATGCTCATCGCATAAAATTTTTAATATAATCTTTCCAGGATTATTTACCACATGTCGCTCGATACGATGTGGAAAATTTTAGGCGATGAGATGAGATGCCATGCCATGCGATGAGATGCAACGAATACAAGTTCGAACAAGAAACATCGTTTTTCGACCTCTGAAAGTACCTGTCAAGACTTCAGCTCAAATCGCATCATTTCAAAATTATGAGTAGTCTCAATAGCGTGTTGCACCAGATTAACGAGTCGCTATCGTCAACAAGCGAATCACTGGAAGCTTTGAAAAGACAATATGAACAACCGGCTTCCGAACATAACGGCGTGAAAGGCCGTGTTATACAGGATATTTTGAAAGTCGGCGACGACGTGGATAAAGTTTCTCTGCTTTCGCTGAAAAATGGAAGCTTGTTAGCATATGTGAACAGCCTTGTGCAAGTGGTTGGTGAAAAATTGAGTCGGCAAGATATGACGTCTTCGCAAGGTAGAAACTCGAGTGTGGAACACCGTGTGGTGTTGGAACGTGGAGTGCGTCCTTTGGAGAAACAGTTGTCGTATCAGCTGGACAAATTGACTCGTGCATACACAAGAATGGAAAATGAATACACGACAGCAGAAAAGCGAGCAATGGAGAAACAGGAACAGAAACTGCAAAATGGCGACGACCAAAGCGATAACAGTAGTGCCGAGGAAGACTCCGAGGATGAAGCTATGTCGTTCAGACCCAACGCCGGCGCATTGGTGGAAAAATCCACGTCTGCACGTAGTAGCAGAAAGCCCACTTCAAAAGTCCCAGATTCCAACAGCAATAATGAAGGAGAAGACGAAGAAGAAGGAGCAGAGTCTTCTGCCACCTACAGACCACCCAAGATCAGTGCGATGCTCCCACCACGCCAGCACCATTTCGAGGACAAATTCAATGCTCAAGAACACAAGGATCGCAGTGGAAAGTCTCGTATGCAAGCAATGGACGAATATGTTCGCGAGATGTCTGAGCAACCTGAGTGGGAAGCCTCTGTAGGTACAAACATTTTGAATCACGGTAAGGGCGGTATCAAATCTTCTCGTGATGCTGAGAAAGAACAGCGGGTGAAAAACTACGAAGAGGAGAATTTCACTCGACTCAACCTCAAGGGCAACAAGGCTGAAAGACGCAAAGCTAAGCAGCGTGAGAGAGCCGCAAGAGTCAACATGGTTGGTGGTGAAGATTTTAGTATTTTCAACTCCAAGCGCAAGCTTGAAGATAGCACTTCTCGACAAGCTACGAAGAAGCCCCGTGGTGCATGGGACAGGGCCAAGAGAAGGATGTAAATTTACTGAGATCATGGAGTCGCCAGAATGAAATCAAGGCCGAGTCATGAAGCTCGACAAGTGGTTTTCGACCTAACGGCCATAGAGGTAACACAACACGAAAGTCGTGTAATTTGTTCACTAATATCAACGAAAACTTGTCGATGATGCTCTCTCTGTTTCACAGACATCTTGTGCGAACAGAAAAGGCCAGGATGCCATGAGCAATCTGTACACCAAACGCAGTGTTGCGCAAAAAGACTCGCAGCCCTGTTTGGTGTGTTTTCTGCCCACAACATGTGTGTTATACAACTCGTCAATTCAAGATTGGTTTTACTGCTGTGAACTGCATTTCAAAGACAATCCCGGATTTGCCAAACCAGTCTACTCGACAAACTATAACGACGCAATCGAAAGATTAAAGGTAGTGAAGCAGAAGTTGGACGCTGAAAAGCTTAAGCAGGCCGGATCATGGGATTCATGGGTTAATAAGCTCATATCCAAAAAAGCTAGCAAGGAAAGTCCCGAAAAGATAACAGAACAAGGCACAGAAAGTCAAAATGAAGAGGCCAAAACTGAAACTGCCACTGAATTGCAGCTAATGAGAAATGAGTATCAAAGGTTGACGGACGTGGTTTCCAAGGGCCAAAAAGAGTTGCGCTCTTTTACGTTGAGTCCTGTAATGTTTGAAAGTCGCTTGGACGCCAAAAAGAGAAGCCATTTTCTCAGACAAAAGGCGAAAAGGGAACAAGATAATTACAGCAACACCAACCCGGAAGAACTAACTTCGAAGTTCAATTTCCCAGCTGTTCCCAAGACGTGATGAAATGGAGAAACGTCCAAACCAAAATCACAATTTAGGTCATTGAAGACGGGTTGGTAAAGAATTGGATTTTTTGTTGAAGGAAGACATCAAAACAGACCAAAACCGACAAGGAACCATCTAATGGAAACGCGCATTGGGCATCTCAATGGGTCAGTTTATAAGTGCGGTGGTCGCTACATTTTAAGTTTTTAGAATCATGTATCATTATGTACGCCAGTGACACCACTCCATAATTTATGGAACATTGGAAAATGATGAGACTCGACACCATACTTGAATCAAACGTTTAAGAGAAAAACAGTTGATAAAACGACAATTAAAGCTGTCTGGGAGAAGCAGAAGCTTCTCAAGTTTTCACTGTACTGTCATCGAAATTCTGGGATTATTTTCCGACTTTTCTATTGCATTTTGGTCCAGAATCAGCGGACTTACAGAATAAAGGAATAGTGATTTCGATATTTCTGAAAATCCGGAGAGACTGTATTTCAGCATCACAGCAGCTCGGTGAAAGATGGGTGACATTTCCGCCGAAGGCCAAGAGGTGGATATGCCGCCAGACATACTGCTCAAACTGGACTTGGCCTTAGGGCAAGGTTCCCAGATGTCAAAGCAGGTTTTGGAAGCGGCAGATGGTTCGTCTGCCACATCGTCGTCAGATTCACTGAATATACTTTTGGAAAGACAAAGACAGCGGCAGCTCAATCATCCATTGCATCAGAGCCACATCTCTACACCTTTACTGAGCTCCACACGACCCAAGGTAAAGGAAACCACTAAGATATCGTTGGAATACGACCCTATCTCCAAACGCAAAGTCCTGAATACTTACGAAATTATAGGTGAACTGGGCCATGGGCAGCACGGTAAAGTGAAGCTTGCAAGAGATTTAGTCACCAAGCAACTGGTGGCCATCAAAATTGTCAATCGTAACGGAAGCAAGAAAGACCGCTTTAGTTTCAAGACTAACAACGGTGGTGATGACAATAGAATAAAGCGAGAAGTGGCTATCATGAAGAAATGCCACCACAAGCATGTGGTGAAACTGATCGAAGTGCTGGACGATTCAAGCTCTCGCAAAATTTACTTGGTTCTAGAATACTGTTCTGCTGGAGAGGTTAAATGGTGCCCGGGCGATCAATTAGAAACTGAGGCTCAAGGTCCTCCGCTGCTTACTTTTCAAAGAGCTAGAGAAATTTTTAGAGGTGTCATTCTGGGTTTGGAATATTTGCATTACCAGGGGATCATACACCGGGATATCAAGCCGGCCAATCTCTTGATTTCTGAATCAGGAGTTGTGAAAATATCAGATTTCGGTGTTTCGTTCGCTGCTAGCAAAGATACAGAAGGTGGGGAGGTACTAGATGAATTGGAACTCGCAAAAACAGCAGGAACCCCTTCTTTTTTTGCCCCCGAAATCTGCTTGGGACATGAGGCATTTGCAAGGTTCTGTTCAGACAATGGAAGCTCTCAAAAGGGCTCCATTATCTCGAGTAAGATCGATATTTGGGCCGTCGGAGTGACCCTGTATTGCCTTTTGTTTGGCATGTTACCATTCCGCTCAGAATTTGAGCTTGAATTATTTGATAAGATCATAAACGATCCGCTGACGCTCAAATCTTATGATGAGATGGCCCAACAAAAGGTTTCTGCCTTATCTTGCGAGGAAGAGTATGAGGCAGCTAAGGATTTATTGCAAAAGCTTTTAACCAAAAATCCGTTTGAAAGGCTAGACATAGCAAACATAAAGCAAAACCCTTTTGTGTGCTGGGACTTTGAACACGACATTGACAGCAGCACCGCTGCGCTTCTGAAGGCAGAGGAAAAAGCAGCTTTTCTACGATCACAAGAAGAGGAATATCAGCAAATTTCGATCTCATCTCATGAATTAGACAACGCAGTTTGCGGTATTGGTAACAAGCTCAAGCGCTCTGTGCGCCACTCCTCGGGGACGTCAACGAAGGACGAAGAAGAGCTTTCTCGAGTACTTTCCAAACTTCACCAAAACACTAATGATATTAACGATAATGACCACATTAATGACGGAATGGACAGCTTAAGTCACTTCTCAGATTTGAGCATGGGGGCTAATGATAGCGCGCGGGCAAGCAATGGAAATCTCATTCTGAGTGAAGGGCCACTAGTCGCGCAAGAAGACAGCACTGACGGCCCCGACGAGCTCAGTGCCAAAGAAATCTTTCAACAGGAACTGGAGAGATTCGACCAAAAAAGAGATCCTAATTCTATTGTTTCACTACCCGTAAACTCATCATTTGCTTCTCTCGATAGCTACTACATGGATACGTTTGCCGGGAAGCATCCAGCATCGGAAAGTAGATCTCTTGCACATCCTTCTTCCGTTGACAAGGCAGCGACTATTTTTGCTCGCCCTCCGCAAGCTCTTTTGAAATCCAAAAGTTCACAGGACCGCAAGGCATCGTATGGATTCAACCACAGTGCCACTTCGAGAAATGCCTTCGGCACGAGATACCGCAATCCATTTGCTAGAGGCCCGAGGCCTGAAGGAGATTCTCGAAATCAGCCTCAGCAAGGTGCTGCCGGTATCAACCGGCTAATGCATGGTATTTCTTCAGACACCCCTAGATCAAGATACACGCCTTGGAGTGGAACAAATGCATATCATACGCAGAACTCGCATCAAGAGCAAGAAAATCCAATAACAAAACAGTTGGACGGAACGGTCCATCCCGATCAAGATGCGCGCACTAGTGACAATCATGATTCGCGACAATCGAGCAATGGCAATGAGAGGCGGGGGAACTTTTTTTCAAGTTTTGACGGAAGCGACGAAGAAGACAGCCAGTCCACTACTACCAGCGGGACGTCTGCTTCGCAAAATGATTATCCATCGGACGAGTACCGGTCGGAGACGGAGTCTTTACCCTATGAGTTCCGCATTGACTCTGAACACGGAAGTCAAGTATCACTTCGGGATCTACCAACAAACAATTCAACATTCACGAATTTGGGACATAGAACGGCAAGAAATGATGGAATTACCGGTGATGACGATGAAGAGAATGAGCTAACGTTGAACATTGGCACGGCAGGGCACAGTCGTCGCCAAGGATCTGTTTCTAGCTCGGCAAGCTCTCAAAGATATAGACGTTCTCGAAGGCCTTCCATTAACCAGTCTTTCACCCCCGGCTCGCCAGGTCAAAAACCTACTTTTAGGACAAAAATTTTTGACTCAGCTTCAACAATAAATCACGGATCTGCTACCAGTGCCTCGACGCTGACCGCTGGAAACAATGCAGGTCCTTACGATACCGTTATAAATGTTAATCCAGAAACTCCAGAGTTTGCCCCAGATGCTGAAGGTTTCATATTAGGAGATTCATATGACGGCAGTGTGAACATTCCACCCGATGTCTTGAATATGATCCCTGAGTTAGTTGTTTCAGCAGACGAGAGTTTTTCAAGCGAAAGAAATGCCAGCGAACTCGGCAGCAATGCATTGTGGAAAAGCACGCATTCAAAAGGTTCGAGCCAAAATTCTCTTTTATTCGGTAACAAAACACCTTTGGCCTCCACGCAAGAGGTTAGTGTCAGTCCCGTTCTCAATACTCAGCTGCAGCGCGATCGGACCCGCGTTACATCCAAAGATCTACTTCAAAGTGTTTTGACCTCCGCTGGCTCTAGTAGGAGACCTTCTATGTCACCAATTGCACGCAACCTTCCCAAGCAAGAAACAACGGACAGGTCATATGTCAATCATTATGAGGGAAAGCGCGAGACGAAGTACTCGTCGAAGACTCAAACTAGGAGGAGACCAGAAAAGAATAGGGATCTAGAAGGTCGCTACAGATCAAAGTCTATTAGTGTCGGACTTTTAGACGACCGCCGGCCATCAGATCACTAAACACCCTTATAATTGCATAATAGCTTCTGCTTCCAGACTACAGTGTTGAACTCGCCCAGAGAAAAAACTGCGCACTAGCATTTCTTTCGTAAGTGACAAGTTATGGGTCAAGTTGATCTGAAAACTACTTGTAAACCATTGTAAGTATGAAAAGAACTCCAGTATAAAAAACAGCGCTAGCTAGTATTGATAGCAGACAACTCCTGCTTGATCCGTGCCATCCAAAAACAGTGAACCACATGAGACCCCAACATGTGGTCAAAAATGCAGCACTCATTTCGAGTTGAGATTCCGCATCTTTTTGCGAAGAATCTTCAGCCTATTGGCAATACTATCGATGTATTTTTTGATCATCAAGACGTCTCCCTCGTCTAGAGCATCTGTTGTATGGAAGCCGCATTCATTGACGCTCTCATCGGCGTCATCCTTGTCCAGGACCGCTTCCAACATCCAAAGAGACGTTGCGTAAGCTATCTCGCAGTTGTTAAGGTACTCTCCTTGCATTTCGAATTTAGCGGCCGTTTTAGAAATTTCAAGCGCTCTATCATAGATTAGCTTCTCTAAAAACACCGGCTCCTTTTCTGATTCACCTTGACGTTGTTCAATAGTATTATTCCTAAGCTCATTAAGCCTCGACGCATCGATCGTCGAGTCATTAGTTTGGTATGCACCTGTCGATACTAACTTGAGTCTCAAAAACTCCGCTCTTTCTAGGCACTCGTTAAATTTGTCACGAAGCCACTGTACTAGTAAGTTGAGTTTCAACGAACAGCTTTTGTCCTGAGACCGGTACCACCATGAGGAAGTAGCTTGCATTGCTCTTGCCAGTGTGGAAAGTGCTTTCATGTACAACAACATAGCTTCGGTGCAAAGCTGTTGCACCTCCCACGATGACGTGTCACTTGACATTATTTCGGTATGTGAGTTCTGGCTGTGATTCCGCCGCCTCCATGACTCGGCACTTTCTTCGGAAGGGCTTCTCCTAGTTGAGCTTGGCCCATTCGAATGCTCAGATAAATGTTCTTCTTCCTCGATTGCACAGCTACCGCAACTGAGCCTTTTGCCGAAAGGGTCGCTCAATAAGGATGGTGGAAGCGGCACGATCTGCGAAAACTTGACCTCGGCAAAAGAGTGTATCACAAATGCTTTGGCAGCTAATGATTCTAGTAGAGCAATCATCTCAGAGTCAGACCTACTTTCATTATGCTTTGAATCATTTACTTGGTGATCCGCTGACAAAAGTATGTTTTCGGTAAGTTCATGGAACGCTTGTCGAGTAAGAAGTGGTTGCGTGCCTGAGTTAGGCGATACTGAGAGTCCAGGTGACTGCTGATTGCCAAAAAGACGAGTGGAAGCAATTCCCAACGCTTTTGTAAGTGCGTTCGATGGGCTCAACGAAGAGATTGACAGTCGTCTCTCAACTAGAGATGGCCGTCTAGCGGTGTTCCCATTTCCCGAAGACGTTTTTCTCATTGATGTGGACTGGAAAGCATGCGGCTGTTGTTGTGCGTTTTTTATGGAGGCGCGCCTATCACATTCAGCGCCTTCGCGAGAACCTAGATGAGCAAATTCATCTGCCAAGGCATTTACCTCAACGCTCTTCTTCTCTACCATAACGTACTCCTTCTCGATAGATGTGTCAGGGCGTGCAACGGAGTTTTCTAGCACGTCGGAATTCATATTTTTATCTCTACTGCGAGTGGTGTCTACGACAGGTATGGTTTGTGAGGCCTCGGGCTTGGAAGGGCCTAACGACGCAACTTCTTCACTGAGAGGTGTCATGGCCTTTCGTATCTCATCAGGTCGGGCCAAATATTCGGAAATGAACATGTTACTGCCGGCAACATCCTTGGACTTGTCCTCAAGGTCAGGTATTACTTCTTGTTCAAATTTGGAAAGATCTTCGTTAACAATTGCGTGGCTGAAAAACTCACTAAATCCCATCCTCTGGGCAGGATCAAAAGTTAAAAGTCCGCATATAAGTTCGCACATCTCCGGTTCCAGTTTGCAATAAGAAGGAAAAGAAATCACGTCATTAGCTTTCTTGATTTTTTTGAAAAGTTCGAGGTGATTAGAAGCCTTGAAAGGAGGTCTGCCGCAACACATTTCGTAGAGAACAGTTCCGACAGACCATAAATCGGCTTTAGCATTGTACTTCTGATAATTCAAAATCTCTGGAGCCATGTAGAGTGGCGAACCGCATAATGTTTCAGCAAGTGAGGTATTTGGCAAAAATCTAGCGAAGCCAAAATCAGCAATCTTCAAAATCGGGAGGTTGTAAATTCCTACAAATCCGAGTTTGTGGAAAGTCTCTGGATCGTGATAGTTCACCAAGGGCGTTGACAGCAGTAAATTTTGAGGTTTGATATCTCTGTGTACAAGGTTTTTCGACCTCAGAAACGAAAGTGCAGATGAAAGCTGCTGCAAATAATTGACCACCAGAACTCTATTCAAACCGTTATGTGACTCGCTGGGAGGAGGATACTTTTCTAGCATAGTTCGCACCAAAGGATGCTTTTCGATCAGCGCCCTGCGCTTTTTGATTAGAAAAGTAAGATCGCCCAACGCACAGTACTCCATAATAAGGAAAAAATCCGAGCTTGTGCGTTCACAATCCATAAGTCCTACGATATGTGGGTGTTTGATTTTCTTCAAAATCGCGATTTCAATCTCCAAATTCTCTAGCAGCTTCTTGTTCTTCAACTTAGACCTTGAAACCGTTTTGATCGCCACGAAATCCGTGCTATCTGCACCTTTGGATGCCAGACGGCCCTTATAAACAGTGGCAAACGATCCCTTACCGATTTCCTGCTCCACGATGTACTGCTGTGCTATAACAGTGGGTGCCGTATTATCTTCTTCATAGGTGCTACTGCTCACACTCATCTTTTCTTGTCCAGCGTGGTTCACTTTTATCACACTTGTTATCACACTTGTACAACAGAAGCCCTTTCAAGACTAATCGACCACTCAAGCTCGTTCGAAACCCTAAAGAAGCCAGTTCTCGTGTCTCTGTCTAAGGGTATTCTTCTAGATGTCAAGCCTGAACCGTATTTCGGCTTCTCAGATCACCGCAAGCGCAAGTACCTATCGAATCGAAGATCTAGACAGTTTCGGCGCCTTTTTGAGGCTTTTTGTGCGCTTTTTCGCCAGAATTTGATGGTTATCCGTTTAAACTGGCTTATATTCTCTAAGAAGAATTAAGCACAGTTTAACAAGATCCTTAGCCTGTTTCCTTGGTTTTTATACTTCACCAAGTGTGGTTTTAAAAGTCAAGGGGGTTGATTCTCAAATTTGGTGTTTTCAGCTGAGTCAAATCAAAACCGATGAGCTTCGTCAATGGTGACTAAAAGGGGTTTGAGGATTGTTCACGTGGTTTTGTTGATGTGAGTCATTGGCACGTGGTTCGTGTATCGTGCATGTCACCATATAGACGCAGTATTCGTTCGATCTGGTACTCAAGGTAGGCCTCTCCATCTCAATGCTTCGGAGACGATGAGTCGGTGTAGACACCGGTCGTTCCTGTAGTCTTCATAAAAGCGGGTTGATGCATTTCGCGAGACAAAATTCCATGCAAAAAAATCGTGGTGGGAAGCAGACCTAAATCCCGTAGTATAATCCCGACACGCCCTGCTGTTGTAGTTGAAGCTGTTGTTGCAATTGAAGCTGTTGTTGTTGTAGTAGTTGCTGCTGCTGTTGCTGTTGTTGTTGTATTTGCTGTTGCTGTTGCTGTTGCATTTGCTGTAGTTGATTGTACTGGGGGTTCGACGGTGTGATTTCGACAGCACTGGTGTAAAGATCGGGCCGCTGGTACAGCGAAAGTAAGGCATTTTTGTTGGCTTGGGATTGTAGTTGCTGTTGCTGCTGTTGCTGTTGAAGTAGCATCTGTTGCTGTTGGAAAGCCTGCTGCTCGTACAGCGCCTGTTGCTGAAGCTGCTGTTGGTAAAGTGCTTGCTGCTGTGCTTGTGCATCGTACACACCCTGCTGTTGTTGCGGCTGGCTCACATAAATGAGACCTGTGGCGGGATCAAGGTATTGTTGCGGGTAGTTTTCGGCAGTTCCAGAAGACTGCACTCCCGTAGTGGAGTTTTCAAGGCCGTCGAAAACGGCATGTCTAGGTCCAGCGTTCGAAGCGGGTCTTCGTGGCAGCGGCGGGTTGCTGGATTTAGCCGGAGCACTGGACTGAGTGGAGGGTCTGTTTCCGTAACTCTTTTGACTCGAACCACTTCTGGACGTCCCGGACCTCGACCTCGAATCAGACCGCCTGGTATCGTCTTCGGAATTATAGCTGTTGCTGTCGTTGCGAAACTTGCCTAGAACGTACTTATCCCGAATGTATTTCTCCACCACAGACTTGTCCTCATCCCCATCAAAGGGGAAAGGCTCGTTTTTAGCGTTCCAGACGTGCTTGTTTCGCTTATTGCCTCCCGTATGGCTGAGGTCGTCCAGGTCCGAATTTGTCCACCGGTCCATTGTGAGGGATCTCACGTCTGAATACGAGCTATCATCCCGTTGACTCAGCAGTTTTCTATGCACAGATGCGCATCTTCCACAAAGAAACACACCCAAACTAACGGAACACCACGAAGGAAATGCAGTCCCACACTCGCCACATTTGTTTTGATTTTGCGGTGAGTTGAGAATGCCAATGAGCTCTCTCTCAATTGCTTTGGAGCCTTTATATGCCATTGTTGCAGAATTTGATAATAGTAGAATCGATCAGCAGGCTTGATACCTTCTGAGTTTACGATTGTTCTGAATATCGCTGGGATGTTGGTTTAAAGTCAGTGCATTTCATCAATATTAATTAGCTTGTTGAAACTTTTGGTCAGCTGACGCCAATGGACTTGTCGTAGCGACGATTTCGTTTTGTAGGTGGAAGAGGAAGCTTCGACCAGTGACAGATATGGAATTGCTGCATTTTGGGAGCTTTCTGTAGTTTGATGTTATTTCAATGGACACATTGCCTGATTTATGGATTTTCAAGTTTTGTTCCTTGATTGTTGTTTTCACTCATGGAACATGCTTTGAATTTTCGAGTGCGACGATCAATCAACCGACCAAAAGTTTTGGTAATGTTTGTAACAATTACATGTTTTGCTTGAATCATTGGATGTTTTCCATGAGTATAAAAGCGTACCTGGATTCTGGCGTATTTTTCTTCTTTCTCATCTGTCTGGTTAAAGAATAGTGGGCAGTGACACGCCAAAACAATTTTCACCCTGAGTTCCAGTTCTTCGACGTAGATGCAAATGAGAGGATTTTGGCAATAACAGTTTCGGCTTGGGAGACAGTCTTGGAAGTAAGTGTCAATGCAACTGCTGGTGATAAAGCTCGAAAAATCAGTCACTTTCTCGTCTGTCATTCATCACATGGTATTTTACAGTTCGAGAAACGGACAGCGACAGGGAAATAGAAGAAGACGAAGAAGAAGAAGACGAAAAAGAACATAAACCAGTACTGTCATGCTTCCAGATCTTTGATTCTGTCCTTCATATTGGAAATGAAGAAATTGCCAGCAATTTAACTTCCACTCGATGCGTTCTGAGATACGGACTATTTTCTCACCGAAACCGAAGGTAGTTCGGCGCAGGAAAACGAATATTTGGACATGTAATAATCTTGTATCGGCTCCACATTGTGGAAAGCTTGTTATTCTTCATGAGTAACTGCAAATAACTCAAAATTTCAGTAAACCCATCTCGGCCCATTTCAGCCCTGTTTCCACCGATTTCAGCAGCATCCAGAAGCACTCGATGGCACTCCTAAGGGCAATAGCATCAAAACCTCGGAAGTGAATGGCAATTTGCAAGCTTTCTCTTTCAATATTTTAGTCCTTTACCTCCCTGCGAAATAGAATTAGTTTCCATTGAAAGGTCAGACCTATGTCCGAATTCTTTCACAAAAAGTACTTACAAAAAGTTATCTACAACATATCAACACAATCGCACTCATCTGCTAGAGGACTCTGGCCTTTTATTCTTGAACATGTTTATTTTGAGTGTTTCGCATCATCAAGATCTGATTCTTTATATTCATTAAAACCTCTATTTATTTCACTCCCACCTCTTACCTAGAATTTGAGAGAATCCAAAGCGTTAGTCGAAAGAGGAAGACGTCAACACTTGTTTACAATAAGTATATATAATGGTATGCACGTATCAAAACTACTAGCTCAAGCGTTTATATAAGTTCTTCTTACTCACTTCAAAGTTTGAAAAATTAGCCGCCCAAGGGGAAAGCGACAATCACAACAGCTCAAAAGAAGGCCAGTATCTTGAGATTCTTCCAGGAAGAGCATTCTGTATATAACATCAAAGAGCTGGAAAAGCTCATTCCTAAAAAATGCAGTGGTGTATCGTCCATGCTGGTAAAAGGCCTGATTCAAGAAATGATTGAGGAAGATGGGATCATATCGGTGGAAAAATGCGGCTGTACCAACGTGTACTGGTGTTTCAAAAACCAGATCATCATGAAAACTCGACAGGAAATGACTTCGTTGAAGTCCCGGATCGAAGCTTCAGAAAAGGAGGTGCTACAGAGTAAATCGGCGTTGAGTGAAAATGAAGAAAGTCTCAGAACGGAAGTCTACCAGTTCGATGGAATCACCTTCTCTCGGAAAGAGCAACTGGAGACTTTGGAAAACCTCACAACACAGGTGAAAAGTTTACGTACCGCCCGCGACAAAATGCTGGAAACCACTTGGGACAAATCTCAAATTGAGTCGAGAACAGAAGCATTAAGACCTCGACTCCGAAAACTCGAAATGGTGACCGACAATTTGGAATTGCTCACTGGATTTCTTTGCAGACGCTTTTCGGTGAATCTAAGCGATTTGAAAGCAGAGTTGGGCATTCCTGAAGAATTTTTGGAGTTCTCGGACCTACCCTCTGTGAACTGACGTATTTTGTGGGTAGATATTAAATTTTGTTGATCATGAAATTGAAAGCTAGTTTATAGATCGGAGGGTGCAACTGGGAAATCTAAGTTGTGTGCCGTTCGAGACACGGATTGCTGATTTTTTAAACTTTTGAAATGTCTGTAATTAAACGTGTGGGGGGTTTTTCTTTCGTGATTGAAACATTACTCGTCCGCTGTATCGTCATGATAACTCTCCTTCTTGATGAGTCTTGACGTGCTGATTAAGATTGTCACTTCTGCTGAATTTTTTACCGCAGATTTGACATCCAAAAGGCTTTTCGCCCATGTGCAATGATCGAACATGTCTTTTTAGATGTTCTTGTCGTTTGAATCGTCTATCGCAAAATTCGCATGCAAAATGCTTCGAGGAGTCTAGAATGGGGGAGGGCTTTCTTCCACGAGTCTTGGGTATCCCAAGACGTTTTTTTTTGACAAGTCCAGCTTCTACGCTCAGTTCAGGAGGACTCTGTGAGTTTTCGGAGCTCCCAAGCGTTGTGCCAGAACTCCCCAGACTATAGTGATTCTCCAAATTACTGGAGGTATGCAATTTGGAGGGATTCACCACGGGTTCGCTATCGTCGAGAAAAGCCCGAGCGGATATAGGAACCGTTGGTTTTCGGCTCCAAAAATATTTTTTCTTCAAAAACGGTTGTGGATCGGTATCCAGGAGTTGTGGATTTACCAGCGCTTCAGGCACTCTTCTTTCGCCTGCGAAGAAATTAATTTTAAAGTAGTCCTTGACTTTCTTTTTGTATTGACCGTCACTGCTTGGAAGACGTATTGGATCCTGGCTAATATCGTCTTCCAGGTAAAACTGTTGCTGTGGGACTGGAATCGATGCCAAGACAGTAGTATCCGCCAAGTTCATGGCCATTTCGTTGCCATAGTCGCTAAAAACGGAATCTTTGCGATTTTGCCGGCGGGGCGAAAATTGAAACAGTTCAGGACCCTCATCGTCGGTGACCATTATTTTCTCGTCTTCATCTTCCTCTTCTGGTTCTTGTGTCCCTTCATCTTCACCAACTGCGCGACCCTTTTCGAAAAATTCGTATTCGTAGTAATGCATGGGTTTTGCGCTATGATACTCCGAGATAGACAGCCGGCGGTGTTCTTGAATTTGGAAAAGCGACGCAGTGGGCTCCCGCGGCCTAAAGCTGTTGTTGTATTCTTGTAGCTCTTCTTTGAGAGAATTCCCAGTATAAAGCATTTCTTCCAGCAAACTGGAATCTGCCATTGCCTGCCGTTCCGGTTCCACCGATCTCGAAGACGTCTGCAGCGTATTCCCGGTCAGATTGTTCGCAATGGAGCTCCCCGTTTTGGGATTTTGCACCAATTGCAGATTAAATGTGCTGTCTCCGTTCGTTGATGTGTTCAAGTCAACTCTGCTGTTGTTGCCGTGCAACCCAACTAGAGTGTCGCTGGACATTGTGCGGTGATTTTGGTAAATAGACATCGCACGTCAAAATGACGGCCTCAGTTTGAACTCCAAACCACCTGATAGCGACGGTACGCTTAGCTTCGAGGACGTTTGCCGATATGAGCGTTTAGGTTGGATGCCCTTGAAGTATTAGCATCATATTAGTCTAGTTTATCTCGAGTGTTATTTTGAAGCCATTTCCATCCATATGGGTTAAACATAAATTCCAGAAGTCATGTGGTATTTTTGAATGAGAGGGTACTAAGCACCCAAGCCACCCACGTGACACACGAGGCCCAGACGCATCACGTAATTTGTTATTACGTAAACACAATCACTCAACACGACAAGAGTGATTTCTTAATCACGTGTATCTACTCCCCTTTTTTTGTCGAGACCACGTACAATATGATCGCACCTCGGCGGCTAATTCCCCTCAGTACCAATCCCTAGGCTTATACCATTCAATTTGGCCATATTCTTTAATTTGATTTATTTTGGGTATGTTTGGGCCTCTGCCCGAAGCGTCCGCCTCTTTTTCTCAGCAATCTTCGAATAGTGAGTCCATGTTCACAAATTTTTTTGTAGCCTATTCCGCAAAAAGAGGCTTTCTGACGATCTTCTCAGCTATTTCAGAAACCACGCGTCCAGCAATTATTCTTTGCAAGTCTGATCCGACCTTGTGGCCTAGACATGAAAGGTTTTATATGTTTATTTCTCCTTGTGATGCTTTAAGTATTAAGTTGTGTTACTATGAGCATACTATAACAAAATTCAAAATATAGACAGCCTTGATCATTTCGTCAATCGGCATCTATCGTCCGCACCACCACGTGATCCAAAAATATATTCAAGAAACAGATCAAGCATATAGTATATATATATTTGACTTTGCCTAGTAGAGCGTCAGCTATAAGAAAAACCAGCATTGGCATAAGAAAATAACACAACCCTACTATATTCCCTCTTACTCTCTGGCTCACGCTTGAATTTCCTCCCAGTAATTTCAGTAATTCATGTCATTCGTCAAAATTTAAAATTATATGTACTCTTGAAGCGGTCTTGTCAATCGTTCCCAGCTCCAGCTGATAAGATCCGGCTAGTGGGTGATGCCAAAGAATTAGCAACTTAGAATACCACATATGATTTCCAGCAGCGCATTTTCAAACTCCCGATAATATTCATCGCCGGTACCAATAGTGTCCATTTGGCCCCTGTCGCGGTTCAACAGTAAAATATACCGTTCCACCTCCTGGCGTATCCACTCAATTTCCTGCTGTGGTTCGACAGATGCGCTCTTGGACTCTGGCGGAGGAGGCATGCCGTACATGCCGCCCGGAGCGGCGAAGTCCGGAGCCATGGCAGGTTCCGCAGAAGTTTCGGGCGGAATCGGCATCGAGATCGGCGTTGGATTGTCAGTTTCGCGCGGAAAGGGATTGGCCATGTAGACGTTGTTTATGGGCAGGTTGGGATCCATTGTAGGGGCCTGGGATCCCACAAAACCGATGTCATCGAACGAACGGTACATTGGGTGGCTTTGGGGCGTTGCTGCCAACGCTCGCATAGTGCGAGGCGCAATTTGCGCGCACGACGTTGTGTACGAGGTGTCGAGTGAGTTATTGTTGTAAATGAGGTTCCCCGAAAATGAGAATCCATCGCTCAAAAAATCCTCGCCATTAGTTATGCTCGTTATGCTCAGTATTCGATTTGCATCACGAGTGAAGTCAGCATCGCTGGCGCTGGAAGGTTGTGAAGCCCTCGAAGAGGTACCAGAGCTACCCATCGAGCCCACACTCGGTTGTGGAACAATACCAGGACGACCGTTCGTCAAAGTAGGATTTCCAATGTCGTACTTGCTCTGAAATAGCTTCGAAGCATCCACAGGGGTGTTGCTCTTGTGTTCCAAATATTTCCCATGCTTGACGATTATTAGTTTGAAAAGAAGTTTGATGAGTTGAAAGCAGTTTTTGCAAACCGCAGTTTTGGGATCCACTTTCATCTCGGCCACGGGGACAGCTTTTGATAGCAAGATGTATCTCAAATCGTGCTGTAGAATCAAGATTTGATCCATCTGTTGAGCACGGTTCAAGTCCAATGCTAAAGTCTTGATGGCAAAGGTAATTGCATTTATAGGCATGTTGCCCACAAGGAGCTCCCAGTTATAACATGAGAACGTGTCATCCGTATGGTATTTCAAAAATTCGTCCAAGTAGTGGAGTGATGCAGGTACTAAGTTGTTGGTCAAATCCTCGTAGTTGTACACGAGCCCTGCATTTGTCAAACAATTCAATCCCTCTCCCAACGTATGATCCAATGTTAAGTTACCACTGTCATTTAGGATCGCTTGTATGGTTAAGAAATTTCTGCCGTACCCGCTTTCTGAGATTGGGTTGGAAAAATTACCATTTGCCACCAACTCTTCTTGCTTCCATAGTCTTCGCCTTTTCATGAGCATCGGCAAAGATGTCTTGATAATATTGAGATGAAGAAGCAAACAAGCTCGATCTGCGAACGTGTTGAGCATAAACACCGCCCAATCAATGAACTTGGCTTCATTGGCTGTTAATTGTCCCAATTGTTTGCCATGATTGCGTAAGGATAAAGCGCTACCCATGCAACAAACGTGGAGATCAACAATTCGTTCTTTGAGGCCTTGAAATGTACCTCTATTGGTGAGCGAGCACAGCTCATTCAGCAATATGACAAACCTGTGTTTTGCATTCAAAAGACATAGGCTTGGGTGTATTTCACCGTTGACTACTTCGGCAGGCCTCACCGTGTCGAAATCGTCCACCTTTATAAGCGGCGGCAAGTTGTTATAGAGTGAGGTCATTGTGTCCAACTGAAAAATCTGCCAAAAAAGGATGCGTCGTGATTGAACTATATCCGGATCAACTATCCCATGATAGGTGGCAGGATCGCGTGTGAGCAGTGTTCTTTGCGCAAGTCGTGATAACTGAGCCACTGTGGTTATGCTAGGGTTTTCGATGACGGAGTTGATCAAAACAGATCCGGTTATCATGTTGATATTGAAAGCGTTGGGAAAATCGTACAGCGCATACAAAACGTTGGCGGCTTCGAAAAGCGTGGACATTTCTCTGAAAAGTTCGTCGTTGTCGTTGAATTGATGGAACTGAGATTTGGATGCGGCGTAAAGTACAGGCATTAATATTACCAGAAACTCAGTATCCCCCGGTCCTCCGCGATTGGGATCCAACCAAAAAGCTTCGAGGTCTCTCGAAAACTTGGGGATATTGATAAGTGGAATGATAGGGTGCACCGTAGTATGGTAGATTTCAAACAGCTCAAAAGCTCTCTCCCTTGTAGGCAAGTAAAGATTTAGATCTCTACCAAAATTTTGACGTAAGCGGTCTTGACTTGAGAAGCTTGACATTGGTGGCAAGGTGTTTGCACTGCCGGTGACATTGTTCCTCAGATTCTTGTGTGCCGAGGCTTCAGCATTGCTGAAGTTATGGTGAGCCGATGTCTTGGGCTCCTTAACAGCCGGTCTGCTATATTCTCCATCCTGTTTTCTGCCACCACCCACATCCTTTTTCTGTCTTCGTTTCATATCGAGTAGAATTCTTTCGTCATTGGCCAGCGACTTGGCTTGTTCGATCGCCATCAGAAGTTGTTTTTTCTTCTCTATAGGGTCATCGCTATGTGGAGTTTCCACTAAGAGGACAGCGTCAGTAGTCTTGACGCTTGTCTCGGCAGCGGTTTGGCCACCGCGAGAAATGCGATCGTTGAGAAAATAATGGCATTCAGTATTCTTTTTAAGACATATTGAACAGCTTGGTGTTTCTCTTGTACATTTGATCTTTCTCTTATGGCATGCAACGCAGCTCAGAATTTTCCTCTGTCTACGATGCTGAATTTTGTATATTTTCCCATCTTCAAGCACAAGAGCGGCCTGGTCCTTAATAGGTATGATCTGAGACGACATCGGAGTGTCCCCAACCCTGCCGAGAGCTATGAATGTAGTGTTCGATGTAGCGATTGTTCTGATGATGCCTATTGTTCGATGGCCATGCCGTATAAGAAGAATAATGAAATAAAACATGTACTGTTGTACGGACCAAGCTGGATTCGTTTCGGTGCATAGTTCAATCCTTATTACAACGGGTTTTAGTCTTTGAATAGTTTCCCAATGATGCGGAGGTGTGCGAAATACCTCTGAAATATTCTGGGAAAACCTCTGTATTTTTCAGTAACCATCTGTTGATTTTCTCTTGATTTCGGCTAGAGATGAGAGTTTTTCGACGAACGACGAAAGTTCAGAGTTTACAAAAGAATTTCGAATTTGCTATGACATAGTTGTGTTGGCTGAGAGTTATTGAGACCGTTTTTGTTTTGTTTGGCTCTCTTTTTACTTGACAGAACCTGTTATGTTGTAGATGTTTTTCGTCTTGATCAATATCAAGACTATTTGAATGATTTCGATAGTGCTAAAGAGAGAGAGAGAGAGAGAGAGAGAGAGAGAGAGAGAGAGAGAGTACGACACCACAGGACAAACAGTTTGAAAGACTTTGGGATCAATAAGAAGGTGAGGTAGTAGTTCTAGTATTTTGCATTTGAAATCACAGGCGTGGGCTGTTCCTAGAGAAACACACACATACACACACAGAAACGCTTTGGAGAAACTCAATGATCCGGATTTTGGAATCGTCACGAATGGGAATGCTCAGCATTGAATAAGTGTGAATGTATGAAATGCCTAAGTATCGCTAACAACCGTGTGGTGAGAAGGAAGTCACATGATCCGAAACAAGAAACAGCCTTTTAACGTGGCACGAGTAAAAGTATTAACAACAGCCATCACTAAACATATATCTTCCTAGATTCGTTCACGTCCACAGTCTTGGCCGTCGAAAACACTCTGTTTAACCATCACAATGTCTCCAGTCACGTGACCTACGCTTTCACAATTCGTCTTCATAAACTGGTACAACTCACAAACCTTTCTTACTCGAGAACAATCAACTCTTATCGCACTCTTGGAGCCCACATTGAAATTGAGAAGAAATCATTTTGGGTCATTTTTGAGTTCCATCCACATCACTACACACGACACGACACGATTTCAAGTATAAAAGGGTTCTATGATCAAATAGAATAGTGACGGAGTATACCTTCTCACACAACAAAAAGCATGGATAAACATAACTGAGTATCACTCAGCTAAACGCGATACTCCATATCCTGCACTTCACCCATGATACTAATTCACAACATTCTGCTGCCAAACTTCTCACGGAATCAAGAGCTATACTGCGTTTGCAACCGCGCCAACGCGCTGCGCCGTCAAGTGCTTTTCGGGTCCTTATCATTACATTCTATATCCCAACCCATAGTCGGAAACCAAAAGCTCGGTGTGCTCTTTCCAGCGTGCTCTTCAAATCCCCTTCTTTCTTTCTTCGTTTGAGCTCTGTTCTGGCACCTCCACTTTTGGCCACTTCTGAACAGCTAGCTAGCCGCCGAGACTCATTCGTGAGAAATGATTACACATTCCCACGTGACAAAAATTCACGTGGCCTTGAAAGAGCGCCACACAAACTCACAAGTCACATGGTTCCAACCAACGCCACACCTTATAATCCCATCATCATCATCTTTAAATGCCACCATCAACCATTTTCGATAACACCGACGGCCTGGACTTCCCTTAAATCTATCAATTTTAACACCGTTTCAAGAGAAAGAAGTACCTCTCATTCTATCTAACCAGAAAAGCGATATCGACAAAAACCAAGTTTCAACGCGTTCGCTCTCCATCTGTCGGAAAACACCACAGTTGCTGAAATCTTAACCGCGTGCGAAGCAGTGATTGTAACTGTGATTGACAATTAGGTGTGTGCCCGAAATAGTCATACTCCCGAACCGAGCTATAAGAAGAACAGAAGAGCGAGATCCTACCAGGAGCATCAAAGTTTTTGTTCTTGTTGAGCCAGAAAGTAAGAGTTCAAGTTCTCAGACAGAAAAACAAACGGATTTATTATTATCAAATCTGGAAAATGGGCAATCAGGCTGTCACCACGAAACTGGTTTCTGTTGTGCAGCACAACGACCAACATGGATCCAGTGTTCCTCCAATCTACCAATCAACGACTTTCAAAGTGGGGTCACTCGAAGACGATGCCTCCCAAGCATACGACTACACCCGTTCGGGCAATCCAACGCGGACGGTCGTGCAACACCAACTGGCGAAATTGTATGACGTTGACAGCTCGCAAGTGCTTGCTGTGAGCAGTGGGATGACAGCACTCGATATGATTTTGAGAGGTCTGGTACTCAAAAACACGAATTCGGTGCCAACGATCATCGCGGGCGATGATCTATACGGTGGAACCCAGCGTTTGTTAACGCATCTGGGGGTCCGCGACCACGCACGCGTTCTGCATGTGGACACAACCGATTATGAAGCGTTTGTGAGACTGTACAAGCAGCAACCACGCGTTGACTGTGTGCTACTGGAATCGCCAACCAACCCGCTACTCAAAGTCGCGGATTTGCCCCGGTTGGCCAAGTTCATCAAACACGAAAACAAGAACTGTATCGTCGCTATTGATAACACAATGATGAGCGGGATGCTTTGCAATCCGCTTCAATTTGGATGCGATGTCGTCTACGAGTCCGCTACGAAGTATTTGAATGGTCACCACGACATCATGGCAGGCGTAATTATCACCAAAAATAAGAAGCTCGCCGGTGATATCTACTTCGTAATTAACTCCACGGGTTGTGGTCTTTCGCCGTTCGACTCGTGGCTCCTAATAAGAGGTCTCAAGACCTTGGGGGTCAGAATGTACCAACAGCAGCATAATGCCATGGTTCTTGCTCACTGGCTTGAGGATTCGTGCGGGTTCCGGAAAAGAAGTCCAAAGGATCGTACCTTGACCAGATACGTGGGATTGAAGTCGCATCCGCAATTCGAACTGCACAAATCCTACAACGCCGGGCCCGGTGCGCTGTTGTCGTTCGAGACAGGCTCTTTTGAACACTCCAGACGTTTGGTATCGTCGCGGAAACTCAAAATCTGGTCCGTAACCGTATCATTTGGCTGTGTCAACTCACTTATTTCCATGCCAGGGAAAATGTCACATGCCGCAATCGACCCTGCCCTGCGGGAAGAACGTGAGTTTCCTGAGGATATCGTCAGGCTGTGTTGTGGTGTTGAAAACATCGCCGACCTTCAGAACGATCTACTTGGAGCTATGGTGGACGCTGATATCATCGAGCTGAGGGATGGGGGCAAAACCCTATATAACAAGCTTAATGGCAATTTAGCATCCAATACCATTGGCCAGGGCGATCTCCCCAACATCTATGAGGAGTTCTTTGGTCCAAATGGTGTAAGGCGTCAGTCCGTTGGCGTCTGCCGTGCCAAGCTATAAAAATCAAAGAAGTCTTTTGCATTTTCCACTGGTACAGGGTCCGGTCATGTCATGAACTTGACCTGATCTTGCATCATCAACAACAACAACAACAACAACAACAACAACAACGACAATGATTCGTATCATTAACTGTTCATAGTTTCAAATACTCATTTATCATCTTTGCCAAGATAGCTTTAGGCGACTCACGGCGTTTCGGCCTTTTTTGGAAATTTTTCAAATACTCGATAAGGTTAAGTTCACCTTATCATCTTACATAAATTACTTCGGTCTTCTTGTTTTGACCATACGGCTCGATCCACTGATGTCCGGAACCTGACGGGAACTTATCGAGAAAGGAGACAATGATCGCTTGAGCTCACGTATTGAAAAATTCAAACATGGGATTCATGGGACCCTGGGATAATGGTATTTAACCGTAACACCTCATCTGTGCTATAGGCTAAGAAACTAACGATATTCAACTTTCCACCTAAAATGACACTCATTTTTGTTGCTCTCTTGCCTTGAACTCAATTGCTAGCTATCTTCAAACCTTGTTCACCACATCCTTTCTCTCTCTTCCCAAATTATGTCAGTTAAGCCAGGCATTTTGTTCGTAACTTCTCCAGACTGGACGTCAAGTGTTTACAACAGCAGTATTAAAGAAAAGTTTCAAGTGGATCATTATGACTTGTGTTCTGGCAACGCGGAGGGTTTCCTGGAATATCTGCAAAAAACCTTCGACTCTCGTAGTAAGCCTTTGTCTGTCATTTATGGCGGCTTTCCAGCTTTCCTCCCAATTGGAGGACTAACACGGCAATTGCTCGAAGACAAACGGTTCCCTAGAGAGGACCTGAAATGTGTAGTGCTATGCTCTCGAGGGATGAACGGTATCGATCTCGATGCCACAAAACAATACGGCATACAAGTGCACAACTACAGTGACGAGGAAGACTTATCATCTGAGCTTGAAGAGGCACCCCAACCCGGGGTGGTAAGCGACGATGTGGCAAATTGCGCCATGTGGCATGTCTTGGAGGGGTTTCGCAAGTTCTCGTTCCACCAGGCATGTTTGCGTAAGACTGGCAACACCTTGCGGTCCAGAAAGCTGGCCGCAGGCATCGATCCCAACACGTCTAGCTTTACTTTCGGGCATAAGTTGAAAAGCGGCAAAATCAAATCGCCAAGGGGACAGAAGGCCTTGATTCTAGGACTTGGCGGTATTGGTAAACAAATTGCCAACAAATTGCATTTTGGTTTAGGAATGGAGGTCCACTACGCTAAAAGAAGTCGCGATGATAGCGTTTCGTGGGCCTTCCACAAATTGGATTCTTCCATATATTCTCAGCTGTCCCAGTTCACCGCGATTGTAATTGCATTACCAGGGTCGCAAGAAACCAGACATCTGATCGACGAGGAGTTTTTGAGCTTCTGCAGCAAAGACCTGATTTTGGTCAACATTGGCAGAGGTTTTATTATCGAGTCCGAGGCAATTTCGAATGCCATTGCCCATCACAGAATAAGGCATCTTGGAGTAGATGTTTTCTACCATGAGCCGGAGGTTGAAACTTGGCTACTGGAAAACAATGAAGACACTACAATAACTCCACACATTGGCAGCGGCACCGAAGACAATTTCTACCAAAGCTGCGAATATGCTTTGCGCAAGGCATTAAAATCTTGTTATCCATAAAAGCACAAAGCTTCCAACATAACTCAAATGGAAATCAAACAAGGGCAGTCCTGGAAATAACCACGACATGATGGTAAACGCACCGAATGGAAGAATCTAATGAGGTTAAATAGTTCAAATAGTTACAAAACGTTCCTAACTTTTTTGACACCGAATCGAATGCCATTTCAGAAAAAAGCAGAATTAAACCATTCATGACTTCCTCGATATCTGTTGACAACAAATACGACCTTCAAAACTTCACGAAAGATTGTCAAATACGCTTCCACAAGTGCTCAAAGCATTGGTGACAGTGAGAGTTAGATTAAGACGCCATGACTGTATAAAGTGATTTGACGTTGACTTTTATTATCTGATATGACTGATGAGATGAGCTATATCTATCTATCTACTTCTTGATCTTGAAAGAAGTCAAACTTACAAGTTCAAGTTCACGTTAGCAAGTTCACATTAACTAAGTTCTCATAGCTGTATTCAGGCCTTACTCAAGTCGCTGAACAAGCTCTACTTATTTGTTTACGATGACAGTAAAGAGAAGATCCGAAAAGGTCGAAGCTCTGAGTCTGGAGGAAGTCGAACAAGAAAGACCAGGAAAATCAACTGTTTTCTCAAAAGTTTTGCTCAAGACAAGACAAATCTCGCGGAAACTAGATTCATTGGGCGTTGAGGTTCGTGGTATCCAAAGAATCCCGCCATATGAAAGAGGAACTTCCAAACAGTTTCTGAGCGTTGCTGGTCTCTGGTTGAGCGCCGCAGGCGGTCTATCGTCTATGTCGTCTTATTTCCTGGGCCCACTGCTGTTCGAGTTGACTTTCCGCCAATCTCTAGTCAGTGGTCTTATTTCGATGGCCATAGGATGCGGAGTAGCAGCGTACTGCTCAATCATGGGGCCACAATCAGGCTGCAGACAAATGGTCACAGCGCGCTATCTTTTCGGCTGGTATTTTGTCAAGTTTGTGGCCTTGGTGTCGATCATTGGTGTTATGGGCTGGAGTATTGTGAACTGCGTGGTGGGCGGAGAAATGCTTGCAGCGGTTTCCGATGGCAAAATCCCGGTTTGGGTTGGAATTGTGATTGTGACTGCGCTTTCGTTCTTGGTGGCCATTTTCGGTATCAAGCAAGTGTTGAAAGTGGAAACGTTTTTGTCTGTGCCCGTGCTTACGTGTTTCCTTTTACTGTACATCTCTTCCAGCGACAAATACAATCTTTTGGACACTTTCAAGAACGACGACGTGAGTCCGCTGACTATAAAGGGCAACTGGTTGTCCTTTTTCTCGCTTTGCTACAGTATCACTTCTACTTGGGGCTCAATCACCTCTGACTATTACATATTGTTTCCAGAGGACACCGACACTTACAAGGTTTTTCTTCTGACGTTTTTCGGCACGCTGCTTCCAACAACATTTGTTGGGGTCCTAGGTCTAATCCTGGCGTCGTGCGCGATGTCGTATGCGCCGTGGGCGACTGCCTACAAGACTTATGGGATGGGAGGTCTTTTGCTTGCGGGATTTGAACGTTGGAATGGGTTTGGCAAATTCTGCGTGGTGGTTTTGCTTCTCAGTTTGATCTCGAACAACATCATCAACACGTACTCGGCTGCATTCTCGCTGCAACTGTCAAGCATCCATATGGCTCGGGTTCCGCGTTGGATATGGGCCATAGCATGCACGATTTTCTATTTGGTCTGCGCCTTGGCGGGCAGAAACCATTTCAGCGACATTTTGGGCAACTTCCTGCCCATGGTCGGCTACTGGATCAGCATATACTTCATCATTTTGCTGGAAGAGAACCTGATATTCCGGGCCCATTTCTTGGGCCTTTACACCAAAGAGTTCCCATCACACTTTGAAGATCCAGACGCCGGTAGTGCGACGCCCCAGATCAAGCTGCAGGACGTCAAGACCGGTAGAGCACTCCACACGAAATCACACACTAGTCGTCGTATTCGTTACAACTGGGATATGTGGAACAACCAGGACGTTTTGACGCACGGGTACGCTGCCACGTTTGCGTTTTTGGTGGGTGTAGCTGGTGTTGTTTTGGGGATGGCTCAGGCCTACTGGATCGGACCCATTGCCCGTCAAATTGGCGAGTATGGCGGTGATCTGGGTATGTGGCTCAGTATGGGGTTTTCCGGAGTTGTATACCCGGGCTTGAGATACCTTGAGCTACGCAAATACGGCCGTTGAAATGCAGGGGTCTTTGAAATATCGTGAGCGCCGCTGGAATACTTACTACTCGATAAAATGTCATCTATTATGACAGGTCACCTGAAAGTCACACGAAAGTCACACGAAAGTCACGCTCTAATAATCACCTGACCTGTGGCCAACCAAATCGTCAGATTTCTTAATAGCTTAAAAAAAGCCTAGCTTTAAACACACCACCTACTACTCTTAACCATATATACCCATAATAACCCGATATATATCTATCAATAATATATCAAAGTCCAAGAAAATTTGAAAATTAAAGATATAGATCTATAGAAAAGACAAGATTTCAAGCGCATTTGACGTTATAAAAGCTGATCCAAGACCGCGGCTACAAAGCGCTATTTCTCTCTTTTGAATCGGTGAATAGTATGTGAAATCACGTTTGTTTGGATGAAGGACGTTTCCCGGAAGAGCCGATTTATTTGGGATCTTCGAAGGGCTTGAAATCGAACGCTTGAGTGAATGAACGGATGGGGTGGGAACAGAAGGTAATTTGTGCTTGTTGGAGCAAAAAAAGGCTTGAAAATGCCATGGATTCTTCATGATTTGGGGGTTGCATTAGATTTGAAAGCAGACGTTGGATTTCCGAGTCCAGCTCTTGATTTTTCAATGCAAAATGAATCATCAGACGATGTGATATCACGCTCACGATTCAATGAGGAGATTTCAACCTCCCCCAATTGTTCACACCGCTGCCCTCTTCCTTTTCCTCTTTCTCTTTTTTGTTTGGTCACCGTTTCCTCTTTTTACTAACTAGTAAGTCTTGCAGAATAAAAATGCTGTCCTTACGCCAAACCATGAGATTCATGGGCCCTGCCACCAGATTCATGGGTCCCTCCACCACAAGAGCTTTCTCTTCGCAAAGGGTCATGCTTCAAAAACAGGTCACCAAGACCGCCACAAAGCTTTCGGAGGTCGACGGCCCAGCCACTTTGGTCGGTCCCGGTGCTAAAGAAGGTGAGGTCCCTACCGAACTAGAACAGGCCACCGGTTTGGCCAGATTGGAACTGTTGGGTAAACTAGAAGGTATCGACATCTTCGACACCAAGCCTCTGGACGCATCCAGAATCGGCACCATGGAAAACCCTATTGTGGTCGACACTTACGACGACTACCGTTACGTTGGATGCACCGGTTCCCCAGCCGGCTCCCATACCATCATGTGGCTAAAACCTACCGTCAACAACGTCGCCAGATGTTGGGAGTGCGGTTCTGTCTACAAAGTCAACGCCGTGGGTGTCCAGACCGATGACGACCACCACCACCATTGAAGAAAGACCACCAAGGGTTTTGAGTGCGTCATTCGCAGGGTACGTCTGGTGCAACTCGAAAATGAACATCTAAAAAACCTGCCACACGACCCACACGCCATCCCAGGAACGCATCATGCACTACCACGCATGCCATCCCAAGGTTTCTGATAAATTAAACGGTGTGGGTAGAGGAAAGGTTCACACTTCACGGCTGCAGCTCCACGGCATCGCTACGAAGCTGCTGCCACAGCATCAAATATTCACTTTTCGTTTTAACTAAAGACATTTATTTAAGTCAACAATAAAAAAGGTAATATGTATGGATCACTGCTACGGTCTCGGGGAAAATGCTACGCATGGCTACGCTGGGATTGATTTCATTGACCGATCCCATGACTGGATGAAAACGGGCGATACCTTATGCCCCGGCCCTGGCAGTTCCTCACGTTTATGGTATCCTGTCTCGAGGCATAAAGCGTTGTGCTTCAATAGCATTTAGTTGTGACTGTCTCTACGTTACACCCACACATCCTATGATTATTTTTTGAGCTAATCGATCAGAACCTCAATTTTCGAATTGAACAAATTTATGAGTGTATTTAGAAAAAAAGAGTCAGTCTTCTTGTACGAGAAAGCTACTCAGATCTATCTTCTCTGCCTAAGCAACGGCCCGCGGGCGTAGCATTGCGCTGTGCTAGGCTCGAGCTGCCTGTGCGTTGGGAGGCTCTCCAGCCTGTCCCAGCTAGGATCTCTGCCTGCGGATGGAGAGCCTGGCCTGGTATCTCCTTCTAGGTCTCCAGGAAGAGACCAGGTGCTCGGTACCAAAAGTTTTCCAGGGTTTGGTAAATTGATATAACGAAATCCAGCATTTTAGATATACCTCCTCTTCTCTAAGAAAGCAGGAATAAACTAAACAAGTATGTGGCCATATACATTGGACTAGAGGACATAGGAGGGAAGACCAAATGGAAGAGGATTAAAGAGTTGTGAGCGCGAAAGAGAGAAAGAGAAACACCTTCTCTCGCGGGAATCCTGTATTGCGAAATCAATCGAAACGTACCCTTAGACAGAAGCTGCAGAGACCAACAAGACGAATTCTGGTACTTTTGTATCACCAAAGAAGAGCTACTGTGTGGGTGGGTGTGCTTGTGACGTGCGCTCCGTTTGTGTGCTTTCCTGAGATATGTCAGTGAAACCAGAATGTATTACTAACAACCTTTTCTTTCCAGAATGCCAAAGAAGAGAGCTTCCAACGGTAGAAACAAGAAGGGCAGAGGTCACGTCAAGCCAGTCAGATGTGTCAACTGTTCCAAGTGCGTTCCTAAGGACAAGGCCATCAAGAGAATGACCATCAGAAACATTGTCGAGGCCGCCGCCGTCAGAGACTTGTCCGAGGCTTCTGTGTACTCCGAGTACGCTTTGCCTAAGATCTACAACAAGTTGCACTACTGTGTTTCTTGCGCTATCCACGCCAGAATCGTCAGAGTCAGATCTAGAGAGAACAGAAGAATCAGAACTCCTCCACAGAGACCAAGATTCAACAGAGAAAACAGAGTCTCTCCAGCTGACGCTGCCAAGAAGGCTGCTTAAGCGTAGGGCTACGCCTATTTTAGCTACAAAATTTGTATATTTCAAGACGACAAGTTAGTACCATCATAATGTATTGCGGGTTCCTGGGTCACTTTGTACTACAGGACGATGGACGACGGACGTGCCAGCGCCAGTTTCAAAAATTCACATCGAAAACGAATGACCGACCCACCCGTATCCGCAAAAGCACCACTCACTTATAACAGATTCTCTCAAAAGACTTGACACGTTTAATACTTGCAACCGTCGAAAACTTGTCACATCACTACACACGGCAGTGTCATTCGATCTCACAAACGGACACCGTTAGTTTCCCATCCAAGTCCAGAAATTTTAATAGCAGTAGTAATTTTCACAGCACCACGACCAGCCACAAGAGACGTTGGCATTGACCAGTTTTCAAGCTTCTTCTACAACTTCTTATAAAAAAAAACCTGGCGCAAAACACAGCCTTTACAAGATTTCTTCAACGTGTCAAATCCGTCTCGGAATTGTCCGAAAACTGGAATATTTTCCACATCACTTCGTCTCTTCTTGAAACTATTCGTTTTGTCGGTTTTTACTGACGCTGTGGTTTTCTTCTTCCAGCTCAGCTTGTCATTGTCTCCTCTATTTATACTGTCATCTCGAAAAATTTTTTAGAATTATACTAAGGGCCGACCCCCTTAAATATCTTTGGCCCTAACTGGCCTAAATTTGATCAGAAAAAGATTATATACTAAATAACATACAAATCCAAACTTTAGGTTGCATTTGCAGCACACAAACAGGGTAAAATACATCGAAAGGAGCCGGAAAAAGAGGCATTATCGAGCTGTTTGCATCAGCAGTGTTGGCAGACAAGCGGGATCACAGTTTTCAGCGAAAATTTAGCTTTTGAACGAGCCAAAAACGAGCGAAAAACGAGCGAAATACGTTGAGATTCGAGTGAGAAAGCATTCTCTTGTGAATTCGAACATCGCTCAATACCAGGAAGAAAACAAACCTTTACACTCACACGGGGACTGTGGCAAATTCGACCGCAAACGGCTGCAAGGAACGCTTGGCTCACGGAAATTCAGTGACAAAGAGACCGAGAAACAGAGAAACAGAGAGAAACCGAAAAAAAAAACAAAACAAAACATAAGGGTGGCATCAAAGCGCTTTTTGTTTAACAGAATCGGCTTTTATCTCTTGCGTTAGAATCACACAAAAGAAAACGCTCTCCAAACTTGTCCAGAAAGAAAATCGGAACTCTCCCCTCCCCTTTCAACAGCAACAGCAACAGCAACACCATCACCAAACACAATGGCGGGCTCATCAGAAACTGCAAAACCGTCTGCGTCAGAAACTGACAGCAACGGCCGCTACGATTTCAAATTCAGCCAGTGTTTCGGCGACAAAGCCGATATCGTGGTCACAGAAGCTGATATCATCACTGCAGTCGAATTCGACCATACCGGCGATTTCCTCGCCACCGGTGACAGAGGGGGCCGTGTGGTGCTGTTTGAACGCAACAACAGCAAGCATTGCGAATACAAGTTTCTCACCGAGTTTCAATCACACGATGCAGAATTTGATTATCTCAAGTCGCTGGAAATCGAAGAGAAAATCAATCAGATCAAATGGTGTCGTCCCACAAACCAATCCCATTTCCTGCTGTCCACCAACGACAAAACCATCAAGCTTTGGAAAGTATACGAGAAAAACATAAAACTCGTCAGCGACAACAATCTCAGCGAAGGTGCGTACGGCGCCGGTTCCGGCACAGGATCAAGTGCCAAAAATCGCCATTTACAACACCACGGAAACGGCAGTGCTAAAGCTGTGTTGTCACTTTCCGCTCTCAAGCTTCCCAAACTTTCCCAGCACGACAAAATCATTGCCGCAGCACCCAAGAAAATCTACAGCAATGCACACACATATCACATCAATTCAATATCGATAAACTCGGATCAAGAAACGTTTGTCAGCGCGGATGACCTGAGGATCAATCTTTGGAACTTGGACATACCGGATCAGTCATTCAATATTGTTGATATTAAACCCGCTAACATGGAAGAATTGACAGAGGTTATTACCAGCGCTGAATTTCACCCCTTCCATTGCAATTTGTTCATGTATTCGTCTTCGAAAGGAACCATAAAATTGGCTGACATGCGGCAAAATGCTTTATGCGACTACCGTGCCAAGACCTTTGAAGAATACCTGGACCCCATAAATCATAATTTTTTCACGGAAATCACCTCATCGATATCTGACGTGAAGTTCAGTCCCGATGGTCGTTATATTGCATCCAGAGATTATCTGACGGTCAAAATATGGGATGTGAATATGGACAGCAAGCCTGTGAAGACAATCAATATCCAAGATCAGTTGAAGGACCGTTTAAGTGACACGTATGAAAATGATGCGATTTTCGATAAATTCGAAGTCAACTTTAGCGGCAACAGTTCAAGTTTGATGACCGGTTCTTACAATAACACTTTTATGATATATCCAGATGTGGTTGGGGCCAAAACCAGCAAATCGCAGCCGATGAAAGAGATTGTGCTTCAGGCCGACAAGACAGCATTCAAATCCAAGAAGCTGGGCTCGTTGGAGCAGCAAAGCGCGCGCAACAAGCAATGGGGCGATGACATCGATTTCAAGAAATCTATTTTGCATTTTTCGTGGCATCCAAGGGAAAACAGTGTAGCGATCGCGGCTACGAATAATCTATTCATATTTTCAGCATTATAATTTGGGGGGACGTGCAACTTTATTATCTGAATACACTGGCGTGTGTGAGTCTGTATAAATTTCCAAATTTAATAAATATCTTCACAGACGCGGTCAATCCTGTATTACAGCATTATTATACAATAACAACGATATCAACAGCATGAGGTAGAACATAAGTGAGATGGCTATACCTAGTTTGATGAATATGACGGTTTTACACATATGTATAAATATAGAAGAAAAGGCTCCTCAATTTTGTCGCAAGAAGCCTAGTGTACTGTACTCCGATTCTCCTGGATTGAGTTATGGAACAGGACTTGACATGCTGACACTATTATGGGGGCCCCACTTGGAAGAAAAAAACAAATCGCATGAATGTGCATGTGTGGTGGAGGTGTTAAAAAGGGTGCTTAATGAGAGCTCATCAACGCACTATTATTGCTCTTTTAAAACGAGATTTGTGGTCTGGAGTCCAGTTTACTCGTCGCTGATGTGTCTGTTGACGATTGGGTTCCAGAACAAAGTCTTGTCACCGTCACCCCAGAAAAATGGCTTGGTTCTGATGTTTTGGTAGTCATAGTTTTTGGGCCATTCAGAGTCAGGAACGTGCTTCAAGTGACTGCGGTGTTCGGCGTGAGCTGCTTCCACGAAGTAAGTGTTAACAGCGGCCAAAGCAATAGCTGGAGCAGCCACAAACATGGAAATTTTTAGCCACAGACCGGAAGTCTCCTTGGCATGGTGGTGGGTGTTTTCTGCGGTTTCCTTGAAAGCCTTGGCCGCTAGTTTGTCACCGGGACCAAATGCCGGTTCTAGTGCATGTTTAGGTAGAGTTGAAGCCCTTCTTATGGCTTGTCTTAGCATGTTTGGTATCAATTTGTAGATCTGAGAGCGTAGAGAAGAACGGTGTCAATGAGAAATACTCAAACTCGAAGATAAACGTTCTTTTTCTCCTGATGGGGTTGAAAATGGTGTGATTTCAATTACGATTGATGAAGTCTCGAGTTAATCAAAGCTTATTAGCCCTTTCTTGTAAGGCTTTAAAATTTTCCCCGTACAAAGAGACTTCTGTCCAGCTGACACGCTAAGACAAGAACCACGTGACCAGTTTTTTCTTGAGTTTGAGATTTCGAGTGATATGATTGGTCAATTCAAGGACGAAAGCTATTTTGAGGCAAAGGAAAGATGGAGAAGAATGATTCGAATCCAGGACAGGAAGCAGTAGCGTGGAATTTAGTGTTATTTCGAAGAGTTTCAATACTAATCTCTTTGCATTATTTTTTCTAAAAAGTGATTATTCAAAAAAAATGCGCAAGCCCGGAATCGAACCGGGGGCCCAACGATGGCAACGTTGGATTTTACCACTAAACCACTTGCGCGTTGTATATTTAAGTGGAAAAACAATATAATACATAGCAGGAGCGTTAGATCATGAGACCAATGACGGGATCAGGCTATAGGGTCTCTTTCTTATACAATATGGCCTCTACACGCAAGCTTGTAGCACTAGCTTCTGACCTGTCGGGTTCTGTGCGCTCCTATTATTCTTATTTTCAGATAGTTCTCAATATCACTTTGTACTTGTCTGGCGCACCAATTTACTGACACATCATGATTATAATACACCGTCGCTGCCCATATAACTGGTCCAGTACCCACAACGCATTCGAGCTATCGTGAGCCATGAAATCTACGGTTTGAACGGGTTTACCCAGACAGGATAGTTTGCATACAGCAGCCTCAGCCCCTTTGCAACTTTTCAAGTACGTATTGCGAAACATCATGCGCTTCATTCTAAAAAGAGTTTTACCTCAACATCCTGTTTCATTCCTCCGGGGTTGTCCGATTTTTGATTTGATTTTTTACATGAAACGCTGATGCATCGTAAAACAGGTCGATGCGTCTATCTCTCCAGCAGTTTCTTAGCAGTCTTGTAGTGATGGCTCACTTTTCTGTCATTCTATGGCCATGGCTGCTTTTGATGTGAAATTTAACATGAGGTTCGTCATCCGACAAAGAACAATGCGAAAAAGTATTTAAACCACTCCATTTTGAGCTCCAAAGACTCAAAACATTACCAGATAATTCTCTTTCAGTAGTATTTGGTTACCATACACCAGAATGACTGAGAATATCGAATAAGATGTTGTTCAAGACTCTGAATCAGTAAAAATAATTGATACGAACTATAAAAAGACACTAAGAAGCTGAACTTACCAGATGCAAGTGTTGCATATTTCTATGGTTTGACTGCAGCAGCGACCAATCTTTTGTCTCTAGGTGAAAGCTGAATAACGAGGAACAGTTGAGCGACTTTGGTTTTGAAGATACTGATTGTATTTCGTTTTGACGTCAAGCTCACACACTCTGTCTCCGTTTAATTGATTGCCAATGGTAAACCAGCCTGGACGAGTATTATGGTCGCGACCGAAAATTTCAAGTTTGCGTGCATGAGGACCTACTAGTCGTTCGATCATCCCATAAAGCTCGTCAGGCTTGCGGCTGGTTTCCCTGCTTGCAGAAACGATGAGATCGATATCACTTTGTCTGGTGAGCCATCTGGCAGACCCTTTGACTCCGACTAATAGATGTTCCTTGGAATGGTTAAGCCAATGTCCGGTGCGTCCGGTCACTATGGTGCGGCCCAACTGGTTGGTCTTAATCCAGGAAACTTCGTTGCACACTTGGTATCCCCATTTCTGCAAAGATGTTTTGCCCACTTCGATAGCTCGACCAGTCACCCATAAAAAGATAATGCCTTCGTGTTGCAGTAGATCTAGTGGTAGATCGGCCAATTCAGAGTCGTTGCAGGTTCCATATGGCAAGTTCATACGAATGTTCCACGCAGGATCGGCAACAATGACAGAAAACTTACCCAAAATGTTAAAATCGAATTTGCGGATATCACACCGGATCCATTGAGCTGGAAGCGTTGGCTGCGACGCTACGGAGCAATTGAGGCCCTGTGTGTAGAGACATATTTGTTTATTGCGGATGGATGCCTCGTTCATTTGAGTGACACCAGCTGCAGTTGTTTGAGCCAAGGTCTCAGGCATGTATTGCAAATAATGCACGTAACGACACGAGTTGAGCTTGTGGCAGGTATCGAGGTAGGAGCAGTCTCCCAACGACGGGTCAGTTTGCGGTTTCAAATTCGGAATGTAGTGAATTTTCGAGTGTGCACATTTGTACAAGCCTGGACAGTCTTGATCCGCATGTTGGACTTTGTTAACATCCATGGCCACCACTTTGTTGTTGGAGACGGCAGCAATGCTTGAGAGAATGCTACAGTGGTTTTTGTTGGCACAGATTGGAATGAAACCAGTATGCGGAGTGAATTTGGAAGCTCTTTCGCGGCCCAAAACGTACGAAGCGGTTTTCACGTTGAGCGTCTGTTGCAATATGTCCAGTCTCTGCTGATTTGGGGTGTCTGCTGCATGCGAATTCAAAACGCTGTAAAGACGATCTGCCAATGTCGAGTTCGCGTCGTTTCTGACCTTGGCGACAATATTTCCAGAGTGCTGTTCTTCGTACGTGCCGGGGCTTACCACATTTGCCATTATACGCAGAGTCTCGACATCAATGTACTCGATAGTCGCGTCAACATCTTTATGGTCGTCTAGAGTTGAAAAACTGAGACAACCGGGACTAATACCTTCGATCAACACCAAATCGTCCCAAAATTTTTCAAACTGTGGTTTTGGTCCTGTTGAACTGGGATGTCCCTCACCATGCCTGTTTTGCAATTTCCCTGAAGTTGGTGTCGATGACTGATGATGCATGGCAAACATGGTGGAAATATCTGCCACACGGCCTGAAACGGGCGGTGCTAACAGACTTTTATGGTTTTCAATAAGGTAGTTCACTAAGTGACAATTCATCAGTGGCGATACGGGATGGGTTGAATTTGCCAAACGGGGTTCCAATTGTCAAAAAGCTACCCTTCCTGTATATAAAGGTCTTGAAAGCTATATGTGATGAGCTGAAGGAGACCTAAAAAGATATGGCACCTTTCTATTTGGGAAAAAGGTACAAAGTACACGAATTGATGCTGTAATCGCTGTTTCAAGATGATGGGCAGATCAGATGAATCGTGGGTGTTCAGCTAGCTGGCTTGCAACTCTTTTTTCCGGTGTGTCGTCAGTTTATTTGTGAGGTTATGTGATGTATAGCAGAAATGAGAAGAGATGAATATGTATTCTAAAAACTGGGCTAGAAAATCCTGGTGTGGATGGATTGTTGGTCGCGAAGCAGACAATGTGTGACAGGTTTATACTTGTTTTTAATGGTTTCGATGTATTGTGAGCTGTATATCGATGATTCAACGGTCCGGAGTTTTATCTGTTATATTAATAGGCTTGACTACTGTAGTTTACGCGATAAGGTGAGAAAAAGAGAGGAGTTTGAAGATATGGGCTGCTTGAATAGCTCCAAATCACCGATTTGCAAGTACGTAGATATAGCTGGTTTCCAGTGGGTGATTTTCCAGGTCGCACATTACTACTGCGATGACAAGAGACAACATTATTGAAAAGGTGCATCCTCGAAGCTGGGTATTCGAACTGCGTTAACGACGGCTGTTCTTCAAATAAATCAATTTGAATACACGACATTGCTACTTCAATCTGAATGCACGACGTTGCTACCTCCAATTTGCATCCATGACCGTGAATTCTTCGATTTGCAAGTGTGAATCGAAATCAAAACTAAACTAACAATTCGTCTGTTTGTAGTCAAGGACTACAAGAACTTGTGGCTGAAAGGCGAGGAAGAAAGCCTGCTCTTCGCTGAAAGACCACGATTTCCCTTGAGAGTTTAAACCATTTCAGCTGGCGCTTCACCAGTTCTTTAGTTTAAGAGAAGCTGATTCCATTGTGCTACACTTTTTCGCGATGAGGTGAAATTAAATGATACTTGACGCGTTTGAAACGCCAAAAAAAACTCGTGAATAACCCAAGAAAGTAGAAGAAGAAAACAAAGCCTAACACAATCGTAGGATAAGGAGAATAGAACATTGTAACGCGAAAACCTTCGGAATAATGCTAGTTTGAGCTCGATGCTCATTGAATCTAGAATACACGTGACTGAATCATCATAATTATATCATTTTACACGTAGACATCATCTCAAATATATATCAAGCTCATGAAATATCCAGAATCAAAGTTGACCACCAACTCCACCCTTCCATCAAGGTTTTCAGCAAGGTTTGGTCCATTTATCGGTGTTTCCGAGACTGTTTCAGTACCGGGATGTCTAGTGCTCTTGTGTACGATTCGAAATCCGCAGGTTTTTCGCCGGAATTCGAGTTTGGTGCGTCCTATAATCCGAATGTTTCTTACCATTTCAATAGCGACGTTTCTCAGTACCATTATGGTGTTAAACACCCCATGAAGCCGTTCCGGCTCATGCTCACAGACCACTTAGTTTCTGCATACGGACTCCACCAAATAATGGATCTGTACGAGACCAGAGCTGCCACCAGTGAAGAGCTCACCGAATTTCATTCAGAAGACTACGTTGAGTTTCTCAAGCGGGTGACACCAGAAAATCTAGCCAAACTGCCGCGTGGATCATTGGAAAAATTCAATATAGGCGATGATTGTCCCATTTTCCAAGGCTTGTACAAACATTCTGCGCTATACGCAGGCGCTTCATTGGACGCTACCAGAAAACTCATAAACAATCAATCCGACATTGCAATCAACTGGTCCGGGGGCTTACACCACGCCAAAAAGAGTAGCCCGTCCGGCTTCTGTTACGTCAACGACATCGTTCTCAGCATCTTGAACTTGCTGCGATATCACCCAAGAGTCCTATACGTAGACATCGATCTGCACCATGGAGACGGAGTGCAGGAGGCTTTCTATACTACCGACAGGGTCTTTACGGTCTCATTTCACAAGTACAATGGAGAATTTTTCCCCGGCACGGGAAAAATGGACGAAACCGGCTGTTCACGCGGTAAGCATTTTTCGTTAAACGTTCCACTCGAAGACGGTATTGACGACGACTCGTACATCAATTTGTTCAAAAGCATCATGGATCCATTGATTACGTCGTTCAAACCCACAGTAATAATACAGCAATGCGGCGCAGATTCTTTGGGCCACGATCGACTGGGCTGCTTCAATTTGAACGTCATGGCTCATGGAGAATGTGTGAACTTTATCAAGTCTTTTGGCCTACCCATGCTGGTTCTGGGTGGTGGTGGCTACACGCCGCGAAACGTCTCTAGATTATGGACTTACGAGACTGCTCTGCTTAACGGTGTCAGTGTTCCCGAAGCTATACCCGAAGACATTCCCTTCAGACAGTGGTTCGGGCCGGATTTTTCGCTGCATCCAGTTCTGGATAACCTTTACGAAAACAAAAACTCAAAAAGCTATCTCGAAAACCTTCGCATTCGCTGCTTGGAAAACATTCGTTTTCTTCAAGGTGCACCAAGCGTACGAATGGATCAGGAACTAATACCTACTCAGGACATCAGCGGTCTAACGCAAGAAGAGGAAGACGCAATAAAAGAGCTCAATGAAGAGACTGATAGGTTTAGATTAGAGCAAACGGAAAAAGATAGCATACGGAAGGGTGAACTGGTATAACCAATATCATTGCCCGGGTTTTGGTTGAAGAGGATTTAGTCAGCCATGTTGTAAGTCATAATAGTAGCCATGTAATAGTACAGTATAAGAAGCACGCAGAACAGCGTTAGGGAATCGCTTCGACGGATCGAAAGCCTTTAATTTTCGGCGAAAAAGAGGGATCATCATTCTGAATGGCTATTTACTCGCCGCTTAGAATTTTTTGGCTTAAACAATTCAACTTTCAAAGTTCAAAGTTTTAAAGACTCGCTTACAGTGTCTTAAGGACACATAAGTCAGGGTGAAATAAGTTGAAGACTAAGAGCCAAGTTCAACACGCCCAAGATTGTCCATTGCGTTGCGGTAAAGAAGAAAAGGATGCTAACTAAGTTTTGTATTTGATATATAATGGTCTTTTTACTTCGGATGATTGCAAGAGGGCTATCAGGCCTGCTTGTACTCAATCTTTTCTGTCGACTTATCAGAGAACCATTTCTGCCATGGTTTCACGATTGGATGCTGACCTGTCCGAACTCGGCTGCAAGGTGCCATTTACTCTGGCAAAGATGGCCATTTGTTGAAAGGGTAATTTGGAAAATCCTGGACTACATAGAGATACACCATTATGCGTAAGGCATCGCTTTAAAATGTATAAGGTCTATAGAGTGAAATTGATTATCATGCGTCTTTGATGAGCTCTACTCCCCCAACGGCCCATATTTCAGACTCATCTTCGTAGCAATCCGAAAACACAGTTTCTGGATCACCACCGGCTGCTATTCTCTCCCTCTCGACTCCAGCCAACCTCTTACCTACACGGTTGGTGTAGTCTGTGATCGATCTTAACTGAATGGAGTCTCCAACATAATTCTGCAGTGTTGGGCCAGAGAGCTCGGAAGACCAGGCTTGGAAGGATTCCATTTTCTCTTCTTCTACCAATCTGAACACAGCCAGATAAGCCTTTTCAGCTGCTAGCTTAACTGGAATGATGACGTCACGCAAGCACGAGAAGATCGAAGGTCCCAAAAGATCGTAGAACGGCTTGACACACTCTTCAAATTTGAACCTGGCCATGGTGCGTACAACTACCAATGACAAACGTCTTGAGTCCAGAGAGTTACTAGCAGGGCGTAGCATATCTTCACACAAGACTTCGACCAGGCTCTTTATGTTTTCCTCAGGTAGTTCGAAAACAGTTTGGGACTCTTGTTTTCCAAATGGTGACTTCGTCTCCCCTACCAGTAACAAAAGTTTTCCGATAGCTGTCAGGGCGTTGTCAGATATGTAAGGTGTGGTTGATCTCGCAGCATTGACTAAGTATTCAACAAAGTCGGCGGTCGTATCTGGCTCAAACAAGTGTGACGGGGCATCTCTCAAAAAGGAGTTCAAGGTCAGAATTGCAAAACGACCCGAATCACTGGTTATATCAACACTCAACACCTTGTCACTCAAAATTGACTGAGCTTCTTGCTTTGTCATTATGCCCGAAAGCGAACCGATAAGCTTTGCATATGCGGTCGCCAATTTGTCGTTGACGCTCAAGATTTGCTCTTCAACAAGATTGACGATCGCATGTTTAGAGTTCTCATTGAGCTTTGAACCAGCTTTGGAGACGATCTCAAGCAAACCGTTCAACAAAGCTGTTTTCACACCATCGTCTTCAGTTTGTCTAGCACCAGTGACCAGCTCCAAAACCAATGGATCAACTCTTGGCTGATATTCGATCAGGGAACCAAGGGCTTTCGCAGCGCGCAAACGAAGTGTTTCGTTAGACGCATCCGACAGAGATTTAACAAATGTTCTTTGTAACTGAGGTATGAATGGTCTCAAGAATTGCGGAATTTTTGCAAATAACACGTTCAGAGCATAAAGAATGGCAGCTTTAACATCGCCCGAGAATCTTTCACCCACGACACGAATCAAAGGTCCTGTAATTATGGTAACAAAGGACCTTAAGTTGGCGGATGGTGTTCTCTTCACAATGTCTGCAATCGCCATTGCTGCTATCTCACGTTCCTCGTTAGAGCCGTACATTAGGCCATGCAGGAAAACACTCAAAATGCAACTAGGGCCCTTAGGCAACTTGAATACCGCCAGCTCTGTATTTTCTTTTCCGACCAAATCCAGCGCTTGCTTCGCAGGCTTGACCAACTTTCCGAGCATGGATTTGTCTTGCTTTTTGATCAAAACAGATAGCTCATCGTAAATCGCTTGAACCACATCAGGGTCTTCGTCATCGAATGACATAATTGATTGAGAGACGATTTCTGGAGTGTATATGTCATAGCTGAGCGTAGTTTCTTCAAAAAATGCAGGCAAACGTTTCAAAATCACTAGACGTTTGGCCTTGTTTTCATCCCTCATCAAACTCAAGATATGTTGCATCAAAGGGTGCATACCATCGACTTCATCGACAGAGTTCAAAACGCTCCCAAGAGCATCTTCTAAAGCTGAAACAGTTTTTTCGTCTTGCGTAGAACCTGCCAACGTGTTTACCAGAGCGTTGATAATCACAGAGAGACGTTTGTAGAGAGCTGAACCAGCTACCTGAGCTAAGGAACCAAGCGCGCGAGCCCTGAAGGCATCTATAGGGGGACTCAATAAGGTTGGGATTAGGATTGGGAAAATTACCTCAGATTTGGTTGACATGATTTCTTGCAACGCCAATAGCGCATATTCAGAGTTCTCCGTAGAGCCCAGCATGTTCAATAAGTGAGGCAAAACTTCGTCAACTGCTATCTTTCCAAACACTTCTTGGAACGCATCAAAGGACAACGCTGCCGATTCTCTTACTGCGCCATCATCGTCCACAAGGGTGCGGCGAATGATATTCACAATAGTAGATTGATAATCCACCAAGGACTCATACGATGATGATTGGAGAAGTTCGCGCAAAGCAATGCAAACGCCTTGTTTCGATTCTGAACCGCGAGCTTCAGCGAGGGAGCCCTCCAATACAGGTAGCAATTGAGACAAAGCATTGCTACCAACACGTCTCACCAAATCACCAAGAGTTTGGGCAGCAATATGCCGCAAACTTGCAGATGCAGAAGCGAGATGAACAACAACAATGCTTGTGAGGGTAGGCAAGATCTCCTTGACGGTTCTTGGAGTGTTAGGAACGATAGCCTTCCAGACGTCAACCGTGGTCGCACGAACGACGCCTGAAGTGTCGGATCTGCAGACGAAAAGAGATGAAAGAATACGATCGCGACGGTCTTGACCCAGTACTTCCAGAAGCTGCTTCGTGACCTCATGATTGGCCTCACCATCTTCATCATCAAACTCGTTTTTGGATGAGATGCCTGTAACCTGGAATAGTAGGTCACTTGTCAATTGCACAGAGGACAGTCTGATTCTTTCGTTTTCATCAAACATTCCCTTCTCAAGCTCTGGAAGCAGCAAATCGATTGCTTTGGTGGCATAGTTTTTGACCAAAAGTTTCCCAGCCTTTAAAGACGTGTCGGAAATGTTTTCATCCGGATCGGCAAGTCCACTCAAAATAGGTTGAATAATTTGGCTAACGTAAGGGGCAAACTGAGGACCAAAGCATACAGGCAGGAAGAGAAGTAGGGGCATGAAACCTTCCCTAACATACGACTTGACACTGGTGACACCAGCCATAATAGTAGGAAGCATCTCATCCAGCTTGGACAAGCCAAGCCCGCTGATGACCTCTGATAGAGCCTGAGCGGATCCCATACGATCACCAGCCTTGCTATCGTCACTCAAAGTATCCAGTAGGCGAGGAATCAAGTGAGGGAACTTGTCTTCGCCTAGTCTTTCTACCAAAGCTCCAAGAGCCCTGGCGGCGGTAGCTCTGGTGCTAGGAACTGGGTCCACCATTGCTGTTTCCACTTCATCGACCAGCTGTTGTAGGTATGGTACCAGATCATTTGCATCTACCAAGATTGCCATGTTGCCGACAATCTTACAAGCTTTCCTTTTAGTGTTTGCAGATCTCTCACGCATACCGCGATGTATGACATGTATAATCAAAGCAAGGGAAGGCCCGTCGATGTAGTGCACAAACTGAGTTTGTATCAAAGCATTCAACGCATCCTCGGTGTATTTAGTAGGGTCGCCGATAGCCTTGATAAGGGTTGGAACAAGAACCTGAATTTCTGGATTTCTTATCACCTCTCCGAAACGGTTCAGAGACTGATCAGCAGCTTTACGCACCTCCTTATGAGAGTCGTTCAAAACAGCAACAATTTCGGGCACAATGGTCGAAAGAGATGCAGAAAGTTGAGTTGGATCGAGGTATGCCATGTTACCCAACAGTTCCACAGATCCTCGTTTGGTTCTCCACGAAATGTCCTCGAGATTGTTTACGGCGACAGGAATCAATTTTTTGACACCAAAACCAGTAGTGTTGGCCATGATGCTTTTAGTGGCATCAGCAGTGGCATTTCTAACCTCTGGAACAGAGTCACCAAGATTTTTCAAGATATTTGGTAAAATCTCAATGACGTAGGGCTCGAAGAATTTCCCCAATGATTTTGAAAGGCACTCGAATGCGAATGCTACAGACTCTCGCTTTTGAGGATCTTTTTTATCTTCTGAAGCATCCATGAGATCGTGAATAATGTCATATTCAGAAAGCGAACCGATTCCCAAACCCTTGACTAAGCCTGCCAGTCCCCAAGCTGCACCGCGTCTAGAGTGGTGCTTGGCTTTAGGATCTAGCAACTTGAGCATCATGCCTTTCAGGTAATGGCCAGTCTGGGATTTCAACAAGCCAACTAATGGCGATATACAAGTCGAAATGGCATGCTGAACTTCCTCCGAAGGCGTCTCTAGCGTATTCAAAAGACGCTCAACAATCGTTGTTACTCTGGCATCGTCCGCGGCCAAGTGCCTTGCGAGAGTTCCGTACAAAATAATGACGTTCTCTTTCGTAGCAACATCTTGATTAACCTTGAGGGCCTCTTCAAAAACTGGTATCAAGTCTTCGACATTTCGAGAGCCATGCTGGGCGATCACCTCAATACCAGCTTCTTTTACTTCTTGTCTGACCAGACTTTCGCGGTCACCCAACGAGCCACTGTTGACCAGAAACTTGATGAACTCTACGGGCCATTTGCTGTCTGGAGGAAAAACATTAGAGCACTCTCTGAAAGCAATAGCAGCAGAACTTCTGTCTTCCCAACAGTCTTTTTGGGCTTCGGAAGAGACAACTACTAGTCCGTACTCGTCTATAATAGGATCAGGAATACGCGCTTTCAATGAGTAAAACTCCATTAGTTTCACGAAATATTTACCGAACAACTCACTGGACCGTGCGGTTAGAACATGCAGAGCAGTGGCATACGATTTAGCCACAAACAAGCGTAAACCACTATCGCCCTGACTGAAATAATCAAACAAGCTATCGAGAAGCTCTTCACAAACTTTGAAATTGTTTAATTGCCAGATAGATGCCGCTGCCTCACGGTTTGACTCGCTAGCGTCCTGCATCAATATGAACACCTGAGGAGAGAAAGACATGTAGGGTGCCAAGTCGAACTCATCGTCAACAGCCTCCAAAACAGTGGCCCTGACAAAATCATTGGGAGCCATCAGACTACCAAGAATGAGGTTTAGATCTGTTTGGCTAGGGGATAGCGACACATTTTGACATAACGCTAAAAAGCATTCTTTAGCGGACCTCGCCTTAGAGGATATCGACAGAAGAGATAGCAACACCTCTAAAATATGCTGACGAGGAATGTCAGGATCCGCAAAAGACTCAGCATGGCCTCCGATAATTTCCATTGCCAACAAAAGCTGTTCTTCTTCTTTATCCTCTTCTACAAACTCACTTTTTACCAGCGGTTTATCCGAATTACTCACAGAAATTCGTTTTCCTTCCTCCAGCACCTTTGATAACAATGGTAACAGAAAAGTTAGAGTTAAAGACTCAAATCTCTTTTTGTTAGCAACAAATTTGACCCTGAAAAGAACTCTTGATATCAGCTCAAGAAGATTTTCCTGACAGGCGCTCGCAGGAATACCCTTGATATCGAAAGCGCGTAGAGTAGCCACGGCAATTGAACGCCTCATAGTACCTAGCCTCTCTGACGCCGTTGACGACAAGCTGAGAAACGTTTCAACTCCTTGTTCAGGAAGCAGCTCAGAAAATGCCGGTGCTCCCAACGCGGCGAGTATGTCAGAGACAGCCACTGGGAACCAGACAGCTGCTCCATTATCAACTAGGGATGCTTCCTCGCTCAGTTGAGATACTAAAGATAGCGTCCGGCGAGACTCAGTTACAATGAGATTGATATCTTTTCGAATACCAGCTTCCTTTAACAATTGCGCATCGATCAAGTCTTTTTCTTCTTTGGTATATTTTTTTGTGCCCGAATTCTTTTGGGCTTGCTTCTTTCTGACCTCTTCCTCCCATTTCAGAGTTTCATAGTCCCTCGAGTTTTTATTTTCTAGCGCCTTGTTCGATTTCTGTAAGACATCAAAGACTAATTCGCCATCCGCCCCTCTCCATATTTCTATCTGAGATGCATCGACACCTTGCAGTCTTGAAGATTCTAGCTCGCATTTCACAAGAGCAACTACCAAAGGAGCGATCGTGGAAGGGTTAATAAACGCAGCATATGTGATGGATTTGACTGCAGAATCGTACAAGGCAGAAAATTGAATCTTCAAATCTTCCGTCAAGCACTTGAATCGGCTGAAAAGTTGATTAGAATACTCTGCTATCAGATTTTCGGGATTCATGTTAGCCTGTAAAACCAATCCTGCCCAACCACTTTTCAACTTTAGCTTAGGATATTGTGAGAGAACAAGAAATTGGATTAAAACTTTTTTTAAAGCTTCTTTATCATCAACATCTCGACACAAGGCCATGATGATTGGAGTCACGTAGCGAAGGGTGATACCCTCGCGATCTGAAAAGGTTCCCTCGACTACGGCCCTCTCAAGAGCGTCGATCACATCCATACCAGTCGTTAAAGTATTTCTTTCATATGCACGGCGAAGGAGCTCCACTGCTATTGTCCTTTCCTCGCTACTCAATTCGACAGACAACGTCACCACTAACCACGCATGACCTATCGAACGAGACTCCCTTTTCTCTTCGACGAGTAAAGACTTGACTTGCGTGGCAAGCTCATCACCTTCCATGACTGAAAGACGATCGATGCCTGTGAAACAGCTTAGCACGCTTCTTGCTGTGTATTTCGATGGATAGGAAACGACATCCCTCAGGTAATCTAGAATCTCTTTTGACTGATCGCGAAACTCTTCTATGGACTTAGCGTCCAAGATACTGAGGAAAGCAGCGAGCCAAAGCTTCTTTATAGGTTGCTTTTTGTCAGTTAATCCAGTCCTTATCAGGGTGATTGCAGACGCAGGTGGGGCATCCAACTTTGAATACTGATAGAAGTATGCTTGAAGCAAGGCTTCCATTGCCACTTCATTGGACTCCTTCGACAGATAGTTCGCAAGCCCATTCACAATATCGGAAGAAACGGAAGCACTAGGCGGTGTAGCACGTAGGAGACGCGAGACTATTATTTTGTAGTCCACATGCAAGTTGGATTTCAAATTTTTAAAAGCTTCAGCAACCAATTTTTGTAAATCGCTCGAAGAGCAACAATTCTTGATTGAATGCAGTAGAACAAGCATTGAGCCTAGAGAGACAGATCTGATTGTTTCTTTACTACTTTTCAAAGAAGAAAAAGACTGGGTCATTAGTTTGGAATCAACAAATATTGAAGAAAGGTTCACCTTGGCAGGATCCACACTGGAATAAAACTCGCTAGCTAGCGGAAACCCTATTTCAGATGAACGCAGAATACACTTCTCTAGGTTCGGAACAATGTGCGTGCTGAAGAGGTCAGTGGTAACGAACTCATGAGCGAAAGGAGTGAAAAAGGTTTCGATACAAAACGGTGAGGGTGAGTCCTTAGACAAAATAACGTCCTTCCCCACGTATGCACAAAAGGGTACCACACTGTTTTGGGCAAAAGCCGCATGGTGCGCTGGTTGGGATTGTAAAAGTTGGATCGCAGCTTTGGTGAGGCCACCAATAACCGCCAGCACTCCAGCCGCTGGAAGTTTTGCAGCACCAGCTTGATCGAGAGTCGCCTTTGAAATAAAGTCGACTGAAAACTCGGTCTCTTTTCCATTTTTCAAGGCCGAAGTAAAAGTCTTGGTAATAGATTGCAGTACGCTTTGGCGTATTCTGCGACGGTGTTGATTTTGTTTAGATTTTGAGCGCTTGGTCCCTTCATGCACATCAAGGGCTGTTTCGACGCTTTGGGCGGTGAAGCACAGCAATTGTAGCAATTCCACGCGAGTTGCATTTTCGAAATCTTCTGTTTGGAGCACGCTGATTCTCAACAACGCATTGATCCAGTCCAAAAGATTCATGTAGTCAGCCACAGCCCGGGTAGATGACATTTTGGTCACTATTCCTCGAATGAATTTGGTCAATCCTTTTAATCCGCTTGGTGAACGTTTGAATAGACTTTCGAACAGCAAAATGACCATTTGCATCGATTTCCCATCCCGAATGAACAAGTAGCTCTCCATGACTCCCATCGCGATTTCCTTGTCTGTATCTTCATCCAAGTTCACATTTTGGTCTTGCAAAAGCGCAATTACCTCTTCCAGGGTTGCAAAGCGCGCTGAAAGCGCTGAGTCCTGGAACACGCGAGACAAGAGAGGGCCAACGCCCTCCAGTTTGTCGTCCAAAACACTCATCACACTTGATTGAATGCTCGCAGTTTTGTGCCACTAATGGCTCGTGAAACAATGCGTGTTTCCTTGTCTTTTTAGATGCAAAACGACGTGTTTCTTTACTGGAATATCAGTTAACCGATTTCTTGTAGAGCCATCTTTCGATTAACAAAATTTTTTTCGTTCGTTATGACCCATTTCTGATGAAAAGTATATAAAGGCCCAAGAGTTTGGAAAAGTCCCTATTTTGACCAAGTTAGTTTCATTTTCAGACCTTATCAACTATAACAGTCGATGAGGATAGGCTTTACTTCAAAGAAACTTCATTGATATCCATGATTTTTTGGCGTGTATTTCGCTTTCGAGTGAGGTATTTCATCGGAAATGACTGGGTCGCTGAGGAATGCACTGTGGCCTTTCACCACCTTTTATAGCAGTGCTTAAATAACAACTGAGGCTGTTTCTTGTTCTGTGTAGCTCAATTTGTTTGTAGCATTTGTGATCGAGGCTCCCGTAGAAGTAGTGGAGGGAGCGTGGCCCAAAAGTAGATTTGAGAGGCCATTTTCTTGATGGTAGTGGTGTCTTGTGACAGCTGCGGCCTTACATCTCAACAGTTGCGATTTTGGATTTATCAAATTCGGAGACTGTTGTTTCTACTTACGCTTGCCGAAAAATGACTTCCCGGTCCTAGACGTGGGACTGGATGTAGATGAAGCCCCTGTCTTATCGGTCTTGACCTTCGGGATCGGAGGACCAAAAGACCCGGTCATAAAGAGAGCCGCTCCCGTCAAACCCGTCCCAGCCAAATTCGAGTTCACTTTCTTGATTCTTTGACTTCTAGGCGCTTTAGAGCTTTTCGTGTCGATCGAGGAGACATCACTTTTTTCCGGGAGACTTGTCTCGGACGTAGTAGGCTTGGGACCACTCTCGGGCGCCGTGCCTGCACGGTTCTCCCCCGTAGTCGTGTTGGAGGTCATAGGACTCCTTCTGTCGAGGCTTGCACTGGACTCCACCCGAGGCAGCTGTTCAATTGATGGCGACCCTGTGGTAGTGGCATTATCATCCACTTTTGCCGATTCGTTACTACCTGTAAAAGCATTCTCAGTGGGTGTGGCTGATCTTCCGGCGTCGCTATCGCGCATGAATGGATAGCTTTCCAGCTTTTTCTTCAGCAATTTCAGGTTCTTTGATAACGTAATGACACTAACACATCTGACAATAAGACGTGTGTCGTGTACCAACGTGGCAGTTTCATGGATCAGTTCAACAACATAATCGACTGGAGGCAAAGAATTGGTCGATGCCATGTTAGCAAGTGTCAAATTGTCGACACTCGTCTTATGAGCGTCCGGCCTGTTCAAATGATCCCCCTTCTTGTAGAAATCAATGATATTCTTCAGTGACGAATTTTCTGAGTCAATCTTTTTTGACAGCGGATCTACAGATATGTCGTCTTCACGCTGGCGAAGTTTCTTGTCGATTTTTGTTGTGGAAGCCAACCCGAAACCGGTGCACATATCATCGGAGTCGGAGCTGGAAGTGGAATTCTCGGGAAATCCTTCGTTCTCGCGGTTCTCATCTCTATCAGCATTCCCTACTACTTTTTCTTCCGCAGCGGTATCAATTTTTTCATTCTCGGCTTTCGTATGTTTCCTGTCCATTTCCTTTGCTACATTAGTTCGGTCGGGCGTCTTGCGACCTTCTTTTTGACTATCTTCACGACCTTCGGAAGATTTCAAGTCGATGATCTGGGTCGAGAAGTCAGAATTGACATTTTGAGACATGTTGCTCAATTTTTGTTGCTCCATTCTATCAGCTCTATTCTCTCTGTCTGTTTTATCGCTTGCCTCTTGAGTCATGACGTCGTTGGCTGTGTAATCAGTAAAATCTCTCGAACCTGACTCTTTGTCCAAGCCACCTAGCTCTTTCAATGTTGCGCTTCTACTACGACCATTCTTCTTTGCTGCTTGATTTTCTTTTGGTGACGTGAACTTCATTGTTTCTTCAGCACTTGCGTTTGGTGTCCCACTGGATCCGATCGAGTTGTGACTGCCTCGAGGTCCTCCTGCAAAGAGGACCGGTACATTTAATGAGTCTTGTTCTTTACTGTTCTTGTTAATGGCACCAATGTCACCGCTTTCGGAGCTGCAAGCAGAAGTGGCCCTCGTCGCTCTTTTCAGAAGCTGCACGTCGAAAAATCCATCGTCAACTGCATGAAGTGACTTTTCGAGCTCAAGCAGCTCCTGAAAAGCCAATTGAAGGTCCGGAGAGTCCACATATCCCTTAGTATTTTTTAGATAGAGAAAACGTTTCAATGATTCTCCTATGGCCAGTAAACTTTCCTCCTTTTTGCCCAAAATCGAATAGAACGCCTCGGCAAGAAGGTCATAGAGTAGTGTAATCTCGTACACTTTAGCCATCACCAATAAATTCAATGCAACAGGGGACAGTAGCCACCGACCATTCACTTGACCCGTATAGAAAAACTCGATGAGCGATTTAATCGTAGAAGTTGGCCACGGCATGTATAGCGATCTTGGGACTAGCAGAGGTTCTAGGTCCTGCTCTGTAGTGAAGTTGATACTTGTGCTGCTATCGGCCAATGAAAGATATGATGGACGACTGCCTTCACTCTCCATTCTAGCCTTCACAGCACCTTTCTGACCCACTGATTTGCGTTCTGTCGTTGAACTGGAACTTTGGTGAGGATCAATGCTTGCCTCCAATTCGACGTCAATCAAATTGTCCTCGAGAAGCTGCCTGTCAATAGATCTCTTGCGAGCCAGGTAAGGATCTGGAGGATGAAGCGGACTATTTTCTGATGCGGCAGCTTCATTGATGCCGAGAAGTGACTGCGAAATCGAAGATGACAATCCGGGGCGTAAAACGTCATGATAATATGATGAACGCCTCGACGAAAATGGACTATTTTTGGCAGAGGCCGATGACATAGTCACATCAATACTAGGCTGATGTGGAGTTGAGGGTAGAGGATCTGTGGGCATTGGCTGAGGGGGCGGTAGTTGAGAATTCAAAGAATTGAAGGTAGATGAGCTCATAGTACTATCCTGAGAAGTTCTGCGGTTGTTTGGATTGCCCATCCTGTCAGAAGACGAGCTCACGAACGATATCGAGCTATTCTGAGATGCTACAGATGCTTTCCGAGAACCAAGCGGGCTCTGGGAGGCTGCCATTTTTTCATCGGGATTGTGAAAATTTGGATGAGATGCACGACGCGCACCTCGGGGGCCCCCGTCAAACACAAAACTGGTAGATACGGAAGACTTTCTGCGAGAGGCAGGCCCTAAATGTTTTTCCAGAGTTTCCAGCTTACTGGGATCGTTATTAAGTGCTTGTAATAATGGCAATGGAACTGCGGACCCGCCGCTACCTTCTTGAAATGGAAGACGAAATACCATGCCACCAGATGAGCTTGTCGTCTTACTTGGATCAATATTGGACTTGTCGGTGTTATCGCCGGTGTCTTTCAAGGCTTCCTCGTGATTTCGAGCTACCAAATTAGCGGACGAATCGGACTTGGAATGATGCATCTTAGGCAGAACTACTGTGCCCGTGTTTGATTTGTCTTTTAAACCGGGTTTTCGCGATAATTCGGGAGTGCTTGATTTGTTTGCAAAAATCAGTGGGCTTGACTTTCTAGGCACTGAAGGGTACAGCGACTGTGAGCCTTCGGATTGCTCATCTAGCGGCACAGTAAGGTCAAGTTCTTCTTTTGGTGACAAATTTTCCGGGCCTTTTGAGCTTGTGGTGTCAAATTGGTGACTTGTTGGAGTGACGCTATAATTTCCAGTACTCGAGGAAAATTTGGTTAGAACATTATCTCGGTTCTGATTTTCAAATTCTTTGGACGCTTTGACGTAACCATGTGCAAGCACATCATCGAAGTACCTCCCCCATCGCTTTCTTAATAAAAATATTGGAACTCGGACGGAATCTCCGTCTTCAGTAACTATTTCGAAATCCGACAATTGCTGCCCACATAACTCCAGAAAGTCTTTACCAAGAGCCATGGCATAAGATGGAAAAACGGGTGCTATGGTAGTTATTTCCAATTGTGGCGCTGAGTAACGAGAGTAACCTTCGAAGCTGTCGTGTCCAAGAGACGATTGATCCAAGCTCGCAGCACTTCTTTCCCTGCCCAAAGCCAGGTGAGGGGCCCTGTGAAAGACATTGATCATGGGAAGGGCAACACACATTATATTGCTGAATTTTTGAACACTGGGTAAATGGTTTTCTTTTGTCATGGTTCCCAGTAAAACGATCCTGTGGTGAGATTGCCATACAAAAAGTTGCCAGAGCCGATGGCTGGAGCCTGAGGGATCATCGGATATGGTGCTTATTTCGGTCCACTTGCCCGTAGGAATATTGTATGTGAAGCAGTGAAAGCTTGAAGGCTCAAAATCGGGATAAAAGCCACTTATGATAATGTTATGACCAAAATAATCCCCGGACGGATGTTGTAAATGAAATGGTGCCTTGTACTGTTTGGCATCCCTGCTACCGCGCCTTCTAAATGCAGGCATCCTTTTACCGTTTGGTCCCGGGTTCAGAGGCTGTATAACAACAGGATTAGCATCTTCCTCTGTTTCGCTGGGGGCGTAGCTGACAATGAGCGGTTTATTTGTGGCCTGGTCCCTTATTAGTAGTGAAAAATTTGAGTTTTCTAAGAGAGGGGTATTTTGACCATCAATGTTGGTAGTTATCACCTGTGCGACCGAGCTTTCATCGTCCAACGATTCCCACCGGTTTTGAGTAAGGTTATATATGTCGACAACGTGTATGGGACGATCCAAGTTGTTGAGACCACCTACGACATACAGATGTGTATCATCCTCGTCTTCGGGACCCTGAACTATGTGCATGTTATGATTAAAGCGTCTTGCGATGCAGGGGTTGCAGCTGATCAGTCGCCACACCTTCGTCCGCAAACCCAGTGCCCATAGCTCATTGGATGCTATGAGCTCATACCCGGACTGCGGTGAGACCACCAGACCACCAAACACGTACAGATGGCCATCGTGGTAGCACATCGAGTGGAAAACCCGCTCTCTCATGGTAACTTGCATTGAGTCGTCTTCGACGCCGTTCGTGTCGTTTGATTGGTTGACCTGGGTTTCTACACGATCCCATTTTCGCGATATCAAATCCAAATGGAACACTTCTTGACTAATCCATTCTGCCAAATTCTGAAACCCGCTTGTGTGTTTGCGTTTGCGTGCAAAGAACAGGATGAGTTCTTGCTGTATTGACACCGAGTTAACTTCTGTGAGGTTTAGCGGAACTGTGAAGCCCCCGTAAACAAATACAGACGATCTTGCCAATACAGTGCTTGCTCCTGTTCTACATTCTAAGGTTTTGGCACGTTTTTCGCACTCCGACAGCGAAGACTCTTGATCTGCATCTAGTTTTGGCAGCGTTGTAGGATGGCACGAGGCCGGTGACGGCAGAAGTGGTGTCATGTTTGAAATAAAACTATTGACACCTTGTATAACGGAAGCTCAACCACCTAACGTCAAGCCGATAATTGTGGTGTCGGGGCTAGTTCAACAGAGGTTAGAAGTCTTCCCTGTACAAACATCAATGTGCATTTTATTAATTTCAGTATAATTTCAATGTACTTCTATGTACTCATGGAGCGAGAGCACATGATACGAATTGAGTTAAGAAGCGGGTCTGAAGAAACGATGACTACGCATGGCGTGTTGGGCTCCATGAGACAGCGGGTAATGCTTTGGAATCAACGCCACCTCGACAACACGAACGCGAAGGGTCGATTGTCGGTTTTTGTTTCCTTTTAATGATGTTTTTAGGCCACCAAACACGACCAATTAAGCGTTACCAGTATAAGTACTAGCGGATACTGATTCATGAAACGTTTGGCTTTGGTGGCATTGATGGAGCAGCGGCAGGACCAAAACACACAGGCGAAAAATATGAAAAGCCGCGCAATGCTCGTTATGCGGAATTTCAAAGGTCCGGTGTGAAGAAAGGATACCATCAAGGGCAGCAGCACCGAGCTCGTGACAGCGTTGATGACCTGTGGGAAAAAACAGTAACCACAAGTGGACACGGCAGCCAGAAATGGGATTTTGCCGTTTTCCGTAGTGCTATTGAGTGTGAGATGGGCAGCTAAGACGGCTAAAGAGGCCCAGCAAAGAACGAAAATGGGTGGAAACCGCGACGATGCCCGGGAAAGAGCCACGCTGAAAGCAATTGTGAACAACAATGGGGCCCACAGATCGGCACAGTGATTGTCCTGTAATGCGGAGTGTGCATTTCCTTCCAAGTCGTCGTTGTCGCTATTCACAGACGTCAAAGGGTTTCGTAGTGGGAACTGAGGGTACACAACCTCTTTCAACCTGGTGTTAATCTGTACCAGATCCCGTTTGAGAGTTTGTGCCACTGGCTCATCCAGAGTGCCGCGTCCAAATGTGGGGAGTGTGTCTGTAACGGGGTCAGCAAAGGGGTTTGGCGTGTGATCTGCTGAACCAGTGACGAAATCCGGTTCTATCAGATCGGACATATTGGGCAGAGATTGGAGGGAGGGCTTAAAATGTAGAATGCAAAGTTGTTGTTGTGGAGCCCGGAGCCTATATCTCTTGAAGTCTTGACGGGATTTCAAGCTTATGGATAAGAGGAGTCCAAGGAGGATTCCAAAAAAAATTATGAATTTGTTTGCAGATCAGAAGGAAGGCAACAAGTTTTATAATCCTACATAGACACTAAGGTCTACTCAGAGATTGTTCACGCATGTTCGTTCATCATTATGAGTGCGAAACAAGAAATATCTGTTTAATTGGAAAGATATTTCTTAAACCTTCAACACGGCGCCTCGGGGGAGTTTCGAACGCGAGACTCAGGACGGTCGTTTAAACCGAAAACCCTTCCGCAACGTTGTCTCCCAACTGGGCGACACGGGGTCCTAAAGGAGACTAAGACTTAAATGGTCGTGAGAGGGCTAAGGGACAAGTTGAGTGGCGTGGGCATAGTAGCAAGGAACCCAAAATCCGTCCAAAAGACTATTTTTCAACACAGGAATCATCAAGATCAGTGTAAAAGATATACAAAGAAGAGGTCTTGCCCGATGATGGGAGGGTGAAAGGTTAGAAAGATATGAAGGTTCATTCTTCGTGTATAACGATACGTTTTCATTTCATTCCTGAAATGGCAAAAGACATTCTGGGCGGATGAGTGTTGCTCCTATCCCGGGCCAAGCTAGGCGTATGTTTCTATCTTCAAAAGCACCTCACAAGCACTTCACAAACACCTCTATCTACAGATCCATTGAAAAAGACACACATCACTACATACGAAACGCGTCAAAACCGTCTGGTCTCGTTCTTACTCGTTTGTTATCTTTCCCACTGGCTATTCCCCTACTTTTTCCCCCATGTTACACGCTAGATCTGCCTACAGCCCACCATAGCTTTTTAAACCTTTTCACTTCTTATTTCCGATCCCTTTCCTTACTCTTTTCCCTCTTTAAATACTCATCTCATCGCTGGCATCGATCTAAATATACGTATTCAGTATCTATACATATTATATATAAACTCACGCTTACCAGCGTACACCAATATTTTTTCTTACGGGGGCTACATTTCCCAAAAAATCAAAAAAAAATTATTATACCAAATTTTCAACGTAGATTATCTCAAGTCAGTAAACTTTCCACTTGCTAAGCTTGTTCAGCCGCAAAACACAAGCTAACACAAGGACCACACACACGATGGAAACGCCGGCTGTGGATCTGGATAACATCATCGACCGGTTGCTGGAGGTCAGAGGCTCCAAGCCCGGCCAGCAAGTAGATCTAGAGGAGCATGAGATCCGGTTTCTGTGCTCGAAGGCCCGGTCCATTTTCATCAAACAACCAATTCTACTGGAGCTAGAGGCTCCTATTAAGGTATGTGCATTTTGCTAAACCAGTGGATATCGCGCCAGAGAGGCAAAAAAGACCAGAAAGACGAGAGGAGACGAGAGGGTTTGAGAAGCGAGGGACGGAACAAGAAATGGAATGAAAGGGTGAAAAAAAAATTATAACAAACAACACGGGAAGGGCGGAAAAAGCTAGAATGGATGGGTCTGTACGAACAGGATGGGTTTGAAATGCGATCCCAGCACTCCGCTTGGGAAATCCAAGCTCAAGAAACCCCCCTTTATTTGGATCGACATGAAACACATTGTTTATTTGAAATTTTTTTTTTTGGCCTTCCCTCCCGCTTTGCGCGCGTCGGCTTGGAAGTTTGATTCTCTATGAACAGATTCTACGTTGGCTATAATGCAAGCTCGACGCTTCCAGTTCGAAAACTAGTCCGTACGCGCTTTTTACTATTCTTTTTCCCAAATTTTTGAAAAATCAAAAAGTGTCAAGACCTCCTCCCGCCCCTTCTTCCCAATATTTGCGAGGTGGTTTTTTTTCCGGTTATAATGACTACAAGAAACGCCAGATATCAGTGAAAGTACTCTGCAGTTGCTGGGTGAGAGTTGCCCGGTTACTTCCTGGAATTCTTTCTTACTGCTATCACTGCCTGCCTGTCACTTGTTCTGCCTGCTATCCTATCCGTTAGGATCACTACTTCCTCAATCTTTACCCGGCCATCGTTTGTGGGCAGTCTTCTTGCCACGCCACCCGGAACTGGTGCCGTTGCTCGTATTGAGTGATTTTTGAGGTAGCTGGTCCGCACGTGACGCATGAAAGAAAACATCTTTTTTTAGATGGCTGTTAAGGAGTTTTCTGTTCTGACACTTTTGGCTTTTGGCTTTCAGCTTTTGGCTTTTACCGGTTTCCTCGGCGTCTTTTTCCTGTCTTTTTTTCGATTTCATTCCCACAACTTTTACTAACTTTTCACTTTCCTTACAGATATGCGGTGACATTCACGGCCAATACTACGACCTGCTACGTCTTTTCGAGTACGGCGGGTTCCCTCCAGAGAGTAACTACCTGTTCCTAGGCGACTACGTCGACCGTGGTAAGCAATCGCTGGAAACGATCTGTCTATTGCTGGCATACAAAATCAAATATCCCGAGAACTTTTTCATTCTGAGAGGCAACCACGAGTGCGCTTCGATCAACCGGATCTACGGGTTCTACGACGAGTGCAAGCGCCGCTACAACATCAAGCTGTGGAAAACGTTCACCGACTGTTTCAACTGTCTCCCCATCGCGGCCATAATTGACGAAAAAATCTTCTGCATGCACGGTGGGCTATCGCCCGACCTCAACACCATGGAGCAAATCAGACGTGTGATGCGCCCCACCGATATTCCGGACGTTGGTTTGCTCTGCGATCTCTTGTGGTCCGATCCCGATAAAGACATTGTCGGTTGGTCCGAAAACGATCGTGGTGTGTCATTCACGTTTGGACCAGACGTGGTGAGCCGGTTTCTACAAAAGCAAGACATGGAACTCATTTGCAGGGCCCATCAAGTCGTGGAGGACGGCTACGAGTTTTTCAGCAAGCGACAGCTAGTCACGCTTTTCAGCGCGCCCAACTACTGTGGTGAGTTCGACAACGCCGGCGCTATGATGAGTGTAGACGAGAGTCTTCTATGCTCGTTCCAGATTTTGAAACCGGCTCAAAAGACTCTACCCCGCCCCCAGGGCAAAAAGAAGAAATGAAAACCACGTTTTGATTTGATAGGCGAGGTGCGAGAGAAGCAATGATGGAGGGAAAGCAGCGCAATTCAATTTAAATTACCAGCAAGCACATTATGGAGAAGGGGAAGAAAGAAAAGGAGATAAAGGGGGATGGGAGGGGAGTGCCATCATTTGGACCATGGCCTCTTAGCAGTCCTTTTTTTTTTCTTTTCCCCTTCTGGTTCCTTTTCCCACTACTTTCGTTTGAAGCTTGAACCTTGAGAAAACCCCGCTGTGTGTCTGTCTCCTCGCTCACTTCAAGAACATGTTCTTTTAACCACTTCAAGCGGTAAAAGCTGTGAATCCTTTTTTTTTCAGGTTCATGTTGGCTTTTATGTTGGCAGTTGACATACTTTGTTTTTTCTTTTTGTTATCTCGATGCGATGTCTCTGGGACTTTGATACAGTCGCCGGCGTCCAGAAGCGAAACCATTGTATGGTCGAAATTCAAGACCGACCAAGAAACCGGCATTCTTTTTTTTTTTCGCAGTTGCACCACATCTGAAGTGTGTTCACTACCGAAAACAATGTAAACGATGATAAGTTCATCACTTACAACTTGAGCGCGTGTTTTCGGAACAGGAAGCTGAGGTGGAGAACAACAAACGGACGTCAATGCGAAACTCGAAGGGAAAAGACGAGAACCGAAGGGTGAAAGAAAAAAAAACAAAACAAAACAGTCAAAAAAACACAACATCAAATCACCGGAAAGGAGAAAGAATATCAAAAAGGTGGTGGTATACCCCATTATGAATACAAACATTATCTTTATTTTTTTTTTTCTCTCTCAATGAGTTTACGACACGACCAGAAGCGAGCTTATTACGGGGTAAACGCGTCCTTCACAACCCCCATCAAAATCCTTCTTCTCTTGTCGAATGAGGAGACACGCAACATTCATACCAATTTTACGGCCCGATTCGAAAGTTGTAGATGATCTTTCGACGCTACGAGGCCCATCCAATCCACATTTTCTCCCACAAGTCTCCAAATCTACTAAATTCAATTCAGACCCAGATTCAAACCCAACCATACTTCTCTCTGTCGCATTTTTTTTGTTTTCCCACCTGCTTCCTCTACAATCCCACTCCCATTATTTTATAAACGTCGTTTGTATTGTGTATTTTAGCTTTGAGAAATTACTTCACGACCATATTATATCCATTGAAACTACAATTTTTAGCTTATCGTATCGACTAAATCGTCTTGTAGAGCGAATTTCCTTGTTTTTTGGCTCACTGACGCTGGAATTGACGGTGACGCCTGTTTTTTTCAAGTTCGTGTTGATTTGACACTCGCGCTACCCAAAAATAAAATAACCTGAAAAAAACACACATTTCAATTTCAATATGTAATTGATGAATCTTTAAACAACAAAACTGAATAAATAAGAGAGCTACAGGTGTTGTTTGTATCTTGTATCCAATCGAAATAAGCGTCAATTGGTACAGATCTAATTGAAAATGAAGCTCTTTGTATTTAGCTTGGTATCTCTACTATGGCTCGTTGGGTGTAACGCTCACACAGTGCTGCTTCCAGCTTACGGACAGCGTTGTTTTTATGAAACATTGAAAGCGAAAGATGAGCTGGCAATCTCTTTCCAATTTGGCGACAGATCTCCAGAATCGACAGACCAAATGACGGGGGACTTTTTCGTGTATGGTCCTAACAGACGTGAAGCTCTCAAAGAAGAAAGAGACGTTTCGCACGGTGATGTTCATATCAGTGTTCCACAGGACGGCAAGTTTGAGTACTGTTTTTCGAATGAAAGATCGGGCGCCACAACGAAAGATGTGACTTTCAACATAGAGGGCGTTGTGTATGTGGACTACAACGACCCCAAGGCAGACTCGTTGGACGGTGCCGTAAAACAGCTGTCAAGATTGACACGGGAACTGAGAAACGAACAGAGCTACATCGTCATTAGAGAAAGAACTCACAGAAACACTGCGGAGTCCACAAACGACCGTGTCAAGTGGTGGTCTGTTTTCCAACTTTTTGTTGTGATTGTCAATTCGTTGTTCCAGATTTACTACTTGAGGCGTTTCTTTGAAGTAACGTCATTTGTGTAACGGTAACGCATATGTTTAGATATTTTGTAAATTTGACGTGCTGAAATCACAAGTACCTATTGCAGTGCGCAGATATCGTGGTACCAGTCGCCTTTCTCGTCTCATCAAGAGCGTAGATATATATATCGTGGTTAAAGATTTAGCGCTCTATTGTCGGTAGGAGATAGCTGTCGAATGCTTGCCTCGCGAAGTGTTCGGTAAATATGTGCTTTACGAACATGTGTCTCTTTGGAATAGTCGGAGTGTCGTGTGGATTTTTATCGCAGAATCACTTGATTCCATCAAAACACTCCCGTTGTATTATGTCTCGAAGCACAAGAGCAGGGCGCCTCAGCATCAGATGCCATTTCTTTTTTTACCCTTACCTTTCTCAGATCTCTCCATTCCATATCACCTTACGGTAAGAGATTTTGTTTAGTTTGTCATAGTCAATAACCTCTGTTATTAGCGGGTAGCAGAAAACTTTATCCTAAGATATGGTCTTTATTCCTTGTGACATAACGAGAAATGTCCATTTCGTACGCTTTGTTGTCAGTGATTCTAATCACTCGAAAAGGACTTCCATACATCTTTTTCACACTTCGAATGGCTTCTTACGTGTGAAAGTGGTATCCTTGTGCACTGGTTCATTTCACCTAAGAGCACCGCTTCTCTCCTCCTATGACTTTTGAATGGTTGCGTTCCAATCTAGGTACTCTCAGGCTCACAGTGGGACTTAACGCAATTGAATCCTGAGCTGTCGATAGTCAACATTTCTTGTCTCCTCTCTTGGCTTGTTGTCTAGTAATGCAACTCAAAAAAGATGAAACCAGCTCATCATTGGTTCGAGTATGGTAGTGGTTGGGAATGTGTGACCCAGGAACTATCCGTTCTATCGCTGTAAATTGTTTTTGATAACTCAATTTGGTGCTCCTGTCCCTGATAATGGTGTCTGGAGATCCAAGTCGAGCAAAGTAATAAAAGAGGATGAGTTCTGTCAATTTCACTTTTGTGAGTTCTTTCTTACATTTGTGGAATTATCACAAGCAGGAAAATACCATGATCGACCTCGATCGTCGCCAAAAAAGCTGCGGAAACCTTTGAGAAACTCATCCAACCTCTGAGCCCTTGGCCAACGAGGCTCCATCGATCAAGAAAGTCCGCCGCATCGTTCTTACACCACGATTCTGCCTGGGCCAAAAATGCTTCGCATACCATCTGAAAGAGCTAGGCTAGTTCATGGAATTGTGGTTGATTGTGGCGATTCCGCAAACTGTGTCAACAATTGCACTTGGAGTTCTCCAGTAGCAGCATGGACTGTTGAAGAGAAGCACACCAGAGCTTAGAGCTAAACAAGCTTATAATCGCTGATGATGTCTTGGAGTTGAATTTGTTGCGTCAAAAGGCAAAGACCTTAGGAAGACAAATTCATAAAGCATGTACAGAAAGGGCAAAGCTGACATACGCATGCCTATTTCGAGTGCAGACCCAAAAACGGTCGACCTGGGCGAGAATTGGCATTTGGACCGCTTTTGGGGCGTCCTAGACCGCTGTTCGCCAAGAAAATCAAAGTAGAAGCGGCAAATACATCCCAATTCACGTCTTGACAAAATAGGCAGCCGCGATGACACTTCAGTGACTGTCTGGAGCCTTTCAGACTCGATTCAAAAGACAATGTGGAGTCTTGAAAGAAGTGCTCGAAGCAGCTGCTTCTTGGATATATAGCGTCTTTATACCATCCGTCATAAATGATCAAAACGATCTTTAACGTTATTTTTCGTACGAGACGACCAAGGTGCTTAAAATCGATTTTCTTAGCAGTCTCAGAACTCAATTTCAGAAAACTGAGCGGCTAAATGCTCAAGGCTGTTGAGCTTGCTTCAGACCACACCGTCAGCTCTAAACAAAAGCGTTTGAAATCAAGTCAAAAACATACAAGACTGCTCTGCAATTCTAGACCTTACCGCTCTCTCAAAACAGTAAGTATCCCATTTTTACATTCTTGGTCATGTTTCACTCAATTAATTATATAGATAGCATATACTCAGTTTTCCATCAAAATCACATATAAGCAGCAGCTTGAAAAACGGCCGGTTCTGTTCACTTGCTATCGAGACTTACCTCAAGATCTGTCTCGGAATCAGAGAGGCACGATGTTTCAGTGTTTTCTTCCGCCAAATTGTAAATCTTTAGAGTTTCCTTGTATATTTGCGCTGCTCTACGCATGAAGATGTATTTCTGACGGACCTGCTCTTTGAACGCTTGATCCACGAGAGTTTGCGGCCCGCAAACTTCGACTACAGCCCGATAGACATAATAATCTATGGTGAACCCAACATTTTGGCCAGTGTATTTCATATCATTTATCGAGGACATACTTGAGACGGGACGTAGGTGTGGTGCGTTACTTGCTTCACTAATGCCGTCAAGATCACTTCTACTCAAAGAGAACTTCTCAGTCTTTGGCTTTCAGCTCCAAAATTTGTTGATTTCAACAAAGACCAAAGTTTTCTCTTGAAGGCCTCCTTTTATAATCGAATTCCGTTCTTTACCATTTTCGTTAAGTGTAAGATTTAAACGGCAGTTTTTTCGATTTGTTTCTCGAGCTCAACAGTTCATTGATCTAGTATCGATACGAGTGTGAAACAGAAGCAGACTTCTCGCCTACCACCAAGCTCCTCTCATGGCAGTCGATCAACTTTTGTCCTTCAGTAAGGACCCCGAAGGTTTGAGAGAGTGTATCCTAGATGTCATGGGGATCGATTAAATGTGCGTAATCATCGTTCCGCAACACCAGTTGTTGGTTTCCCCAAAGGATGTAACGCCGATTTCAGCAGATTTCCTGCCCTGGCTTTATTTTACTTCGCTGGAAAAGTGAAAACAGTTAACACGTTTATGCATCTTATGCATTTTATGCATTTTATGCACCAAACAATGTTCTCGAATTTCAGTGAGCCAAGCTCTACGTGGCATTGAACACTCTTCTGAAACGGATCTCGTTACATCCGTCTGTCACTGATTGTGACCACCACGATTTTCTCCCTTATTTCAAAAAGGTGGCTGGCCCAGACCTCAATTGTCCCGATGGAGGGCTCATTCAGTCCCTACTTCCAACCACTGCGACAGCGGCTGGCTATCGAACGAGATACAGACAAGTTGTTGCGTGTCAATTTCGGAATCCAGACACCCCACAATGCGAAGTCTTCGGATTCTTTGCAGACCTGATTGACCTGCAAAAGATAAAGCTTTTGTATCCCCACGAAGCAAAGCTCGATCCGACTATTTCAATCTACGCCTGGTCGGGCAAAGATCGTGTGCGCTTGCAATTGTTTGGGAAGTATGTTCGTCAAGTTTGGATGTTGGAAATAATAATGTCAAAGCCGGAATAATTCCTGAAGCGTCCGGCTAATTCTCTTCTGGTAAAAGGCAGAAGATACTGCAACTGGACGCATTGGCTTTCTTACTGACACGATAAGTACCTGAAGACGTCGAAACATAAAGTTTTGGACATGTTGTCCAAAAACGCCGTAAGATGCATAGACTTGATGAGCAAATTCAAAGCTAAAGGACCGGCAGCCAAAAACGCACTTTAGGACTTCATCAGGAACATCGTCTACTCGAGCACTTCGCTCAGAGTCTCAAGAGGCATCACATGCAGGCCGAACGGAGTATTGAAAGTGAGCATGGTCTACCCACAATGTAAGTAGGTGAGTGGTTTGTGGATTACGCTGATCGCATAACCAAGAGTGCCAATGATCTGAAAGACATCTATCTCAAGCTCAACTGAACAGTTCGCTTAAAGCGCCAACCCGAAGAAACGCAATAAAATGTGCTGGGTCTTGATCTGGAGAGCTTGAGTCGTTGATCGTCCAAAAAATAAACTATTACAACCCATTTCCAGTGAGCCAAAAAGTTTAAAAATTAAAAATTAATGCCATTTCCTAGAATCGAACCAGGGTTTCATCGGCCACAACGATGTGTACTAACCACTATACTAAAATGGCTTTTTATAAGAAGAGAAGAAGTTTATTTCAGGTATATCCTCTTAAGTTAGTCACTGCCTCTTTTCAAAGACCATCTAAATGACAGTTATCTATAAGGACATCGCATCGCGATGAGTTGAACGGAGTAAGGAACTCAGCGAAGCTACACCTCGATGAATCTGCCCAATCCCTGCCTCCTGGGAATTGTACTAACGATATCCACGCATTCCGGGCCCCAGGTTGTATACCACTATCCTCCCGTAGACATCTCGTCATCAAGAAAGAAGAAGAAAAAGAGAGAACAGGAACAAGAAGCTGCCAATGCAGTTCAGAATAGTGCAGAATTCAGATCTTCTCGTCACGAAAGTGTTCTGCAAAGAAAAAAGTCGGTGAAATCGCACCATGAGGCCGAAAGCGAAGCGAATTTCTCCATGCACTCTACAAAAACAGAAGAATTGAATAGTCCAGAAACCAGTGATAGCTCCGATGATGATACTAGTAGTGGTTTAAGCGATAGTGATATTTCTACCGATTATGCAGACCTCTCTTCTGAATCAGGATCTTCTACTTCGGAAGATGATTTGTCCGTGGGAAATGAAGACGTCATTGGTCCAAGGCTGTCGATCGACAACAATGCTAGTCTCCAGTCCTTGGGTAACTCAATCAAAAGCAACAGCAATAGAGAAATACATGCGGCTGCGAGTAGAGTGTTCCAGTATTTAAGCCCTCAAGAATCAAAACGGAACTCTATCGTTTCTAAACATGCCTTTAGCCGAGAGCAGGATGGCCCGGCGGTCAATTTGGATCAAGAGTCCGATGACGAGACTGAAAATGCTTATGAGCTCGATGACCAACATTTTGGCTCAGAATTCCAGGCTATCAACAAGATCTTGAAATTTGATGCCGATTTTTTCGCGGAGATCAGTTCACCGCCAAAGGAACTATGCAATACAAGGTTCGAGCTCTCAATTGATGAACTGGTTCTGGTAGGTTTACCTATTCATAGGGATCAAGAAGGCAGATGGAGAAAATCGAAAAAGCGAAAAAGTGGTAACCGCTCTCGACCTTCTAACTCTAGTCTGAGGGGCAGGAATGTTTCACAAGCACGATCTGCAACGTCAGAGGGAAACGATGATCATAACGCTTCTCTTGAAGCTGGGTCCACTTCTGTCACGCTAGAGAATGACCGCAACGAGGATGAGTATCGCGATCTCGAAAAAAGTGTCAATATGTTCCATTTGTGCTTTCTTCTCAATCCTCAGCTAGTCGAGTACAATGAGAGAGTTGACGCCATGTATCACTATGTGATATCTAGATTGTCGCTCATCCTGCGGTATGCTCAGGCAAGAACAGGGTTTGTGACGAATGAATGCTTTGAGATATTGAAGACTCGAGATCGCATACTGAAGTCATCACAAAGGTATCAGTCTATAAAGGGTCAAAGTAATAGGGGAAAATATCTCTACCAGAAGATTGTCAACAAATCGCCTTTGGCACGCATCATAACCCAATGTTACGATGCGATCTCGAGGAATGAAGTTGCAAATCTAGAAATTGACGAAGACAAGATGATATCGTTACAAATTCCTCTCAAAGACGAATTCAAAGAACTGCCGGATGTCAAAATGAACCCAGTTTTGAGAGGCTCGTTTTTGACCTCCGTCTTGAACAATGGATTTCTGGAAAAGGATTCTAAAACCCAACTAAATGAGCAAAATGGCAAATTAGAAGACGATGACGATCTTCTGAATTACGCACTTCTACTTTTGAGTGAGCCCAGTACTATAGTACATGAGCTTCAGTTTTCGTCGTTCCGCAATGATGCCACTTCAGTGATTCTGACATCTTTAGTCAAAAATCTGAAGCCAACAGTACCTTTGCGAAGCTATCAATACATTGTCGACGAAGTGATGGGAGGGCCGACCGTGGTCGATGGCGAAAGAGATGATTCAATGCGCACTAATTTGTTAAGGTCATTGGCTTTACACTTGATGTATTGGCGCCATGCAAGGATCATCATACCTCTATCCTCAAAGAGTACCTATATCGTGTCCCCGCTTGCGCCCATCGCTGGGTCAGATATTAGACAATCAAGGGAATCCGAAGAGTTCGAGATGGAAAATAAACCACTGATTTTTCAAAATCAGGATATCTTTGCCAAAAAGTTTCCATCTCTTCCCCCACTTTCCTCCTTTTTAAGTTTAATATCCTCTTCCAAGCCTAGACCATTTGGTGTTTTCATACCCTCCAAGGACCATAAAAGTGTTTACCTCAATGCTTTGAGCTGGCTGATCAGATATGGATATTTGACGCAACTACTCACCTTTTTATGGGTTCGCGTAGACTCACGCATTAAAATAGCAGTGGATGAAGACCTTGAAAGGGATGGTATGAAAAGAGCCAAGAGTTCCAGGCAAGTTCACACGATGGATAACGACACGACCGCCGTATCGCATCTTGAAAATAATTTACCAGATGAACCCGATTTTTATTACTATGAGGGAGACGAAGATGTGTTCAATAGGGCTGACTACACTATAATCTTGAACCCTGAAAGAGCCACTGCTGTCGAGAAGCGGTGGCTATACAAATGCGTCGAGGGCCAGCCTCTGGAAACTCAAGCTCTTTTTCACAAGCTAGTGAAGTATTTCAACGGTAATACACCGCTGGAGCTAACTCTCATTAGAGAAGGAGTATCAAGACACGAAGTTCGCAAGCTTACACAGGCAATTGGAAAATACTTGGTCGAAATTAACCACTGGTAAAGCCTTTTCTCAATAGTGAGTTGTACAAGTTGTACTACTATGCTTCAAAGCGACTGGGATAAAAGAGAATGGGTAAATTAATTTAACTATGAATCTGGGATGATTCAACAATAAACTTAAGGATATTCAAAGAGTGGAAAGTGGCAGTTAGGCTGGCGACGACAATTCTTCAAGCATATGAAAAATGGGGGGCACAGGTCGTTTCAGCGGCCAAAAAAAATAAAGGAGTAGAAATGTATGAAATAGAAATCAACAAACAAGGAGACTGGCGGATGTGAAAATGGTTAATAATCCAAGGAAGCTTTGCTGCCATTGTTGTAGTTGAATTTCGGTTCCATTGGCACAAATTGCCTTTGAGAAACAGGCATGGGGATGATTGGTGTTCCTAAAGCACCCGGAGACGGACCGATATGGGACATAACCATGCTATGCATGTCTCCGAAATCAGCTCCGTTAGCTGCTGGAACAGGATAGTACATGAAGCATGGTTGATTAGGATTGGCACCAGGCCGAGAAATGCTTCCTGATGAATTCAAGGGTGTTGCAGGACCGGTAGCTCCAGTAGGACCCACTGCGTACTCCATGGGATAGTAGTACGATGGGTAGTAGTAAGGATCGAAGGTTGGGTAGTTGCCTCTTTTTTTGTACTCGTCAAGCTTTTTCTTGTAATTAATTCCGCCCGCGGATGTTGTGTAATGCGAAGTGCTTGCGTAGCTGGAGGCATCATTGTCATCAACCGACTCGGAACCCTCGGAAGCATCAGTTTCAGTTGCGAATGAACGACTTGTGATATTATCAGTCTCATTAAGGCTGGAGATCTCGCCTTTATCATTATTACTAGACTCATTAGAACCAATTTGGGATTTGATGATCTCGATGCTTTTACGCCTAGAGTGAGACTTCATTTTCTTAGGAGGGGTCATCATTGGGATGTGACTTTGTTGTTGAGGAGACAAGACATGGAAATTAGGAATTGGAGCATGATAGTTGGAATAAAAGGGTCCTGAACCAGTGCTTGATCTTCGTTTACCAACGTTGATGGGTGGAGGAGCCAGATTCAGATGAGGTGGTTGGTATGGCATGCCATATGTACCATTCATATGACCATTGTAATAATTGTTGTCGTCAACTAGAGGCGACTGTCTTGTGAACTTGTCATGAGCGTCACCGTGGCGGCCTTCTGATTTATTGGAATGTCCAAAATCGCCGCTAGGTCTGTGCCCTGAATTTCCATGTCTCCTAAATTTCTTGGAGCCACCTATTTCCCGATATTGAACATGCATTGTTTTATTGAGGAAAATGGCATGATTTTCCATTTCCAAAGCTGCTGCTGCCGCTTCCTCCGTCGCAAACCGAATGAAGGCAAAAACATTATTAGGTTTGGATAGCAGATTGATGTCTAGGATAGTCCCGTGCCTTGAAAACCTTTCAAGCAAGTTATCTTCCGTGGCCATGGGGTCCAGTTGACCTACAAAGATTGAGTTTTGGTCAATGCTGATATCCGATCCATGGGTGCCGATATGTGAGCTGTTAACGTCGAAATTTGAAGCGTCGGGAGATTGATTGTTTGCGAGCTCAGCATCTTCTTGAATCACCAAACTATTATCAGAATTTAACAAGTTCATATGAGGGCCAGCCTCTATGTTTTGAGCCCATTCGACAACCCAGTTATAGTCGGCTTTAAGCGTTGCAAAAGCACGGATGGCATCATCGCGGAAGGCGAATTGAATGAACCAAGCGTTGCTCTTGTTGAAAGCCGCTTGAAAGTAACTTTTCCTGTGAGGGTATTGGTCCCTACACGCTACCAACTGTTCCAATTCTCCAAATTTACTCATCAACTGGTTTACAGTGGAGGCTGAGACCTGAACACCGGAAGCAGGTGATGGGTATCGGCTCTTGTGGCTGAGAAACAAAGTGCGGTTTACGCGAGCAGGCTCACACCTAATAGTTCTTCCGTTAAGGATGGAGCCCTGGGCGCTGTTCAAAGCTTTTTTGGCATCCACGTCGTTGGTGTATTGTACGAAAGCGTAGGGCCTGTTAGCGGGGTCCCTCAACACCTTTACCATGGTCAGTTGGCCAAATTTTTTGAAGTTTTCTGTTACTGACAAACAGAGCTCGTCGTCAGTGAGAGCTGCTGCAAGGCTGGCGACAAAGACACACGACGAGGGTCTTCCACGGAACTTCGCACCTGCGGAAAAGGATTGTTTGACATTTTTGTCTGTGCTAGCGATTTCGGTGGCGGGGGGTGAAACTTCATGCGAAGCATGTGCTCTATCTTCCCGTTCCTCTTCCTCCTCCTCTTCCTCTTCTTCTTCGTCATCTTCTTCTTCGTCCGAACCGGAAACTTCGGTGGGCAGAAATTGAGTAATGCTGTCACTGAATCCTGGCGACAGCAGCTCGTCTTTGACACTTTTTGTCGGGGTGTGAATCACCGACGACGGGTCATTTAACGCGGTCATAATAATTTTATACGAATTTCCTGTGTGACGCGTTTGGTCTCGAGCAGTGTCGTTTAGTACGAACCGATTGCCAATATTACCGGTGATTTAGATTTCAAGCGGTATCGGTTAAAGGCAGATAGATCGATTATTAATTCGTCCGCCTCAATTAGTTTAATTTGTCCTGCCAAGCGGTATACTGTGGTCTCGGAAGCAAGCGGATTATATTCCCTGCTGCTGCTGCTGTTGTTGTTAGCTGCTTT